GAACATTGAGCAGTAATGAAGAACAGGAACATAAAGATAATTGCAATTCCTCTATTTGCTATCCCCATTGAGATTAGCAAATTCAGCACAGACAAAGGATTTAACCTGGAATCTTCTTGATCCATAGACAGTGTGGATAAGTATAATAAATACATTCATGAATAGATAAATAGCTCCCCTTTTTAAAGGGGAGTATCTCGCTGGATTATATCACTAGATACTCAGAAGAAATTAATGATAGAGTATCACAACAAGACAGGAGGAAGATTAGGAAGTAAATTTGAATTAAGTACAGATAGTTAAAACATGCAGCTTTTAAATGTATTTAAAAATTGGTGTAATTTGTTTTCCTGAGCAGGTTAAACAGTGGAATTAGACATTCATATTGAAAAGAGTTCAGTAAGGAAATACAGTCAAACTTATGAAAGCAACCACCTCTATTCATCTGCTGTCAACAACCATCCTTGGAACTGTCCCGGATGATTTCCCATAATAAATCACTTCTATTCAGCATCCAACTGTCTACCGCAACCAGGAGCCCTGCCGGTGTTTCACACCCTTTTCAGGGGCCAGTTCAAAGTTAATTTAAGTGTATCTACTGGTAATACTTCAACAGTTTCCATGGGCCACGTATAGACTCCTGCTAGATTTCTATTTACCAACACTGCGCTAAGCAGCCCATGTGATGCCAACGGCTTCCCGTCTCACCAGTGAGGTGGCATTGGTAAATGTGCTAGGAGTCTTGCGGGAATCTACACACAAGCCTGCGGAAATATTTGGCCCACAATTTTTTTTAAAAAAATTGGGCCCGGTCAATGAACCAATGAACCCTTACTCTGTTAAGGATCTGTTTACCTAGCAGTAAGTAGGAACCCGGTTGTTAGTCAGTTGGCGGATCGCTTTCCGGGGATAATAATCCCTCAAAAAAAATTGGTCACTCAATCCACGACTGTTTGTGACACACTGCTGTGAACAATTGGCTACCGTGCCTCGCCTACAAAATACAGTCAATTCAATATATTCTGTGAAGCGCTTTGAGACGTCTCGACGATGTGATAGGGTGCTATATCAAATGCAAGTATTATTATTATTATTATTCAGAGGCCAGTCTTGCATAAAGGCTCTTTTGGTCCAAGTCCCCTGAATGGTTGCTGAAAAAAAGGTTGACTGTAAACCCATAAAAATTAGACCACTGAAAAGTCAATGTCAATTCTGGGCTAAGTCCAATGTACCAAATATCCTAACATCAGCATGCAGTAAGAGACACCCTATCCAGGAATCTAACACATCCTGTTCTTGTGACTGCTTTTAATAAATTTTACATTTATATAGCGCCTTTTACATTGGGAGAATGTGTCAAAAGAGTTTCACAGTGCATTATGAGCTGGAGATGGGAGCCAAGTAGGGGTTGGGAGGTGGGGGAGTGTTTCATCATAAATACGTTTCCAATTTGGATGACATTATCAAAGTTATTGCAATTATATTAGTCAAACCCATACTCTCGGAGTGAGATGAGAGTCATCTGTTTAAAATTGTTGAGTAATTATTTTATTGACTTACTACAACATGGACGGCTAGAAAAAAAAGTTCAGGGGAAAGTTAAACGAGACCAATCTTGCACACCCAAGCATTATTAGTAATAATAATAATAATTGCAGTTGAAATAGGAGATGCATGTTGTTGAGTAAAGAATTTTACTTTGAAATGTAGCGACTGTTGATTTGTAGGCAAACATGGAAACCATTTTATGAACAGCAAACAGCCATCAAGTGAAAGACCAATTCATCTGAGGAACTGGGGACAGCATAGTGTAGGTTTGGAAGCAAATCAACTTTCCTCCTTTCTTAGTATGATTAGTATGATTCCAGAAAGGGAACGATTAATACAAATGGTTATTTAAAACTTGATTTAAAAATAACAACACTGCTGTGAATCCTGTTTTAGTCTCTGTTCCCTTAGTAAAACAGTAATATTTCGCTGTGTGACTGCCTCCCATTGTTGGTTTATTCTGTTTGGTCTATTTTGATGCAGGAATGCTAGCTATATCCTATTGTATTTTCTATCTCAGTGCTCACCGCTGAGAAAAAGAAGTGGCTCACAATCAATCTGAATGCAGACTGAATACAGTGACACCAGTGGTCCGAAGCTATAGTTGGCAGCTGACTCACTAGGCTATTGCTCCAATTGTAATAAAGAAATACAGAATGTAGAGAGCTCCAGATAATGGTGATTGTTATTTTATTTAAAAAGGAAACAACTCCAATATATGGGGCACATCAAGAATTAGTTTATGGCCGTGCTGAATGGTCTAGTTGTCTAATGTTTGTTTCTTTATAGTTTATCTCTTATAATATGTATAAAGTATTGAACAGGGGGAGAGGGGAACACAGTTGCAAATGGAGTGATATTGGCATAGAAGAGTTGACATGCTCATTTCAACTCTTGAGGAAATCGATTTTTTAGTTGATGTGGTTATATTGAGAAAGATCACAAGATTGGTTTGGATGAAGAATGCCCTTTGGTCCATTTTATCTCTTATTCTCCCAGAACACTCACCCCACCATCTTCACATCTCAGCATCAAGCTTTTTTTTTAAGAATCCTTCATCCCTCCCGAATCCAACCCCAAGCTCAGGTGCAAACCCTCGACTGTCCAGCGTCTTGGACGTCCTCTGGACATAAAGGGCGCTATAAACATGCAATTTGTTGCTGTTGTTGAATGATCTCTGTCAATTCCGAGAGATTTCACCCCATCCTTCCCTTATCACTACTCAGCCTTTGACAGAGTGGGAGACACAGTAAGATGCTGAGTTTAGCATTGAAATAGTATTAAATTCAATCTCATCCACGTCCAAACTACAAATTTCAAGCTGATGATGCAGCCAATGACTGCGCTAGAAGAAGCCCATAATACACACCCCAACCCTTTGACCTGTTTATTCCCCAACTCACTACCACTGCCTTCATTCGACTGGCTCCAGCCTCCTGCTTGCCCTGGTGCCCTCCATTCCACCGTGAGTGGCCGAGCTTTCAGCCATTATGCCCCAAAACTCTGGAACACTCTTCTTCTATTCCTCTGCCTTGCTGCCTCCTTCCCCTTCTTCAGATCGAGCCTGAAGACTTTCCCCTTCGATCATGCTTACAGCCACCTCCCCCTGGCTTGGCGTCATGCTCCACTAATGTCAAGCACTCTGGGTCGCTACTCTGCGTAAAGGTGTTGCTGTTGAGGTGTCTGGTCAGGGGGCAATTAGGAAATAGTTTACAGAAGAAACTTATCACAAAACCGGATGTAAAATTAATTTAAAATATAGCCTCACCGCTGGTAGGTATGTAACGAAGGACTCTGCTCTCGAAGCCGAACCAAGGCCAATCAAAATGACCTTTGGAAGTCGTGGATAAAGCAGCTATTGTAATAATATTGTTCGCAGCAGCAGCTATGCATAAACCATGCAGAAAAATATCAAACGTTTATTGTCTTAACTGTATTAAACTTCTTCAGGCATGCTGCATCTCAGACGTACATTGCATCTCAATATTGGTGGACTGTTCTCACAAATGCAGATCATCTTAGGTCACTAAATTATGCTCTAATTTAAGGTTGACTGACTGTGAAGCATTCTATTCAAATATTGCATTTCCTCAAGTCCTGGATGAGAGCTAACTTCCTCTAGTTGAACATCAACAAGACCAAGCTCTCCTGATTGGCTCCCATCAGCGCCTCCACACCTCAGGCGCTGGTACCATTCATGAATACACACTCCGCCTCACTGAGCCAGTCCAGAACCTTGGCATTTTGTTTGACCGTCAACAGTCCTATCTACCCCACTTTCGTGCCATGAACTTTCAAGGCCCTGCCATTGCAGTCATTGTGCCCCTTATCATAAACAGTGCTGGTTCAAAATGGGACATTGTGCCCACGGTCAAGGCTGATGGGGAGCACTGGATTGTCCCCGGTGCCGCACTTCAGATTAGACATTAAACCGAAGCTCCAGAAGCCTGTTCAGATGGACGTTTAAGATGCAGCAATAGAAAGAGAAGAGCATTTCTCCTGGTTCCCTCCTGACCACAAAGCTGTTTTTTTGGGTATTCCTTGATGGCAGATAGAACTGGGTTCAAGATCCAGTCAGTTGACGACCATTAACCACCTGGTTCAGTGGTAGCACTCTCTCCTCTAACTCCGAAGGTTGTGGTTCAAGCTCCACGTCGGGACTCGGAATCGCATAGTCTAAGTTGACACTCCAATGCAGTGCTGGGGACGTTGCACTGTTGGGAGGTGCCGTCCTTCAGATGAGACGTTAAACCGAGACCCTGTCTGCCTGTTCGGGTGGATGCCAAAGATCTCCCGGCACTGTTCGGAAAGAGAAGGGAGTTTCTCTCTCCCGGTGTCCTGGCCAACAATCCCTCAAGACAAAACCGGCCCCTCACTCCACGGCTGTTTGTGGGGCATCGCCACGTGCAACTGGCTGCCGTGTTCCGCTGACAAAACACGCAGTCACTGCACTTCACAGTGTCCCCCGTGAAGCGCTTTGGGACGACGGGACAAGGCCCTCTTATCAAAGGCGAGTAGAACTATCATTATTATTATTATTATTATTATTATTAATAATAACTCGCGGAAGCTGGCGGAGGCGATGGGCGGTACCTCAGACACCAGTATCGGTATTAATTAATAATCAACTGAATAAATATCATGACATCGATTATTAGTCACGACTTATCATCCTCGTGTGAGAATGGCTGATCACCACAATGGCCTCTGTCTCTCCTCACTGCCTCCAGGTAGGGCTTCCCCCCCCCCCCCACCACAAGCCGTACGGCGCCTGCGCGGAGAGGGTGGGGAAGGAGGGGGGGGGGTGCCGGACCGGAAGTGGCGTCAGCGCCCACGTGACCAACCCCCCCCTCCCAAAATGGCGGCGGTTTGAACGGCGGGATTCCCAGCGGCCGCGGAGGGTCAGGTTTCACCCGCGAACTTCGGTGAGGAGCCATTAATAATAATAATAATAAAAGGAAGGAAGGAAGGGAGTGAAGGTGGGCTGTGGCGCGGAGGGCGGTAAGTAGGGGGGGGGGGGAAGGGGGAGGAGAGACCGTGCCCTCCCGCTGTGAGCAACCGCTTAACAACAGCGCCTGCTGCGGGGACGGGGACGGTGACGGCCGAGCCCTGTTGTCTCGCTATCAAGAGAATGTGTGTCATCCACGTTTCAGATCGAGAAAGAGGTGAATTTTTACCCGTGGGTTCAAATCCTCCCCCTCCCACTCTCTCTCTCCCTCCCACTCTCTCTCTCTCTCTCCCTCCCTCCCCCTCTCTCTCTCCTCCTCTCTCCCTCCCTCCCTCCCACCCACTCTCCCACCCTCCCTCTCTCTCCCACTCTCCCTCCCTCTCTCTCTCTCTCCCTCCCTCCCACTCTCTCTCTCTCTCTCCCTCCCACTCTCCCTCCCTCCTCTCTCTCTCTCTCTCTCCCTCCCTCCCACTCTCCCTCTCTCTCTCCCTCTCTCTCCCTCCCACTCTCCTCTCTCTCTCTCTCTCTCCCTCTCCCTCTCTCTCTCCCACTCTCCCTCTCTCTCTCCCACTCTCTCCCTCCCACTCTCTCTCCCACTCTCCCTCCCTCCCACTCTCTCTCTCTCCCTCCCACTCTCCTCCCTCCCACTCTCCCCCTCTCTCTCCCTCGCCAGGCCGCCCGCCCTCCCTCCTCCCACTATTATTCTTGTTGCAACAAAACAAAAAGCGTCGTGTTTGCACTGCAGCCGAGGGCTGAGACAGGAGGTGTGTTGTGTGTGTGTGTGGCTGGTTTGGTGGTTGTTGCTTTTCAATTGCCTTGTATTTAAAAGTTTTCTTTTTTTGGGGGGGGGTGTGGAGGGGGGTTTTAAGTGTGGTATTTGGTGTAATTGGCTCTTCACTCTCTACCCCCATCCCCCTCCTTTTCCACGTTCAATGTATTGAATTCTGGTATTGCCTAAGCAGTATTTATTACAGAAACGGGGCCCTGTTTCTCTTGGGTTTTTTTTTTTCCGCCGCTGATGATTTCCGTGTTTGGGTTAATCTAATCTTAAGTAAAAATATGAAACCTTGAGTTTTAACATGTTTGTAGATTTTAGGCCGGATAATAATAATGATAATAATCCTTGCATTTGATATAGCGCTTTTCGCGTCGGGAGGACGTCCCAAAGCGCTTCACAGAACACACAGTAAAGTGAATTGACTGTATATTTGTGGGCGAACGCGGCAGCCAATTGCGCACAGCAATGTCCCACAAACAGTCGTAGATTGAAAATGACCAATTTATTATTGTTTTTGGTTTTTGGAGGGATTATTATTAGGTGTATGGAGTAAGGAAACTTGCCCAAGGTTTCGCCCTGAGCAGCCTGGAATTGAACTCGGGTCTCCCGCTTGCAAAGCGAGTGCTCAAACCACTGAGCTACAGGACTCCACTAGATAGAATAAAACAGATTAACGGTATTTGTTTTTACCAAATTTATTTTCTGCTGAAGGTGTTAATTTCTGTTTCGTCCTATTGGATACATTCCACCGGCACTGAAATGCCCTTCAGTACTTTAACTGACCTTTATCCATACGTGAGCCTTAACTGTGTGTTAGTATGTCATTCACAATGGGGGAGATCACACCAAACCTCATCCTAGCCCGATGTACAATTATACATGCAGAGGTCATTGAATAATGATCAGCTGAACTTCTTCTCTCTTACCCAGGGCTGAGTGGCTAATTGTGTTCCTCTCGTGTCTGCCCTGGTTAAGGCGAGCTAACTCAGCATGTCTGGAAATTAAAGCTATGACATTCCTAGTCTTATGGCTCAGCTTCTCACTGGATTAATTTTGCTGAACCATTGAGGGAGCTCACACAGTTTCTCTAAGTGAATTGGAGGATTGTAATCCAACAGAGCAATTTGAATGATGTCAGAATGAAGCTCCAGTGATTGTGTTCATCTGTAAACCGCGATTGGATTATGGTCTTTACTGAGAAGTATTGGTTATTTATAACAGTGATTTTTTTTCATTCTAAAGTGTTTAATTACTGAAACAGTTAAGCAGTGAAAATATTACTAGTCTGAAGAGGGCCAAACAAATAATAATTTTAGTGCAGAAGTCCAGCATAAATGCAATTGTACATAATTAGATTATTGAAGGAGTTTTCTGAGGTCCTAGTTTTTGTATTTCAACTAGACAAATATGTTCCATTTATAAAATTCCAGAGGATTTAGTTATTGAGTTTCTGTTTTTTGAGCATTACTACTTTTTTGTGCAATTAAGCCATAAATGAATAAACTAATGGGAGTTTGTGGATTGTAGTTTGGGAAATAAATGAAGAGAATTAATATAATTACAATGCTATTATACATATCAGTGCATGAATCAGAATCTTTTCCTTATTTACAGAATATGAAGAAAAATAACTGGTCTAGTAGAAGTCAGCGCACGTGGCGTGATCGTCGGCGCAATAACCGATGGCGATCTCGAGAAAATTACAGTCGCACATCCAATGAAAGGTAAAGGTTTTTTGTTAGATATTCAATGCAGAGCAAAGAGAGATCTAACCCCACTGTAGGTTTGCCTTCGTCAAGATAAAATTTCCATCTTCTTATTACCTTTAAACATTTTCTACAAGCTTGTGCTTTAATCATACTAATCCTTGCATTTGATATAGCGCCTTATCACTTGGTTGAGACATATCAAAGCGCTTCACAGAATATACTGTAAAGTGAATTGACTGTATATTTTGTGGCTGAAATGCAGCAGCCAATTGCACACAGCAGTGTCCCACCAACAGGCATGCATTGAGTGACCAAATCATTATTTTATTTCATTATGGTTTAGACACAAAGTTAAATGCTATTATCTTAGTGAAAGTACTAGAATTTATTGAAGCTTTCAAAATTGCACACAAGTAGGTGAAAAATGACACTTTTTAAAAACAATAAATAAATCTATTTGTCATGTCCAGGTACTGGGAGAATGATTCTGGGGCATCAACAGGTCAATTAACTGAGCACAGTGATTCCAGTATGTCAGCGGGTGAACCAGCTCACAGTTCTTCAGTGTCGTCTGATAGAACGCAAAGCTCTGTACCAGGCAAGTAAATGTTCTGTTCTTTTAACTTTTTCATTTGCTCTGCACCTCCCAAAATTATTTTTGAGCATTACTACTTAATTTCATGCAATTAAACCATTATAAACCATTGTCAAGGCCAAATTATATTGTAATCTAAAGAGATCAGACTTTTAAAAAAAAAACAGCATCTAACACTGCTTGTATTTGAAGTAGTGCTTATCGTTTTGAAGTACAGTGACTGCTGTTATTTAGACAAAAATAATAACAGTGTTAGGCTGACTCAGCTGCTAGTGCTATCATCTCTGAGAAGGCTCCGGGTTCGAACATTGTCAAAGGTGCCATCCTTTGGATGAGGTGTTAAACCAAGACCATTAAAGATCTCATGGCACCACTCAGAAAGAGAAGGGAATTTCAGTGTTACAGCATTTTATAACCTGGTTCTACTGTAGCTAGCTCAACCTGTAGTGCAGTTGATGCATCCCAAGTCTATCTTCAGATCAACATGTATTTACCAGATGTATGTTTTATACTTTTCTTGAGCAGTGTTTGATCTTAACCAGTGCAAATTGACCTCTATTATAATAATGATTAAGTTAGTACAAGATCCAATCACTAACAAAACATTTAGTCCTTTTTCATAGTATTTGTTTATCACAGTCAGAGCTAAGTTTTAACAATAATATCATTCATGTGTTGATGGTAATTAAGTGAATTTGTTTGACTGGGATTTGTTCTAACATTAGGGTTCTGAGAATGCCAGATTTGCAAATAAATTTTGCAGATAGCCAGATGTGTGGCAGGCCAACTAGTTGGAGCTCTGTTCAGGTGCAATTCTCAGGATCTAATTCTGTGAAGCCAGATCATGGCCAAAGGAAGACTTCTGGAGGGCCAGTAGAGTGCAGATATGAGTATGAGCACCCTGAGACTATTGAGAGTGGGATTTGGTATCTAAAAGTTGAGTCCCTCTTGCTAAATAGTTTCGGTGTTGCCCATGTCATTTAGTAATGGACAATACTTTAGCGTTTTAACTTTTTATTATTCAGAGCTACCAGGATTCTATTTTGATCCTGAAAAGAACCGCTATTTTCGGCTATTACCCGGTCATAACAACTGCAATCCTCTTACTCGGGAGTCAATTAAACAGAAGGAAATGGAAGAAAAGCGGTTGCAAATGTTGGAGGCGGATGATAAGATTAAGGTAATTATGATAATTTCTTTGAATACTTTGCTGCCCATAATAACTTTTCCAAAAAAAATAATACAGGGGAAGTCTGTTATGTCATCCTTTGATGTGCGGCAGCATTGGAATAAATTGAAAAGTAGAAAGTTGCCCCCAAATTAAGGTTTCATAGTCTTGTTGTCCTGTCATATGCTTCTTTGTAGGTCTGTATCTTTTCCATACTCTCTTCATCCCCTCCCCCAGCAGTGCCTATTGTTGGACAGACACAATTGTGCCCACTCCGATGATCTGCTCCTGGAGCTGGTCAGAGCCAAGTAGCCACAGAGCAACACAGCACATCTGGTCACCAACTGGTGTCACTATTTCTTGCGAATCCCATACTTTCAACTCCATTATGAATAGAAGTTGACGGGCAAAGTAACCCAAGAATTTAATACAGTATGAGTAGTTCAGGACAGTACATGAGTATGCCACTGCCAGCATGGTGGAAGGTGAACTGGGTGTTCATTGGTCTTTTCATCTAGCATTTCCTATGGTAGCAAGAAACTTAATACTTGCACTTCGCAATGAAGATAGATATATTTTGATGCATGTTGAAATGATTGTAATTGTTACATTTGCATTAAGACTTTCATAAAAATTATTTTAACAAAAAACCCAGAGAGTGACTAGAGTGGGCTTGAACTTCACCAGAGTGCTACAAAGAAGACACTTTGGATTGATGAACTCGGGATCATATTGCCGGTAAGAATGTCTTGCTTTTAAGACCACAAGGCATTTATTTGACTTGTGTCCTACTTCAGTTTGTATTGTTGCTTTGCATTCAGTGCTGTAGGTGACACTGCATGGTTTCCGATAGACTTAGCAATTAGAAAGTTTTTTGAATAAGATATAATAATCCTTGCATTTGATATAGTGCCTTATCACATCATTCAGTGCTTCACAGAATATGCCGTAAAGTGAATTAATTGTGTATTTTGTGGGCGAAATGCGGCAGTCAATTGTCAGTCGTACCACAAACAGTCGTAGATTGAGTGACCAAATTATATTAAAAATTTAGAAATGGCATTATACCAGCAGAAGTCTACTGATGTTTTAATGGATAAAACATGGAGATGTCTAGTCACTGCTACCTTCCAGACATACCTACGGGTTTAGTAGAGTAATGAGAACAGCATGCAGTTAAGCATCAGAATCAGAAATATTTCTGAATCCTGGCAAGGCCTGCTTTATAGAGACTGAAATAAATCATCCCTTTAAAACAAACCCCTTGATATGAAAAGGTTCTGCTGTTGTAACAATGAGAAATAACAGCCTGGTGTCAGCCTGGCTCCGTCGATCAGACTCTCATTGAGTCAGAAGGTTGTGGGTTTTTTTTGGTGGTGGGGTGCCGTTGGTCAGCGAGGTGCCTGACACATCACTGAAATGAGCGTAACCCAAATCAAACTTAAAACCTTACACATGGAAGTACTCGTGTTTGAAACGGAATGCATTCTTTTCTCAGAGGGAAGAGCCCCACATTTGGACTTTTGTCTAGGCTGATACTCCGACGTACTGCTAGGGCAATGTTGCATCAACTGAGGTGCCATCCTTTGGATAAGTCATTAAACTTTGGTCCTGTCTGCCTGATCAGGTGATCCCATAATACTATTCGAAAAGAGAAGGGAGTGTCTCCCAGTGCTCTGCTCAGCAATCTCCCAGACAAAATTGGTCACTCGCTTCATTGCTGTTTCGGCACATCGCTGTGCACAAATGGTTGCTGCGTTTGCCTAGAAGTCACTACACTGTAGAGCAATTCTTGTGCAATACCTTGAGACACTTCAATGACGTAATAGGGCGCGAGGAATATTTTTTTCTTTAAATTTAGTACATCCAATTATTTTTCAAATTTTCTCCCTATGCCTATCTGCACCTGTCTAGCTGCCTCTTTGCTGGGTGCGATTCCAAAGGCCCTGGCGGCCCTCAGTACACTGCTCAAGTGGCCATAGTATCATATGTGAATTTTGACGGCGTATGTCAGCAGGCCACTGAACCGGAGTGGGAATCATCACTGAGCCTGACCTCTCCCTGTGGCTGCCCCAGACACACACAATCAGTAGAGAGGGCGCTGTATAGGGACCAGGAGCAGAAACTCTGGCTGGGTTAACCGTCCCTAATGCTGGGAAGGCCGGAGATAATTTATATTGAGAAAATACTATTTCTTCTGTACCTGACCACCAGGTATTTGGGAAGATCTGCGAATTCCACTTAAGTGTTGCAGCAGAGGATTAACTTACTGCATACTCTACCTGGTTTATAATGCAACCAGCAAACTCTGCACAGACCAGGATTTAAACCGGCAAGCTCCTGGTCTACAAGCTCCAGCTCTCTCCACTACACCATCAAAGCTGACCAGGATGACCATAGAATATTACATCACAGAAGGAGACTATTCGGCCCATCGTGCCTGTTCTAGTTCTTTGGCAGAGCTACCAAATCAGATGATAATAATTAATAATTTTAATAATAACAGGGATTTGTTTTTAAGTATCTTTCTTAACTTTTTCAGACTTATTCACGAACTAAAGATCAACAACATGAGAAGGAATAAATTGGAAATCCAGAGCTCTGATTCCTCCAGTACCAGTACAGGCAACTTCAAAACTATTTTAGTAAGTGTGGTAACTGCAATTAGTATTTTTGTTGACTTGATTGAACACCTGTTGTAGTCATAGTTTTATACCTTTTTCTGTGCTTGAAATACAAGCACATAACAAAAAGAAAATCTTAAAGATCAGCTAAAACAGTAATAGGCTGCATCGGTATAGTTGCTATGGATTGCTAGGTTTGATGAGGTTTGACTCAATGGCTAATGTTGGTTTAACTTTCTGGAGAGGTCTTGTATTCCTCTACAGGCAATGTGGAGGGAAGATAACTGAGCTAGTACAGAGAGAGTTACTCATAAAGTCCTATCCTACCAGCCCTCTGAGATGTTATCTTGCATGAAGGGCACTATATACAGTAAATTGTCACTCCAAGGAGAAAGGTTCAATGACAATTATCCGGAGTGGTGAGTTAGGCATATGTATAAATACATAAATAAATGCAACCGAGATATTGACAGCATAATAATAAGTGGGAGTGCCAAGTTAAGCCAGGGTTGTGTTATCAGGAGTTTACTGTAAATGTAATTTATTGTTGTTTGATGTATCCTATGGGTGAGTGGGCCACATTTGTGAGGTGTGTAAAATGCTGTAATAGACAGATTTTCAGCCAAGAAATAGCTCTCTCCTCCCTCTTGATCTTCAGACATTTGGAGAGAGCAGTCTATCGGCAATGGATGCCAACAGTATCTTCTCGGTTTCGTGCAGTGGTCTGTCAGGTTAGGAACCTACACTCCATTCCTCTAATTCTGTCAGAACTACTGAATTAAAATTATTCAACAACAATAAAAAGGAAGCACTTTTAAAGTTCATCTTTTTCTGGGATTTGATTTTTGATAACTAGTCCTGGGTGACTGTAGTGTATTGGTCAGTGTGCTCGCAAGTGAGAGCACCTGGGTTCGATTCTCATGTGGGGTGAAAGCGTAGACAAGTTTCCTTACCCCACATGCCACTGTTTACCTTGCAGTAAGTAGGAACCTGGGTGTTAAACGATTGGCGGGATCGCTTTCTGGGGGTAACAATCGCTTAAAAAAATACCCTAATTTGGTCACTCAATCCATGACTCTGTGAGACGTTGCTGTGCACAATTGCCTTCTGCGTTTTTCCCACAAAGTATACAGTCGATTCACTTTACAGTATCTTCTGTGAAGCGCTTAAGACGTCTCAACGACGTGGTAAGGCGCTATATCAAATGCAAGGATTATTTATTTAAAGTTGAAGATGCATTTACCAGAGTTGACAAAATTTATCACAGAGGAGTTACCTGCTTGTAGCAATCTCTTGTTTGTGAGCACTTCAATTTCTTCCTGACTATTTAGAGTTCTTTGCTACTGTATTTGACTAACCAGTTAACCCATGCTGTCATCAGCAATTGTTTTTGATGAGAGTCCAATTTACTTCGCAATGTTCCTCTGCTAAATGTTGGCAGGAACTGAGAGCTGGGTTTGTGCCAGAAGTGTTTGTCATAAGTAAATAACCATTACAACTATTTTAAGGCACAAATGGAAAAACAAAGCTAATTTTAGTTCTCCAGAAAAGGGGATTGTGGGAGCCATTGATTATTAGTGGTAAGCATTTATCTGTCCAATGCGCCACTTCATTCTGAGCCCTCACTGTATGGTGGACACTCCTGTGTAATTATTGGTACTTTTGTATGATATTCCTTCAATTGGATTAGCTTGGTAACCATTACACAAAGCTTCTGAACTCTGTAATTATCAGTCAAAACGGGAGAAAAGTAGTTTAGCTTAAAACCTCTGTTGCAGGGGAGTTGATTGCATTGCGTGGTCCTCTTCGACATGGGTAATATTCTTCGTAACTCCCTCTGAGTATTTAAGTCTTTAATCATCATAATGGCTTGGAGTTAAGCCTTTTGCCCCTGATAGACACACAAATGTAATGTTACGTGCCACAGATCTGTTTTATTTCTTTTACCGCAATGTAATGGCTTGTTTGTGGTGGAGTCGGGTTACTTTTGAGGTAATTGAGGGTATCCCAGAGGCCCATGCTTAGTTACCTTACATGTTGTATTAACATGACCTAAGGGGTTATTCTTAAAGTTAATTGCCTGCTTCAGGCAACTTAAATTCTTCATGTAAAACAGTATTGGTGATCTGTCAAGAGGAATCTATTAGGTTTCTCACTATTCTGTTTGTCTTGCGTGCGTACTGTTTTATTTTAATCCAGGTGCCAGCACCTTCCTTTTTAAACATCTGTGAGATTTTAAAACGTGTTTTGCCGTAATTTGATGTGGATGAAATGGATATGATCGGGACTTTATGTTTTTTAAAAGTGTATCAGTCTGGCTCACTTGGTAGCTCTCTCGCCTCTTGAGTCAGAAAGTTGTGGGTTCAAGCCCCACATTGGGACTTGGAACTCATATCATCTAAGATGACATTCCAGTGCAGTGCGGGGGGGTCTGCCTGTTTAGGTGGATGTTTAATAATCTTTGCATTTGATATAGCGCCTTATTACATCATTGAGACGTCTTACAGCGCTTCACAGAATATAATAAAGTGGATTGACTGTATTTTGAGTGCGAAACACACACAGATCCTGTAGTAATTTTTGCAAAGTGAAGGGAATTTCTCCCAGTGTCCTGGCCAACAAATCCCTAAAATAATATTGGCCATTGACTTCATGACTGTTTGTGGAACATGTAAATTGACTGCTGCATTCCCCCACAAAACACACAGTCACTGCACTTTACAGTATATCCTGTGAAGCGCTTTGTGATATCTCCTGATGTGAAAGGCTCTGTACCCAATATAAGGATTATCATTATTTTCATTTGATTGTATTCCTAGCTCAAGTTTCCTCCATCATTGTACAGATTACCTTCTTAAAGCAGTCCATCCAATGAAATCCAAAAAAGGGGAAAAAATTTAATGTGAATGAGGTAAAGGAAAAAATAATTTGTAAAGGGACAGAAAGGAAAAAAGTAGAGAGTGATTCCTTCCATTGCGACCAGATTCTCCATTTTCCCATTCTATTGAGCAAATACTACTATCTCTTCTGTACTTGACCACCAGAATTTGGGGTATTCCACTTAAGTATTATTGCAGCAGAACATTCATTTACTGCATGCTCTAGCTGGTTAATATTGAGTCTGTGAATATCTGAGTTATAATAATGACGATCTTTGCATTTGATTCAGTACCTTATCATACCGTTGAGACTTTTCCAAGCTCTTCACATATTGTAAAGTGGATTGACTGTATTTTGTGGGCAAAACGCGGCAACCAATTGTGCACTGCAACCGTCGTATTTTCTCTCTCTCTCTCTATATATATATAAATGTTACTGTGTTTCACTTGACAGGCAGATACAGCGTGTGAACGAATATTTGCTGTAAACGCTGAGGACGGAGGCTGCAAATATGGAATTATGAACCTGAATGGATGTAGGAAAGGAATAGGACTACTGACTGTGGACATGTGTGATAACCTCTACTTTACACACCGCAAGGTTAGTTATCACCTTCAGTTCAGTTTAAGTGTGTTTACTTAACAAGTGTGTTTACTTGTTTTTTATTTTTTTTTTATTAAAAATTGATTTTAAGGCCATTTCTACAAAGTTGCATCTATTCTGTGGAGCCCTGTACCATATTGATTAGAGCACTCACCTCACAAACGAGAGGACCTGGATTTGATTCCCGGGTAGGCAAACCTTAGGCAAGTTTCCATACTCAACAACAACTTGCATTTATATAACGTCCCTCACATAGGATAGCGTCCCAGAGCACTTACTCAACATGCCTCTGTTTACTTCATAGTAAGTAGGAAACCAGTTGCTAGTCGATTGGCGGATCGCTTTTTCTGGGGTAATATTCCCTTCAAAAAAAATATTTTTTTACAATAATAATTATTTGGTCGCTCAATCCACGACTGTGTGGACATTGCTGTTTTGCCTACAAAAATAGTCAATTCACTTTACAGTATATTCTGTGAAGTGCTTTGAAACGTCTCAACGATGTAATAAAGCACTATATCAAATGCAAGGATTATTATTAAAAAATTGGGATACATGTGGCTTTGCTCTTTCCTGGAGTCTCTTTGAACTTATTTTCCTGAGCACAGGAATGGGCTCCAGACTTACTGCCAGGTCTTTGTTGAAGCAGCTCTATAGGCAGTCACGTAATACTAATTTGGACTCTAGCCTCTTCTTTCCCTTTGCCCCCCTCGCCCCCCAACTCAGCATAAGAGCACACACCACACGAAGAGGATGGGCAACCAACTCCTTGTCTCTGCAAACTCACTGTAGAACCCGCCACCAGTGGTCCTGTGAAGAGATCTCTCTCTCTCGCTCTGGGATCTCTAGCTCCCGATCTTTTTCTCTGTTCCTCCTCCCCACCTCGTTTGAAAGCATATGACCTCACTGACTGTTTCCCTCATTCTATAATTGTGCCCTTTGGGATTGTTCTTGGTATGCCTACTCTCAAAATGTCCCTCATGTGAAGGGAAATACAATTGGTGAAAAGGGGATAAGAAAAACGTGATTTCTAGTTGCAGTTGAGCAATTCCTGGAGTGGGAGCCCTGCATGATTAATAATAATGAATTTGTAATACTATCTGAAAGAGCTCTTCCATATTTATTGGTCTCACCACCTACCCAGGGTATTTAATGTAGTTTCCACCTCCCAACCTACGAAAGTATTTTATCAGCATTTGTCTTGCCTCCTCCATCTGGAGTTGTAGAGAACTGGGAGCTCTCAAACCACATAATAAGATATGAAATAGCAGAAGTCTGAATATAGTCATTAAAACAGAGTGTCCAGAAACTTAGTTGAACTCTGAAACGATTAGATTAAATGTATGTTGGAGAGAGAGGTGTGCTTAGAATGTAATATTTTGTCCAAAACATATACAGTCAATTCACTTTACAGTATATTCTGTGAAGTGCTTTGGAGACTCCTTGAAGACCCGATAAGGCGCTATATCAAATGCAAGAATTATTATTTTACCCCACCCCCTTCCACCCCCACTCTTGCTCTTGTGCAAAAACAGATTGGTGTCTTTTCTAGTCTTGGGTGTCATTCATTGTAACACTTGAGCCCGGAAACTTCATTTCCATTGTGGTACAGAGCAATATCTGGCAGGCACTGATGTTTTAGGCTTGGATGCCTCTCAATTGTCAGCCTTTCCAGCACAGACTATCTGTGTTTCTTACAGTGTCCTTCACTGACTAGGGTCATAGCTGATGACAGCTGAGTGACTCCCTAGTGAATCTCGGCACCTGAAACAGTTGGTCTTGACCGAGGAGGGGGAATTGCATTAAATTATACCTATTCCTCATTACGCTTTTGCTTTTACACTTCCCTTATGGACCTGGTGAAGAGAGGAGCATTTCGCATTGAAAGCACTCGAACCTACACTTACTCCTCCTTTCCTCCTTTTATGGCAGTACTGAAACTGGAGACTAGTATGTTAGATATCATAATGGTTTTTGATACAGTTAATGATAGGCCTGAAGGAGTGTGGTTTATCTGGCATGAGTGAAACTACAGTTTGATTTCTTTGTAGATCAGTCATCTGGAACACACGCCAAAAGTTTAGAAACCTGAGGCTGAAATTGCACCCATCCTTGCTTGGCCCAATTCTTGGCCTGTTAGACAGCTGTATTTTTAAAATAAATTTTAAGTGTTAATTTTAAGATTATTATTACGATTGTGCACAGTTGTAGAGAATTCTTAAGTTCTGTCTTAATTTGGAAGTAGGTTTTCCATAGTTCTTAAAAGAAAACCTCTTTCCAAATTAAAACTGAGTTTAAGAATGCTCTGCTTTGTGTCATGTGTTCAGACCCTATTGATTTTTTTAACCTGTACTGAAATAATTTGGATTGACTTGTAATAACTGGTCAAAACTAAAGTTCATATGCAAACACGAGTTATCATTGATTTTCCATATGTTACAAGGATCCATGACATTTTGACCTGCTTTTATAACTCAAGTCTGTTTTGCTTCACTATTCCAGCTTTTATTTTGGGTGAGGGGGATCTCTAATTAGCCCTAACCTTCTTAAAATCAAATGAAAACCAAGTCCTTTGGGTCTGTCTTAGGAGCAGAACAAATCTCTGTTACATTAATGAGCTCCCTCAGGTCTTTCACTCTTGCCTCTTTTTAAATATTGATGACTGTCCTGCTGTCTCACAATTCTGCTGAAACTGTTGAAATGGTATTTGTGTAATTGAGGCAAAGGTTTCTCAGTTTCAATGATAATTAGCTCTGAACTTAACCGATTCAATCCATTTGTCATTCATCAATATGTCTTGCCCCCAAAATGCTCCTTAATTATTGCTATGAATTATTTTAACCTTGAACGATAACTCTGTAAATATGCAGCTAAACACCATATTGCCTTTGAAGTGTCATTGCCAAATTAATCTGCAAAGATAGCAGGAATAATAAATGCATCTAGTGCTGGCTTACACAGAAAGCACTTACAGTATACAATGCATTCATTTATTTTGTCTGCTTTGTCTCACTATGATTATGGTGATGTAGTCTTCTGATGATCAAATAGTCAGCTTTCTACCAGACTATAAATATTACAAAACAAAATAGGGTTAGATTAAATTGCAATTTAGTCATCAAAATAACTTTAGCCAAATTCTAGTAGCTTTTCTCTATCTGAAACAGAGTGCTAGGAACTTCAGTGTTACCATAGTGTAGAATTTTACCTTTATCTAGCCCTTACTCACCTAAATAGGACTTTTTCAAGACTACACTCAGTTTATTTCAGTTCCTACCGAGGAATTCTCTTCCTATTCCTAAGGAGAAAGGAAAAACTGTGCTTTGTCCTGGTTTACACAGAATACACTTACAGCATTTATTTTGTCTGCTTTGTCTCACTTTGATTATGGTGATATAGTCTTCTGATGATCAAATAGTCAGCTTTCTGCCAGACTATAAATATTACAAAACAATGTAGAGTTAGATTAGATGTTCCATAAATGACCAGTGAACTAAAGTAACTGATAGCTCAGATACAGTAGACCCACGTTGGTGTGTGTGTGTGTTTTGACTTGCATACCGTGTTGTCTGTTAATTGACCTTGGGCAGGAGCCCATTCTAAATGAGGTTTTGAACTTAACAAGAACATCTTGTGCGTGTACTATGTTAATGTCTAAACTAAATGTTTTAAGCATTTTAATTTACTGTAGAGGATATGGATTCCTCTCCAAAGGACACTTTATAAATCTCAAGTTCATTGCACCATTGCTTAGAATCCGACACTCAGAATTCTGCTGTGGACTGATTTGGTTGCAGTTTGGGGCACTTTCCCTCTGTGAATTTGCACCACTGCTTCAGTTAGCAATTGTTAACTCTTAAGTACACTTCTGTAAATGTCATTGTGATATTACCAAGTGCTTTTAATCCTGGCTTGCGAGATAATTAATTGCATTGAATGGTCATTGCATGGACTATTATTAAATTGCATTACATGTGTATAGCACCTTTCACACAGGGAGGACATTCTAAGGCTCATGGTAAGTTCAGTATTACTAGATGTGTTTCTAATCTTATTTATATTGCATTAAGGGTGTGCCTGAATCAATTCACTGATAGGAATGTTTTAACAATCTTTTCAAATATATTTGATATATTTAACTTTGTATTTTCCAGGGGAGCTCTATTTGCTGGGCATCTGTGTCTGGCCCAGATTCTCATGTCCTGTATCCTTTAAACCTCTCCTGCCTATCTTGAATAATACAGTAGGTTCTTGTGTTCACTCTTGCATAGTTCAGCTATGCGTTGGATGTGTGTCAAATAGTCAGAGTTCAAGTTACCACAGTTTTATAGATTAATGAAATCCCCTTCCAGCTTTTGTTAAACTATTTAGCAATAGTTTTCTAAACCAACTTTATTAAAAAGGAACCTGCTATTTGTTGTAAATTGAAAATATTTTTATCAATATTTATTGAAGTCAAACCTAATCTGTGCAATGTTCTCCTGTAAAGCATTATCCTCAGTCATTATGGCTGGTCCTGATTACTGAGTAATTGGTGACATGCTTTGAATTCTAATGATTACATCTTAAGTATTTTAATTCATAGGGAGTTTTTGACGTTAAATCCTGATGTTTTTCGCATTTAGTTGCCAGTTTAATGTAGATCTGTATTCTTTCAGTACTAATTTCTGATTTTAGCAAAAAAAAGACTTGATTGTGCATGCTAAGAAACTGTCCCCAAAGGCAATATACTATTTTATCAATGCCGCCTTACACTCATCCTCATTGACAAACCATAGCTGCTTAAGGGGATACGGAAAATACATCTTTTCCCTGGTATATTGAGTTTCAAACATTTTTTGTTGGGTGGGGACAAGAAAGTTGGAGTGCAAGTAGACCATCTGTTAAACATTAAAATAATTCTATATAAAACTAAGCTTTCTGAATCACCTCTTTGACTCTTGTGTGCTTTTTCTTAGAAAAAAAACTAACTTAAGATTTTGCTTCTGGGACCTTCCTGGATGGCGGAAGGACTGTGCTAGATCTTTATGTCCATAATCCTCAATTGTTCTAAAGCTACATTTAAGCTGCCAGATCCACATTTTATGATTCCACTTTACCCATGGTTTTGATTTATTTTCCTGTGTGTTTGCTGCAGCAAAGCTATCACTTGCCATGGAGATGGCTGCAGGGCTCCTGGCTATCTGTCAAATGGCTCAGTTTGGACAGTTCTAGCTGTTCTAGGCTTATTGGTGGCAAGTTGGCTTATTGTAGTGAGCCTTTGTCCCTCTGTGCAGGAACAGACTGATCCTTCCAATCAGGTCTCATTACAAGCCTATCGTCTGTTTGCTGCAAGAGGCGCTGTGAAGCCAAGAGTCATTGTGAGGAAAAGAAACGTGGGTTTGAAGCATAGAGAGAAGCGGAAGATCAAAGGGATCTCCACTATGGACTGTTAGATGCTTCTCTAGTTAACATGCTTTAAGGACAGAAGTTTTGTGAGTAAACACTAAAGATAATGTGGTGCTTTGAGGACNTTTTTTTTACCTGGAAGCACTTGAATCATTGAGAAGTTAAGAACAAAAATGATTTCTCTTCTTACAGGACAGTGCAGTTAAGATCTGACCTTCTCCAGAGCAATGCTGAATGTAGTGTAGAACAGGATAAAGGAGTGTGCAGAGAATAATCAATAGAAAATACCATTACATATTGTTCCAATTAGCTACAGTTTCCTTGTAAAACCCTTTTTGTTCTAAATTGTGGCCACTTTGAAAAGCTTACTTTACTAAATGTCCACCTGGAATTCTTTTCCCAGTGATTTCCCTTTCCTTAACTAATCTATGCCAGGCTTTGCCTTACAGGCCACGCGGAAACTCCTGGCTGTGTTAGCCTACTACCTGCTTCGTTATTTAGTAATTCCAACCCAGGTAAGCAACGCTATCGATGGAAAACCTGTCCGCAACAAAATTTATGACATTCAGGGGACCGTTTCAAAGCACGTGGGCTTGATGATATAAAGATTTTTTTTTTGCAATTCATTTTTATGTTCAGACATTAACTCTCTATCCCAAATGGCTGTGGATGCTGCATCCATTCAAATTGTCAAGAGATGAATAGATTTTTGTTAGATAAGGCTATCGAGGGATATGGGGCAAAGGCGGGTAATTGGAGTTGAGGAACAGATCAACCATGATCTATTAGAATGGCGGATCAGGCTAGAGAGGCTGATTGGCCTATTCCTGTTCCTATGACAAATAGGTTACTTTATAGGGAGCTGTTGTATTTTATGGAGAGGAATCCTAATAATAATCCTTGCACCTGATACACCACCTTTTACGTTGGGAGGACGTTTCAAGGCACTTTCATAGAATTTACTCTGAAGTGTATTTGTAGGCAAACGCAGCAGCTCAATTGCACAAAGCATCCCACAAACAACCACATTTTTATTTGGGGGATTCCTGGTTAGCATACTGGGGTAGTGGGTAGGACCATGGGATTTTTTTTTAACCTGAACAGACAGATGGGAGCGTCTTATCTGAACACCGCACATGCAACACATCCCCAGCACTGCATTGGAGGGTCAGCTTCGACTGTGAGCTCATGTCCCGACGTGGGTCTTGAACTCGCTACGTTCTAACTCAGAGACAAGAGTGCTGCCAACTGAGCCAGACTGACACAAAATAAATTAGTAACAATGAAAGGCTTACAGAGAGCTATTAAAATCTGTACTGCAGAGGTCAAAATGTGTACCAAATCATCAATACATTTTCTTGGTCAGCTTCACAGCACTAGTTCATTCTACAGGTGATCAAACCTCCAATGGCATATTTGGCAGTTTGTGGAAAAGTTCAGACAGTTGATTGGACTAAGGAAAGCTGCTGATAGTTCTTCGACTTCTGCAGCTTCTGGCACACGTACACATGGCTCATTGTACAATATTGGATATATGTGCAGTGAAGGTTCAACTTATTTTATGCAGTTTCCATGACAGCGCAGATGTTGCTTGGTTGGAAACGTATTTGTGTGACCCATTCCAACCTCCTTGACAGGCAAAAGAATCCTTAGGAGGGTAAATGGTTAATGTTTAATGGGGCTTGGCAATGTTTGTTTGGCAGACCCCATTTCAGGCTTTTTACTTAATAAAAACCTCCCTCCTCAAGTTGGTCTTGTTTTACCATGGCAATGTCAACCGTAGCTAATTGGGCTTTGACGAATGACTCTAGGTGCAGCCAGAAAGGCCAATATTGTAAAAGGGAGACTGTTGTTAAAGCGTAAAGATAATATGGTTGTTTTTGCTATGTAAACATGTGGATTATGAAACGTATTAAGTGCAGTGCACAGTAAGTTGTGTTTTTTTTTACTTATGTCTGTGTACAGGAGATCAGCCTGGAATGTTGTGCAGCTTTAAGATTTCCACCGCTTGGACCTGTGCCTGGTGCTTCAACCCACAAGCTGACAAGTGCTTCAGCACAGGTAGACCTGGCAGGTATTGTAGTTATAGAGCAACCTAACTGCCTTGGTGTTTGCCAACATAGGCACATTTGGATTGGCACAATATCTCAGTGATCATATATCTGTTACTTCAACTTGAATGTTGCCTGGTGAGACTCAGAGCAGCAGGAAAGTGTTTATACTTGTGATGACTCCTCAGTGCCTAGTGCCCGGTTCTAGAGCAGCATTGTTGCTGCTTAACTGGGGTGGAGGTGGGGTGTCAGCGTAGACAAACATTAGAAATGTTCTTACCATTTTGTAGAAGTCACATGCAATAAGGGTGTTAACCTTTGTGTAAAGCTATTACTACAGTATTGCATGAAATTATTTCAAAATAAAATTATTAAGGTCTAAAATTTGTGTATTTAAGACTGAATTTGGCCACCAAAACTATGATTGCACAATTTGTAAAAAAAAGTTTACTTTTAAAACTTTTATTCTTATAAAAGCTATAATCACTGTAGATTAGTACTCAATACATCTTAATTATGTTTTACAAAGCAAGGTTGTTTATTTTCACTGGACAGGTCTCATCCATAACTATTATATTAGAAGTGCTTTGAGATGTTCAATCATGTAATTGAGCAGTCTGGGATTCTACACTAGGTGAGGGGTGCTATATAAATGCAAGTTATTGTAATAAATTGGTCACTCAATTCACGACTGTTTGTGGGACACTGCTGTGTGCAATTGGCTGCGGCGTTTCACCCACAAAATACAGTCAATTCACTTTACAATATATTCTGTGAAGCGCTTTGAGACGTCGCAAAGACGTGATAAGGCGCGATAATCACATACAAGGAGTATCATTATTATAATAAGGTGTTTTATCGAATGCAAGGATTATGCATATTATTCTGCTTCACAGGTTTATCACACCGTGTTCTTGTGACTGATGTTGTAACGGGTAGAAAACAGGCATTTGGTACCACCAGCAATGTTCTTGCTCAGCAGTTTGCACGACGGGTAAGCAGGGGTTATACTCCCTTTGCAATCATTACTCTTTTTTACTTGGGCCTGGTTTATGTATTTGTGAGGAGAACCTTAATAACAGCCATGCAATGGATCGTGGCTATCCGCGGTGAAATGCTGGCGAGAATACCGGTTGAAGAGTGAACAAAACCAGGAAATTCCATTTAAGAACTGCATTAGTGACAAGTGCTTTGAAATGGTGGAGAGCACTGAAGTTCTTAGCAGTTTTCCGTCCTTTGGATGAGACTTCCGTCCCTCAGTTGAGACATTAAACTGAGGTTCCACTGGCTCCCCATCACCAAACTGATCGGCTTCAGGATCTTCACATTCGTGTTCAAATCACTTCACTCCTTGGCTCCTCCCTACCTCTCCGACCTCCTCACTCCCCAATCCACCACCCGGCGCCTCCACTCAACAGGCGCCGGCCTCCTGCTTGTTCCTCGCACCCTCCGCTCCACCGTAGGAGGTCGCGCTTTCAGCCACTATGCCCCGAAACTTTGGAACACTCCCACAATCCTTCTGCCTTGTCACCTCTCTTTTTCAAGTTCCACCTTAAAAACTTCCTTTTTGACCGTGCTCAAGGTCACCTCGTCCCCCCCACACCCCGGCCCGGAATCAGGCTCCGCCGTTGTTAAGCGCTCTGAGACGCTGCCCTGAGTGGAGGGCGCTATGTGTGTGCAAGTTGTTATTGTTGAAGTACTGTCTACCTGTTTGGATATTCAAGATCCCACGGCACTAATTGAAAAGGGAAGGGAGTTTCTTCCAATGCGGATGGAGGGGGGGAAGAAAATCAGCGCTACAAATGGGTAAGGGGCAAACTGAAGGATAGCCTTGCACATTTAATGCTTTCATTAAATGGTCTAATCTTGCCATTGTCTAATCAGAGAATTTAGATTGGATATCTTCTCATCCTTTCAGTTAATGAATGGTGTGGTCCAAAGAGATGTTTAGTGTGAGAGGAGGAGGACTGTTGAGTGAGGATTATATAATAAAATGTATATACATTGGTTTCCCAATGGTTCCTTTAGTAAAACTAGGCAACAGTGTGGGAAAGCCCCAGGTTCAATCCACAATCTGTGTTGATTTAGCTGATCTCAGCTTAGACGCTGCAGTTGGCCTCTAGTTCTCGTGTAGAGAAAGGGGAAAATCATTCAGGATTCCCACTCTGATGTACATAAACATGGATGGCCGTTTAAGGCAGGATTGGCTTTGGCGCCTTCACAGTTAACTAGCCTGTGGAAACTCTTTCAAGAATCACATGTGAAGAATGACTGAGGTGCCAGAGAGCACCTTGTGCCTATGGAACTGGGCCATCATTCATTTTTGCCTTGGGATGAGGAGGGGGCAAGATTAGACCAACATTAATGTCGGGAGTTATTTCGTTGACAAGTACAGGGAAAGCAATCTTCTGTGTTCATGTCTCTCATTTAAGTTATGTTCATAACATGCTCAGTATCTCGTAACGAATGGTGTTGTCTCTACAGAACCCTGTGTTGTATAATGGCTGCCGTTCTGGGGAGATTTTCAGCATAGATATCAGACAGCGAACTAGGAAAGGAGAGAGCTGGAAAGCTACCAGGTTTTTCCATGACTCCGCCGTGACCTCCATTCAGCTTCTGCAGGATGAAAATTATTTAATAGCAGCAGACATGATTGGAAAGGTATGGAGAACCGCTAATTCCCTCTCGGGAGTCAGGCAACCAGAAATTTAAATTTATACCAATATTTTGCATGCATGTTTTTGCTTTGTGGTATTTATATAAAAGAAAAGTTGACTGCAGTTTCATGCTACCTATAAAAAATCTTCATTTCCAAACAAATGGAAGTGATTATCATATAAATGGAAAGAGAGAGCATTCATTTCAAGGTTAAGCTTATTGTTGGTTTAGAGGTGGATCCGCCTTGTTGACCTTTTCCACTCAAAAGACTTTATCCCAACTGTTTTATTATATATTCACACAAACCAACACACAATTATTCCGCTCTATATTTTACAGCTCCATAAAGATTTACCCAGATATTCAATACAAAGTCTTTGATTCTATTCAGAAAAGTGAAGTTTTCAAAAGATCACTTCACTGTTTTGAAACAATACCCTGAGTTGCTTGGAGGGAATGGATGAGGACTGTTCATATGTACTAAAGTAATATGGACTAGTGCCAGGTCTTTGTAATTCCTTTAAGATGATATTGATATCATGTTGTCTATCCATATATAAGCCTGTGTACTTGCGTACTACCTTCAGCATAGTAATCATTTGCAGCAGTAGCAGAACAAAGAGGGAAAGATAGCAGAAGACTCCAGAAATGTTTAATCAATACTTTTTCTCTGTTCTTTCTCTTTCACCCATATTAGCATTTTAGAATAAGTTTAGTGTAAGAGCAAGTTTTCTGTTTCATACTAAATTAGAGGAGAGGGGATAAATAATAATCCATGCCTTTGATACAGCACCTTATCCTGTCAAGATGTCTCAAAGCGCTTCACAGGATTTTATTGTGAAGTCTAGTGACTGTAGTGATAGGGAATTCTAGTAGTCAAGAAATAGTGCAGTTGCCATTAGGAGACATTTCTCTGCATTGAAGGACTGATACTGTCAACTGAATATCATAACAGCAATCCTCAAGGTATAGGCCTTTCATGTTAGAACGACTTCCCAAAAGCTTCACACGATATGCTGTAAAGTGGAGTGACATTGTTTGTGTGGGCAAATGCAGCTGCCAATTTGTGCATGACAATGTCCCACAAACAGCCATGAAGTCGATGACCATTTTTTTTTTCTGGGGATTGTTAGCACCAGGACATCGATAGAAACGCCCTTCTCTTTTCAAACAGTGCCATGTAATCTTTAACATCCACCTGAACAGCTGGATGGAGCCTTGGCTTAATGTCTCATTCGAAGGCGCACCCCCGACGGGGCAGCCCGGCCCCATCTTAGACCAGTGCAATGGGAGCCAACCTGTGGCTCGCAGGGCAGTCACAAAGTGGCCCCCTGGACACTGTCACTAGTCCAGGTAAGTCTGTTTTTGTCTGTTAGTGTGTTTTCGGGTTTTTTTTGATCAAATATTTTTTATTTATGCCATAAATCAAGAAATATTCAATCAAGAAAATGTATTTTGTTGGCCAATCATAAAGATAGATCATTTGAAATTCCAAGTCTCGGTGTAGGGCTTGAACCCACAACCTTCCAACTTGGAGGTGAGAGTGCTACCAACTGAGCCAGACTGACCCTCCTAAATAATAGCAACTTGCATTTATACAGCGCCCTTCGTGTGTGGGGTGGTGTCCCGGAGCGCTTCATAGAAGAAATAGTAGTAAGCAGTGTAGTAATCTCAAACCTCCACATCTAATACTAGGAGACTGACCTGAGACTAGGTTTGCAGCAGTTATGGTTTGTTCAAAAGTATAAATGTGCTCAGACACAAACTGAAAACATCAGTATGTTCTGCTGAATAATACAATTGTCATGTCTGATTGAATTTCTAAGAACCTCTGTGGATGATCTGCCATTAAAAACTTAATATTATTCAGTTGATTGAATACTTTGCTAAGCACACTCCAACATAAAGGCCTGAAAGGCATTTCAGAGAATTTTGCTTGAAAAAAAATTGTCAGCTCTACTGATGTTCAGTGCTAATCATAGCAGCTTAGGTCAGTTTTTAATTATTTGTTAAGTGCTTGTCGAATTATTGATGGGAAGGAACAGAGAAAACGGTAAAGTCATAGCCATTCATCCATGATCTGAAAGGGAAGGTTATGTCTGAATAAATTCACTCAGATCCATCCAGCAGGGTAACAAGGTCAACATTTTCAAATTAGTGTTCGGATACTAGTTGGCCTCTTGCATTACTGTCATTAGTATAATCTGATAAACTGCTGTACCTCAGTTGTATATTGTAAAGCTAAGTTCTTCTGCAGAGCTTTGGTTTTGAAATCCTGCTATTGCAGAGACCTCCCCACCCCCCACCCACACACACCACCACCACCCAGGTGCCATTTTAGACAGAATCAGCTTTACTCTAATGCATTTAAAACTTGTTCTAGCAGAATTCCATGTGATTTATCGCTTGTTGGACTCCTATTTTTTTCCCCCTTTTTTTGTCCCGGTGTAGATTTGGTTCATGCTGTAGTCGCTAATTAGTGCCGCAGACATATGTCTGCTGAGCAACATGCACCAATTGATGTTACAGTTTATGGATGCCAACTTTTCACCTCCATCACTTCACTTTAGTTAGTGCCATTGGGTACATAAATAGAGTGATGCTGGTGGAACCATAACTGAGGAGTCAAAGCCTCCCTGCCATATTCTCTTGACTTAAGTGGCAAGGCACTTTGAGTGGGGTGGGGGGAGAGAAAGGGTTTAAGTCCTGTTGGTGTATTATAGTCTCGGGAGGGTGCCTCTATCAGAGTCATTTTCCTCTTCTTTCCCTCCCCCACCCTCAATATTTTATGATCTGAGGGAGCAGTATGAACAGGTTTCTCAGTCATATTTCAAGGTTGCAATAATACTTCAGATCATTCAAGTATCTCTGCATCTGGCAGTGACAGACCTCTCTAGACTTTAATGTTTTCATTCAGTTTGTTACTGTACATGTTTTGGATTCCACTTTCAGAGATGCATTTGCCAATAAATTCCCCTTTCCTCAGAGAAATCTATTGCATTGTGTCCACTCATCTATGCATTGCCTCACCTGTATGTCTGCTGCTTGTCAGGAAAGTCAATCAGTCATGCGTGCAGTGGCCCAGCATTGAATCACCAATACTGAGAGCTCAGTTTAAAATCAGTTACTGGAAGTCAATACAAATCATAATGCCTTCTCCTCCACCATAAACAAGGCAAATAAAAATGGAGTCAAACCCCTTCTGCAGAGGAATTGATGGATTCCAGGCCTGCTTTACGAATTTGAAGGATTCCAGTCCTGATATGATGGTGCAGTGTATTGGAGGCTCAGCCACCACTATAACAGATTATGTCAATGTGCTTGATCCTTGGCCCAGCGGGTTACCAAACTCATGTCGTCATTGGGAGGTACTGAGTTGAGATCTAGTGGAGTTCTGTATATCAGTGGTTAGAGCACTCGCCTCGGAGGCGAAAGACCTGGGTTCGATTCCCGGCAGAGCGAAACCTTGGGAAAGTTTCCTTACTCCACACGCCTGATAATAATCTTTCAAGAAAAAAAAAACCAATAATAATTTGGTCACTCATTCCATGACTGTTTGTGGGGCACTGCTGTGCGCAGTTGGCTGCTGCATTTCACCCCAAAATATACAGTCAATTCACTTTACAGTATATTCTGTGAAGTGCTTTGAGAATTCTAGAAGACATGAAAATGGCTGTATCAAATGCAAGGTTTATTATTATTTATTATTATTATTTAGCACGTCCCTGTGCACGTGAGAGGGAAATTCAGAAGGAACCAGTCCAGCTTACAATGTCCAGTTCTATAACAAAGTTGAATAGTGTTAATGGGAATCTGTCAACTACCCATCCTCTGAATTAGATAGAGTACAATAGGAAGACTCCCAAAAGGCAAAGGAATATATGTTACATTATATTCTGTGAAATGCTTCGAGACGTCTCAACTACATAGAATCTTGTAGCTTAGTGGTTAGACCACTCACCTCGTAAGCAACGACCTGGGTTCGATTCCCAGGCAGAACAAAACGCAATGAGGTGCTATATCAAATGCAAAGATTAGGAGGAAAATGCTTTAAAAACAGGGAGAAGGCTCTTGAAAGAGCCTCAGGAACTCTGCAGTTAGTTTACTTGTGCTTCAGTTTTAGAGGTTAGTGAATGCTATGTGAAATAGACTGTACCTGTAATAAACTATGACACATTAGAATAAGATTTCCCCTGGAGGGGGAAACCATCTTTAATATCATCTCCAGCACATGGTGAAATTGTCATTTATGGAAGGTACAATCTTTTATAGCTGTAAGTAAACTTTTCATTTGCTATGAATGTCATTTGAATCCTAAAATGGAAACTAATCTTATTGTATCTCATTCTGGTTCCATTTTTCTTATCAAATTATGTTGTGATGAGTAGCTAGAATGCCACTTGTTTGTGCTGGAGAGCACCTTCCCTAAAATGCACCCTTGTGAATAATTAGATAGGAATAGTCTATAATTTGCACTTGGTAATTAGTGCTAAAATATGCTCCTAAGATTATCTCTGGATCATTGTTGTAAGAAAAATGATCCAGATGGCATATAGGTTCACCACTGTGTCTTTATACTGCTACACTGATTATATTTATTATGTCCTGGAGTGTGAACAGCTGAACTGCCAAGGAGCTCTGCACGCTGTGTTTGTGCTCCACTGAGAAACCTTCCTGTCTCACACAAGGTCATTTTTAATGGAATTGGGGGGGGTGGTCAGAGCCTAATATCTATCGAGCACCATTATATTCAAATGGGTTTTATGTTAGACTGCAGTGTGCTTTATGGCTTGTTCAGTCATTATGATTTAATGCAAACTTATCTCTGTTTCTTCAATAAATTATTTTGTGCAGTTAATCCTTTCAGCACTGACAATAGCCGCGCTCACAGTGTTCACACGCCTATTTCATCTGATGAAATATGGAGAGAAAAAAATTCCCCAGAGTTTGCTCAGCTGAAATAGGTGGGATTAAAGAAACGTGAATGACGTGTTTGAGTTGAGGTTGGCTATTACAATCTGCTGTTTTAATCTAATGAAGTGCTTTTCTCTCAAAAGCAAAAAAAAATTGCACTAAACATTTAAAATATCTGAGTAGACCACAACAGCAACAGTTGCACTTGTCCAGCATCTGTTATATAGAAGGAACAGCCTGACATTTTAACGATGGGACCAAACCAGGGAGAGAGATATTTAAGGATGTTAACCAGTTAATGAGTGGGAATCCAAATCTGAAGATTAAATTTTGTGTGATGCAGCGATTCTAACTTGAGATTGCTGCCACTGTTTTAGTGAACGACAAGTTTTCATAATTCTTCCCTCCCCTCTTTCAAAGCATGTCTCAAATTGTCCCACTTTGACTGTGCTTTTAGTTAACTTTCCCCTACCCAAACCTTTTGGCACCCACCCCCAGCTTGGGTGCCCATCCAGCACTGTCAGAAGTATTCCCAATGTGAAAGGTGCTGTATAAATGCATATTGTATTGCACTTTAATTTACCAGAACGTACCAGTTCTGAGGTTTGTTTAATAGGTTTCATTTGACAAAAGGATTTATGTGCTTTTCTATTTGTTTAAAAAAAACTTGTAGATTAAACTCTGGGACTTGAGGACAATGAGGAGTGTTAGACAGTATGAAGGTCATCACAATGAACATGCTTATCTCCCTGTACATATCAATGAAAAGGAAGGTATCCTTTTGGCTGGTGAGTTGTAGTTTTCATTTATTTAGTCTCTTGGTTGACATCAAAGATGCGCAAAGTATTAAAGTAAGCCCCAGTCTCTGATTTCAAGTGGCTGATCTGCATTTAGGGGTTAAAGTAGAGCAATGCTCTGGTTCACACTGACCTCATCTACTGATTGTTTTTGGAATGATCCAATTAAAGGCTCGTTCTGAACAAGCACATGCACTTTCAGAAATCTTCTTCAATATGTGGATCTTCAAACTTGACTTCAGTTGCCTCCAAATTGCTCTGCATCCCTTCAAGTGCTTTGAGATGTTAATGTGAATGCCGTTGTATAAATGTAGGTTGCTGTGAGGCACAGCCTAGTATAAATGCTTTGCACATACGCAGGTGATCTTTTTTCTGACAAGACATCTCAACAATTGCCTCTTCCTGCATCAGAATGACAGTATGGCATTTCAAATCTTGACAGTTTCAATCCTGTGGGACCCAAAGCAGACCATGGGTAAACTGCTAGAGACACCTCACTCATTCTAATTGGATGTTGTGGCTATGGGACCCCCACAATATGTCATTCCTCTCACTTCTGACCTGTAACATCTGTCAAAGGAAGACCTTTCATCTAATACCTGAAATACATTGACTGTTGTAGAAATTCAAAGTTCCTCTATACAAACTTTAAAAAAAAACTCAATTTTTTTTTAAATGAGCAGCACTAAATCATTCTGTGGTTCTCCTCATACTTTGGAATAATCACACTTGTTTTCCTTGTCAACCATTCTCCTGAAAGCAGATGAGTTCTGTGAGTATTAGCAGACTGTTCAACTGGTGGGAGGCAAATCACCCTAAAAAAACGCTTTAGACAGTGGTTATACCAAGCAATCAATTTGCAACACAGCAGAATAAACGTGGGCAGTCATTCGCCATTCACAAATAGCAGTTTAAAGTTCTCACTGACCCATTGATGGACTAAACTTTTTAATGCTCTTTAAAAAGAAAGCATTTGGTCCCTGTTATATCTGTACTTGTGCACCCAAAGCTCCAGCCCTAATTTTTTTTGGGGGGTGGGGTGTGTTGGGAGTCCTGTTTGGCTGTCACCTTGACATGTCTGTCCATTTAGCTGAGTAGGTTTTTGGAAAATTAATTTAAAATCAAGTTCTTTTGTAATTGGGAGATCAGATTTTTTTTCTCTGCCTCTTTGCATCCAAGTTTATGTATTCTTTAAAATGCAACACTTACTTGTTAGGACAGCAGTGAACTAAGGAAAACATTTTGCCCACAAAATAGTCAATTGACTTTATTGTATATTCATTGAGACTATTCAATGAGGCATTAAATCAAATGCAAGGATTAGTAATATTAAAACACTATTTGTCCTCATTTTAGAAAAAAATATATTGGACAAACAATTGTACTTTATTCAAGCTGAAAAAGCATTCTGATGTACAGTATTACATCAGTGAATCTGTATTCAAAGGATAGTGTGTAATTAGCCATGGGAGTTGCACAAAGATATTGCTGAGAATTACTTTGGGAATACAAGCTGGGTTGAGGGATTGATCAATACTGTTTGTTATTCAGTTGGACAGGATTGTTACACACGAATCTGGAGTCTTCACGATGGCTGTCTCCTAAGAACCATCCCATCGCCTCACCCTGCGTCCAATGACTCAATCCCCAGCGTGGGTTTTTCTTCACAATTAGGAGGGAGAGGAGGTGTGCCTGGCCTGTTGATGGCTGTCAGACAAGATCTGTATCACTTCTCATATAACTCTGGGATTTGACCAGCTCAGATGAGAGGAACAGCAGCATAATCACCTATGCCTTGTCAGCCACAGCAGATCTATCCTGAATATGGATAGATCATGAACAGACAATGAATCAGACTTTAAACATTTTCCTTGAAGTAAGGAAGCTAATATGGTATTGGTCCTCCCTACCATAAATGGGAAGATGCTTTTTAAATGAATAGGATGGGGGGGAAGGATAAGCAGCTATTCTAATCTTTTCCACAGGAATTGTGAATGGGATGTAAATGTTGTGACTAAAATAAACTTGATTTTAATTTATTAACTCTTGTATCTCCAATAAAATAAGATGGCCCATTTGGTAACTTGAGGCTTTACAAAGGCTTCATTTAGGCATCCATGCAGATTTTGAGTTCAGAGATAACTACTCAAACTCCACCTTGGTCAAAGTCTGTCAAGATCTTCCTCTTCAATCAAGTCATAGAATGTTACAGCACAGGAGGAGGCCATTTGGCCCATTGTGCCAGGTCTTTGAAATAATCCCACTCTTAGCCCAAAGCCCTGCACATTCTCCTTTTGAAAACTATTTTTCCCCAACCTCTCAGCTCCCACTACCAAACCAGAACTGTCAAGTGTCTTGGGACATTCCTGTTGATATGAAAGGCTTTATATAAGTGTACATTTGTATTGTATTAGTTTTTTTAAAAAGTGGGACTAGTTACTCAGACCTCATGACCACCTTCTCCATCTTCCAATAAAGGGCTTCAAACCAGCCTGAAGGATTGGAGTTCCACTTTGTTTTATAGGATGAACAGATCAGCAGGTTTTCTAATTGAAATTACCAGTGATCTTCATTCTTTGAGTGACATCCACTTCATTTGCAAAACTTCCCTCCTTGATTTATCCTTTGACTTGACTGAGCTGGTATGTGAAGCCTTTCTATTGCACAAGCTTCAGACAAAGAAAATCAAATTCCCCAAATTATAGTCAATTAACTGCACAGCATATTCTGTGAAGTGTTTTGAGACATCTCAACAACGTGATGAGATGCTATATCAAATGCAAGTATTATTATTAATTCACTTTTTTCACTTAATGCAAAATAAATCAACATGAAGCACGGCAAAAACAGCTTAAAAGTTGTGACAAACAGTTTAATAGTCACTTTACTATTGCAGAGTATCATATTGCTGTTAGTTGACCACTTCCAGCTTAACCAGCATTGTGATTGATTGACGGAGAGTGCAAAGAAACAATGCACACAGCATTGTTGTGCTACAAAGATTTAAAGCTGCAATATAGTAAAAATCACTGCTTTTAAATGGAAATTGGAATTTTATGCAGAAAATATTGCCCAATTCTCACAATGTAAATCTGGATTTTCATTTTTCTACTTTTCCTGAAGTATATTTAACCAGTGTTAAGTTCAAAGAAATTCATACTGATGCTGTATAACATGCCAAGTTCTCATGAATATCATGGAAGACAAATCAATAATTCAGTTTGGAGGGGTTACTCCTCTTAAGCCCAATTGTGCTCTCTAGTGATCAGGGAAGGTACTGCAATTGGTTCTTAGTGGTTTTAGTTCTGCAACTAAATACACAATTTAATACAATGAAATACACAAACTACACATTTGCATCCAGACCTTATTTACAGAAGTGCCTCATCTTCTCCGTATAAATCAAATTGCACTGTATGTGAATATAGTATACTGCAGCTTTAATTGTTCTGGCAAATCATGAACAGAAAAAATATGGTACATAGAATCTATTTCCAAATCACTGTCACAAAACATGACTTAATAATATACAGCATTAAAATAAAAGGTTTAATTAACAAGTTGCAATTTCCAAACAATGGAATTTTCAAAATGTATACAATCCTAATAAGCAAAACACAAGTGGGGGTAGGTCAAACATAACCTTCACTTTCAGATTGAGAAACTAATCAAACATAATTTCTGCCTGAGATAAAATATTTTTTTCTAGAAGACTAATGTATCTGTGGGAATCCCTAAATGTGTGTGTATATGCACAACATCAAGTGCTCCAGTCTGCTGAAGGGATCTTGATTTCCTGTTTTAGTTAAGATATTTGCATTTGTGTGGCAACATTGAGAACATTACTGAGATGATAAGCAACCACATTTTCACAAACCAACAGTAAAACACGCCTCTCAGTGGAAGAATTTATATACAATATTGTATTATAATACTTGAATTTCACAAGATCCCAGTTGCTTTGCGTAACTGTCTGCCCCATTTTACTCACAAAGTAGTCAATCCACCTTAGGGCATATCTTGTGAAGCGCTTTGAAATGTCTCGACGACGTGAAAGGTGCTATATCAAATGCAAGGATTATTACTACTATTATTGTTGATGACACTTAAGCAATCCCCTAGGAAGCAGATTTATGTTCCTCCTGCCAAGAATGAACTCAGCTGAGACGAGCAAACCTAGGCTCTCAAATAACTCTTGAGGCTGATCGTGCAGGCAAAGCTTTGACACTACAGATGTCAAACCACGTGAATGCTCAAGCATTTTAAAACCAAACAATGTCTTGAGCTGACAGTGTTGTCACTCGTGGTATCTTAACCATTTTACAAATAATTTAAAACTTCAATACTTTGCAAGGTGCAGAATTCAAAAGTAAACGTACTGGAAAAAAAAAATCAGTCAATACTGTCTCATCAGATTGCAAGTTTGTTTTCAAAAAAAAGACCCACCATGTCCTCATGAAAATGTTAGTAGAAAATAACACTGAGGCGAAACCACCACCTTGCTGGTGTACTAGAAGTGCCACAATTCAAAACAATTACAAGAGGAATAGAGCCAGTGGCATCTCCATACAGGGTATCTCGATGTACATTATTATTTAAATACTCAGGTTAGATAGGAGTCCTGGAACAAACCAGCCAGCCGTGTACAGTAAATGGATCATGGACCAAATAATTATTGTTCCACTACTTTTCAAGGTACCAGTTGACACATGCTCAGATTAAAATCGATACTTCACATACTTTTGAATACTAAAGATGCTAGAAGTGGCCGTTGTGGGAATCTAGATCGCGAGTGTCTGCAAGCTGTTAAGAGTAGCAGCCATCACAGCGAAGAATTCTGCTGCCCTCACCTGATGTCCACACATGCACACTTTCAGCGGGCTCACTGGATAATGATTAGAAGAAACCTTAGCATGTGTCAGGGTTTGTGTCCTTAAGCCAATTGCACTAAATATTCACACTCAATACCTTTCATGCAATCTACTTTCAGAGTGGAGTTCCCACAGGACAGCCTGATGTATTTTCCCCCAGTGGGATTCTGCATCACAGCGTTCAGTTAGAAATAAACCTGAAGCCCCAAAGTTTACTTGTACTTGGCCATTTTTGTACCAAAGACATAAAAATACACAAACACAATGAGATAAAATGTCCAAAGTCATTCAACAGACCTGCCTTCACCATAGAAAGCTCACGCAAGTCCTGAAAGTAATGCTGAAGGTGGGGGCTGTTGTAACAGTTGTAGACTTGTTGGGGTTGTGTTTAGCTAGCAGCTCAAGCCCAGTGCATCTAATGTCGCTTCAACACGTTCGTTTCTACCACAATTAGAAACAGAAAGCAAAAAGTTTGAAGTTCTAGAAAACATAAATTAAAATGACTTGCCATAATGAAGGGGCACTTACAGGGGTGAAGGTGATGCAGCAATTCACAAGTGATCACAACAGAATTTTTAATGCAACCGATCAGGTCCAATAGACCATCCCTTACTGATCAGTCTCAACAGAAAGGTGACAGCATCCAAGGCAACTAATCCTATGAAAATCTCTCATGGATGTCACTTCACAGGCAGAGCTGTGCAGTCCAATGACGATGTATGAAATTTTGCTACAGATATCAAATCTCACCTTAAAAACAGTAAATCAGCATTATGTAAAAATATGTCTATTGTGTTGCATTGTAAAAAAAACTGTAGGTTACACAGTTTCAAAGAGCTTGCAAATACAGGCCTTGGATAAACAATGAAAATATTACTAATGGTTTTCTACATTCAAATATTATAGTCTTCTGTCAAAAATTCTGCATTTAAAGGATATACATATATGGCAAGGACTGTGACAAACTAGAGTCAGAGGCAAATAACGTGAGAACAAGACAAGCTGAAGAAAAGTATACACGATTACAATCAGAGAAGATGAACCTGAAGTACACTGTGGACTTCGCTTATCAATCACAAGGCCACAGAGAAATGAGATAACAAGGGCTGGACTGGAGCACTTGACTTTAATGTCCATAGTAACCTGCACAGTGATCCTTCAACTATCAACCTTGGATGTCAGACCCTTGAGAAAGTTATATACAGGCACTTTTAAAAAGATCTGGATGAATATTCATCCTTCATGTTCATTTACATCTGACAAGTGTGTGTGAGAGAGAGAGTGTGTGTGTGTGTGTGGGGGGGGAGGGGGGGAAAGAGAGAGAGAACGGTTTTATTCTCTCCTTGACAACTACGAAGCAGTGTTCCATTCAACACTTAACAAATCTACAAGTTGGGTTAAAACTTCATAACAAGTTAGCAATATAATGAAGTACACACTGTACTGGACATCTGTACAAGGAATGTCATTAAGACATTAAATCGGATGAAGAGGTTTCAGTCAAAGCCCCATGCAATGTGAATCAAAATTCTTCCCATGTTAAACACACTCGTACATTGTCTGGTTCTTCGCTTATCTTACCCTACGATTAAAAATAAATTTTAATACTATGAAGTCACTTCAAAGCAACTTAGCTTCAATGTCGATGCATTTTCTAATCAAGCTGAGGGAAGAACACAGTACCAACTTCTATAGTTGTGGGGAAGCAGATAACAACAAACCAAGATATTAGTTGAACACAGTCATCTATTCAACTGCTGCAGTTACTTTTCAAATGAAGGGTAACAGCTACCTTCATGAAATCATAATATGGATTTTTAAAACAGATGATTGTTTTGGCATAAGCCAACACAGTCAGTTGCCAATCTCATTGCTTTGCTGTAAAAAAAAGCCAAATAGCATTAAAAGGCAACCCGAGTCCCAATGGATCAAATGTCTATTTTTTCTAGGAAAAAAAGTTCACATGCTATGAACATCACCATCTAATTTATTGAATAGAATTCACTGCCATCTTCCACTTAATTTTGTATCAGAATTATAAACAGTTAACAGCCATCAGTGTTCTCCCAACAGGAAAACAATGGACTCGGAAGGGAAAGATCTTTAAAGCTCTACAAAATGGGGTGGTTTTTGCACATACTATGAGAGCAAGAATAGGCTCCCAAATTTCTCAGCTCCTTTCCTATATTAACCACCCCTCCTCATGCTGGAAGTTTTACAAGCACCAGAGATGCCAAGTGACAATTCGCCAAGTGAGCATAGGCAAGGAGGGCAGAAAGGTAATAAGATCATGAGGGGGGCTGGGGTGGGGTGGGAGAGGTTAAGCTAGGTCCTGTCAACACCTAACATTTACATACACACAGTTTCGAGCCAGAGGACCACTGAATAGCACCAGGAATCCAAGCTGACTTTTTCTTCCTTCTGAGCTCAGGGGCACTTGAAACACATTATTGCACTATATAACAACCTGGCATTTCCAGCTGAAGTCAGTTAACTCTGCATTAGAGACAGCACCACAACCTTCTTGGTCGATATTTCAGTGCTTATATCATGCAGCATCTTTACCAACAGAGTCATCTGATCAAATAATTTAACTAAACACATAGTTTGCATCCTGACACAAATGCATTTTTAAAAATCTCACATGGTGAAATGGATAAAAGGGACTCTTATAAGATTATTTAGTTGTGCATTTAGGACTTTGGCCAAATTTCAAAATCTGGCCTTGATCCCAAAAACCTCCACTAAGAGTTATGATCTACAACAAGCATAGATATCCTGAATATAGATTTATATTGACTTCTAGTTTTTAAATTTTGTTAATAATTAAATTCAAATACTGATCTACATGGGCTACAAGCCAAAGTCAACAGCCAACACCAAACGTACATCCTTTGATGTACCAGAGGCCAGTTGTAAAATCCCACGCACCGTTTCAATAACTCAAGAAGACTTCCATATTAATGGGAAGCAACGGTATGGGCAACCACCATTTTATTTGCATAAATCATTAACTGTGAATGTACATTGTTTTTAATAAACAGAGCTGTACAGTTGCTATAGTAATGTGTGGACAGCTTTTATTCCAATGGAGGCATTTTATGAGAAAAAAATCATGATTTTTGTTGGCTAAAACAGTGGTGCAAGCCCTTTTCCTTCCTGTTGAATTTTTTTAATCTTTTTTTTTAAAAAAGTGCCTATTTATATCATGTCCTAAACTGTACTCATTAACTGACAGGATTGAAAATTAGCCGATCCTATGTGAAGTCTAAAAGGAGCTAACATTTCATAATTTAACAAATATATTCTTGACCTGAATACAATCCCCAACTTCCATATTTATCTGTGTGGGACATATGGAGTTCAATACAGTCTGCCACTCCCTCCCAAACCGCACTGCCTCATCCACGGCAGTCTATCACCCATTTACACATACAGAATATAGGTGCGTTCTGGTGAGAGGGGAGACAGCTATGATTTCATGAGATAACTGAAGGCAAATTTTTAATCCAACCGCCTTTTTAAAAAAAGCACAATAAACATAGATGTAACCCTAGAACCCCCAGCTCCTAATTTAACCCTGTTAGTACAGCATCCCGATTTTATTTTAAAAATATACCCCACGGGAGGTTTTCATGACAGATTTAAAATCATTTTTTTTAACAGGTCTATTATGCTTTTCAAAACGTCATGCATATGTGGTAATAAATAAAAACAAAGAATAATTAGGATTAAAGTTCAATGTTAGTCGGGCGTTGCCCTTTACAACCATTGCGCTACTCAAAGATCGCCTGTCTTTTTGTTACAGTTTATACACACTCGTACAGGGTGGTCCCAGCCACGTGAAGGGACACTTCTCCTCTCCTGAGAACATTCATTGCAGAAGCCCTGCCCGCAGGCTCGGCAGTGATGCTTGGACATTTTTGGTGTAAACTCTTTCCGACATTGGCAGCAAGCTGCAATCTCATGGTCTGGCACCCAGTATGTAGGCCTGGCAGCATCTTTCACCAGACCTGTTAAAAAGACGATTCAATTCAAAAAAAGGATTTAATACAATACTAGCTTGAACAATTTGTCTTTCCATCTTTCTCAAGTTTAAAACGGCCAAAATGAAAGCATTAAAGATTCTGGCCTAATTCTGGATTGAAAGCAATTTCTTACAGGCAATAGCCATTGGTGATCGTCTGCCTACTCTGGGGCTCATTTTCTGGCTTATCGGCAGAGCTTGGGACCAGTCAATAAGGGCAGGGATTCTCCTGTTAACCCTGGAAGTCCACTCTAAACCCTCCATTTAGCAACATTCGGGAGCTCAATAACACTAACGTTTCTGGCCTAAAATGAAATTCTCACATCTGCCTTTGCTAATGCAGACTCCCAAGTGCCTCAGTTTTCTCCTTCACATCAAACACTTTTCTATGACTATTTTACAGCCTTGAGCATTGCTCCCCTATCTGCACCTCTCCTGCACTCCTGTGGATTCAATTCATTGACAAGCTGTTTAAAACCCAAGGTCAGTATCAAATCAGTCTCAACTGATCAAATTCTGAGCTATTTTCACAACTTTCGTGAATGCCATTAATAGCTTTGGGTCTTCATGTAGATTAGAAATAAGAACTGTAGAAAAAAATTAATACCTGCTTTTTTTTATACATTGTAAATTCATTAAGCAGAACAAAATGATAAAGGTCGTGAATTTTGATATGTAGAACAAACAAAACTCCTGGTTAGTAAAGTCAGAACAGCTAATTTGCAACAGTGAATTGTGCATAATAATGGCATGAGCAACAGTTTTACCAATATATCAAACTGTCTTCATCTCCTTTCCATCTCCCCTCCCTACCTACTCAATGCCTCTCAGATTTAGCTTTGGATGTTACTAAGAGATATTGCAATTAAATTGCTGCTTGTAATATTATTGGTACAGTTCAGCTTCTGTGGATCTTGACCACCACCTTGTGGCAGCTTTCTAACAAATGACTGCAGCTTCTCAATTAGTTTGCTGATAAGCAGCAGCTTGTTATAGATTCCTTGAACGGATTATGCGGTTTAAGAAGCTATTAGATTTGGTCCATTGCAGATGGTTTAATGGCTGCGTAAGGTCACTCCATATATTACCAGTCTATATGAAGGCAAACAAAAAATAAAGCAAAAAAAACCACAGAGATATTAGACATACACAGCAGATCAATCAGCACCTGGAAGAAACAATGGATTTTATGTTCCGACTTTTCATTAAAATGGATGTTTTTAAATGGTCAGACTTGAAGAAAGATCATAGGCAGAGCATTCATCTTTCTTTGCATTTCTGGCAGCTTTTATTTCAGATTACCAGCATTTAGTTTCCCTTTATCTAGGAGGAAATCAACTGTCAGCATGGCTCAATTTGTATCACTCTCATCTCCCAAATTAGAAGGTTAAGGGTTCAAGCCTTACTTCGGGACATTGAGCTCATAATCGAAGCTGACACTCCAGTGCAGTGATGGGGGAGTGCTGCATTGCTGGAGGCGACATCCTTTGGCTGAAATATTAAACCAAGGTCCTGTCTGCCTGTTCAAGTGAACGTTAAAGATCCCACGTCATGATTCAAAAAGTGAAAGCAGTTTCTCCCAAAGAAAATTAAGTCATTCGATTTATAGCTGTTTGTGGGACATTGCTGTGCATAAATTGTCTGCCGTGTTCACCCACACATAAACAGTCACTACACTTCACAGTAAAATCTTGTGAAGTGCATTGAGACCATCTCAACATGATGAGGCACTTTATGCCTCATCATATAAGAAAACTAGATGGTGGCACAGACACAAGTCAAACACTAAATTCCCTATTCGGGGGTGCAATTTGCTGATACCAATACCTATATATCTCCAGATGCTGACTGGAGTAACTGCAATGTCCAGAGTAGTGGTTAACTATAGAGAAAATAGTTCAAAAATCCATTAGAAATATCTACTTTACAGTTAGCACAAAACGTGACGTATAACTTTTGTCACCGTCTTACCTAATGGGAAGTCTATGGCTGTGACAACGGCTCCGAGAGTGTTCTGCACAGCTTCCCCAACCTTTCGGGCTATTAGTGTGCTGCTTTCATCACCGTCTTCCTCTACGATTTCTTCAGTGTTAAAAGTCAAAACATCGTCAGAACATTGTGGTCAATACAAACGTAAACACGCCAGTCAATCAAATTTACTTTACAATGCGGAGATCGCCATAGGAAATAAAGGAGAGGAACAATGTTAAGCGCTCTGTTTGTAGTAGGAGCTATTACATTGTAGCGTACCAATTTCAAATTCCACGTTAAAGGTTTTTTCTAAAGTCGCTGATCAAAGTATTCTAAAATACTTCCCAACCTGTTCAGTTTTCAATCTCACTGTGAATGATCTTCAACTGACGCTGTGGCAAACACCATATGATGGGAATTCATGGATCTAACAGACTGTTTACCTCATCGCACAACTAATGATTGGTGATGCGACACAAACAACTACTGTCTGATTCACAAACCAATTTGAATGAACCAACATTCCCCAGACTCCCACAAGGAATCGCCACGTTGAAGCAAATAGTGGGAGGAGGAAGAGAGGAAGAAAACACGGACTAAGAAGAAAAGGAGGAGACGCACCCAGATTACCGGTTCTGATTCTTCCACCTTCAAAGCACCCATCACACACACGAACTGGAGCCACTCCCCAGCCTCGTTCAGGAACAGGCTTGGATTTTGAAGAGCACACATCACAGAAGCCTTCCCCACAAGCTCTGCAGTGATGTTTTGTTTCCTGCTCTTCAAACGGCTTATTACATTTCTGACAATTCTGCAAAATAAATGGTTCATCCCATGATAGCAATGACCACAAACAGCCTTTCACTTGTTTTGTGTTAGGTGCACGTTTCAATCAATTCAGCAGCAGAGGGACGTCAGTCGCGGGGATAGTGCACCCAGATTTATTATAACCAAGTTATAGTGAAGGTTATTTCATTTTATTAAGAAAAACAACTCGCAGAATTGTGACGTCTATTACTTTACTTCCATGGTTTAATAATACTTATCATTTTAAGTTGTACCAAAGATATTTACGGAACAGAAAGTATTCAGGATGAAAACTGCACATGGCTGCTGTTAAGAAGTTTTACGACGACAACTTAGGCCGTCATTCTTCAAATAGAAAGCAAGCCCCACCTGGCACAAGACAAGCCAAGGAGCAGTTTGCCTGCCCTCCACCAGGCAGTGGCGTGTGGGAGACAAATTTTCATCTGAGGAGATTAAAAAGTAAACTTACAATAATCTGAGAGTTTGGCCTCCAGTAGGCCGGAGCGATCTGATCTGTGAGCCATGCTGTAACCGCTTTGGTGGGTTTTGCACTGAAATCTGAAACCGATTGCGCCATGAAATTCACCCCGTCCAGTAAACGCTGTGCGGCATTGTTGTTGTCCTTCAGAAACCCGTCGGCCTGAAGGAAAGCGGGAGGAAAAAAGTACACTGGGCTTTATCAGTGGTTAGAGCACTCGCTTTTTACTCCTTTTCATACATATACCATCATTTCACTTTACAGTGTGTTCTGTGAAGCGCTTTGGGACGTCATCCTGACGTGAAAAGCGCTATTTCAAAAAGTTATTAGGTTTATTATATTATCTGGTCTTTTCACTCCTTTCAATACATTACCATCACATCCCAATACTTGACAATATGCTATTCCCTCAGAGAATTTATTCCAACACTGTTAATTAAGTCTGAATGGCACATGTTTGCCATTACATAAATAGTGTGGGACGTTTCATTTATTACTTACTCCAGACCAAACGTGTTCAATCTCTGTTCTCACAACTGTGTCCACCGGATCCTGGTTCCCAAACCAGTACTGCCGACTGCGATAAATGATCCCACAGTTTGGGCATTCAATCACATACCTGGAAAAGAGTCACTGTTGTTTTTGACTGTGACAAGACCAATTCATTCACTCGGTACTTTTAAAAGATAGAAAGGGCAGCTCAGAATACGCTAATGCCTTGAATACTCTGGAGACTCACCCTGACCAGGCATATCTGGCGAGACCCAACCATGGAGAATCAGTGGAAGCAGATGTTTTAGGCACTACAATTACCTCTTTCCCTCGCTCGTAACAGGCCTGAAAAGATATCACAATTTAAAGAGGTTATTATTCACAAAGGCCACAGGTGTAAAGGTGAAAGCGATCTGGTTTTAAACAATAACAGCTTTAAAAAGTGTAAAATAGTTTGTCCAAAAGTGTGACTGTAATTCTGTGACATTAAAGGCCTGAAATTAAATTATATTTTCAACTGTGAATAAACAAAACACTGAGCTCACACCATTCTGGGTTCAATATCATTTCAGCATTAATTTAGCGCATACTTCTGAATGATCTTACATTATTACAACAGCAAGATGATTAGCAAACTTCAGGGAAAATCAAAATTCTTCTAGAGCTGGTACATACAGTATATTGCTCACTTCAAGTGTTCATCAAGGGATGGCCAGTCAATACGACCAGTTACTTAAGTGAAATATTTTCATAAACAAATAAAGTGAAAATACTATGTGGGTCTCAAGATGCCAGATTAGGTTAGGAGAGCACACCACATCCTAGCCACCAACGGAAACAGATTTTCAAAGAACCACTGAGTGCTATAAAACATAAAAATAGTTTCTAATCATTTATGCGGTCATCAGAAATAAGAGAGGGTTTGTTTGTACATGTGAGAAGAACCCATTACTCACTCGTGAAATAAAAGATGGCATCTCAGTCTTATTTTTCTAAAGTTCTGCAAACCCATAAGGACAAATAAAATTACAAAATATAGAATACATAAACGGGTGCAGAGTTAGAATTCAAAGTGCCTGGTGACTAGACAACTCGGGATGGGTTTGGGATGAGATGCAATAATACAAATTCTCTTTCCATCAATTAAGAAACAACATTTGCAAAAACACCTACTCTACCAAGGTTTAATTTGCTCCCCACAATCTGATGGAAACCAGATGCATCAGGACAGTATCACTGGAGAACCAATTCCATAATTGCTGAGCAGTTTCATGGGTTCAGCACAAAGACAGAAATAGACATCCTTCCAAAACTGATGGAAAGCTGACAGTGATTATAAAGTTCGCTGCCAATGTACGGCAGCACTTGGCAGGGTCTGAGCTTGAAAGCCAAATCAACAAATGAGCAAAAAGGACTGGACTTCAGAAATAGTTGACCCCATAACTGGCACCAGTAAGAATGTAGTGCCACTGTAATTTCTAACTCAAAGTGTTGCTCCCTACGTTTTTTGAAGAAGGATCAATAACCAAGGTTTGTCTTACAAGTCACATTTCTTTTAAAAAAAAGTTCAGTAGAACAAGAAGATACTTTTGGGTTTTCCCATTACAGTCGTATTCTTTCAATGTAGATCTATACCCTCATGAGATGCTGCTTGGATTTTTTTGGTAACACGGTAGCTATTTGCCAGTGTAAAAGAATATCTCAAACATCCATTTGAACAGAGACACGATGGAGAAGCAGAGCTCACCATTAACTAGCCTGCTGACGCCACATGGCATATTTAGGAGCTGGGGTCTACCATGGTCCTGAGCTCTGCCTCTCATCCCCATTTGTCTTTCAGAAGAATGCAAGTTAGATTTACACTTGTATGCGTCAGTTTCACGTGTATGCAGGTAAACAATGCAACAAGTCACTGACCTTGCAGGTATACACTCTGTTATCGTACTGGTGCGAGTAGCTGCAGCGGCTCGGAGACTCGTGAGGAATGCCATCCTTTGCGTGATTCATGCTGTTCTTACACCCGTTTCTAAATCAGATTGACACCGCTTTAAAACACTACACAGATTAGAGGATCTGAACTTCAAGGTGGCAGCAATTTGTCAGCATTACTGGAATGAGGGGAGAATGGACACACTATTTCTGAAACAAGAAATGTGTAGTTATATACAAATTTCTTTTCCCGATTATACTATTGGCTTCCTCGCGGCTTTGTATCATTTCTGAACATTCCAGAGAGAAGCAGCTAAGTGTCTGAAGTCAATTAGTCTTGGGTATATTGTACTGCATTTAAACAAAAGGGAGATGGACGCATCTGGTCCTTCCATTTGCAGTATCATTTTGACACAGGTAAAAGGATTTCTGTTTACCTTGGCAACTAGCGCTGGTACTGACTTCACTGTGCTTTTCTCCCCAGTGTGCATCTTCCTTTCATTTCCTTGACTACAGCTGAGGGGACAAGCAAGTTACAAAGCACAATTCTCACTCACTTGTGGCCCAGTGTTCATTTTTATTTGATGCCTTGCATATTCCCCTTTAACCAGATTCACATTAAGTACCAACCGATGCAAAAAACTATGCCACCTACCCACAACTGAGGCACAAACAAGAGCAAGTGAAATATTCATCAGGGAAGAAGGAGCTGTGAGCCATTTGGTCATCTGCGATTTCTCCACTGAAACGTTCACTCAAAGCCTAAAGAAAATTTTTTAGAAAGTTAATATTCTGAATAGTTAATATTCTACATGTTACAAAATGAAAACCAAAATCGGTGACACGGTGAGTCAGTGAACCTTGGAGACCTGGTTTGAATCCAACCCAGGCATGATGGTCACAAACACAAGCAAAATTTACTTCCCCAGGCAGGTGGGATGCCAGATGATTTGGGGCAATTGGCAAAACTGAGTTGAATCAGACACAAGTGCTGATGATCTGTAATGTAAACTGTGGGACCACTTCACATTAAGCATTTTAACATTATCTATGATTCCCCCCCCCCCAAAAAAAAACGTACTTTCAAAGCCTTGAAAATGATTCCCGGAGGCCTGGGAGAACGGGTTGTATTGTTATTCAGATGGTGTTCGATGGTCTGTAAGAGTCCTGAGAAGTCAGTTGGGGGGTTATATGTTCTGGTTCCCTTGTACTGGATGGAACAGAAGGCTTCGGGAAACCGGTCCAACTTGCGGAATCGTTCCTGCAGTAGTTTTTCTGGCATCTCCGAAGGTCTGTCTGCATTAGCATCAAGGACAAAACAACACTTTAATGCAAGGCATCAATTCACAAACATGGGCTACTCGTTACATAGCACACCATCAGGAAACTGCCAACAGCTTGATAGAAAATCCAGGACTCAATCATTCTAGGTTTTAAATCAAGCGAGTGATAATAATGGACATCATCACAAAGCTTCAGGTTGAGTGTATGAATTCTGGGCAATGACATTGCACCTTGCCTGCTCTAACTGCAATACTAAATGAAAGCACAGCACATTTTAGTCTCCTGTATTTGCTCTTTGCATCTTACACTAGTCTTATAGGTCATCTATTTTTCCAACCTCAGTCGGTAGCAGTTTGCCTACAGTGACCCGTGGTTTGGAGAAGAGGGAAGGAAGGGAGGGAATTTCTGCCAGATTTCCCACTACTGATCACTATCTAAAGGCGTCTCCTAGAAACAACTGGGATCAGGCCAATCCTTACTGCTCTCGGTAGAGCTGAACAATGGCTCTTTGGGGCACAAACTTGGGTCAGCTAGTGGAAGAATAGATGAGAAAACAAATCAAAACACTTTGCAGAGAAAGGAAGGACATTGGAGCAAAAAAATATTACTTAGTAATAACACAAATCTCTCTCTCACACACATGCATGTGCGGGCACGTATTTATTTGAGCGATTGATTTGAGCTGGCAGAATCGATGCAATTTGGATGAAAACACTTAGATTAAAAATGCTGTTCAGTGTTTCGTTAACTGGACAATTGCCATTCAAAAACAAAACGCATCTAAGCAAAGAAGCGCACCTGAACAATGCTCTTCATTTAGTATTTCAAAAAGACCATATTCAGCAATTAGTTTCTCTGTTGGCAGGGTAGGATAGACCAATAGATGTTTTTTTCCCCCACTATTCTTCCACGAGCTGACCCAAGTTCTCTCCTCTCTTTCTCTCCCTTCCCCAGCAATGTCAGAGATATAGCACTCAAGTTTGCACAGTATGGATCTTATTGCCCCGAGTCAAAAATACTTAAGCAAAATCATTTGGGTCACCGAGACGGTAAGTGTTCAATGATTTATAGCCAAACTTTTATAATAAACAATAGTTTGAGTATAGATTCTGGTCTCAGTCACTTATCTCCCACATCCATCATACCACACAATAACAGTCCCCAAAGTAATTCAAAGGCCTTGCCAGCCTGGATTTTGACACCAGTAGCCTAGGTCACACCATTGTGACAATTTGCTGAGGGCAACGGTTACCCTCCTATAGTCTTTTGCACCAGTGTGTTCTGGTGTCATATCCTGAAGATTATACCTCTCTCCGGTGGATGAAAAAGCACCACTAGAATCGCAGATATCTACATGCTTGTACACCAAGAACAAAATATATTAAAGATAATAAAGGTTGGTATCTGTATTAGCTGTTATAATGCACTTGGTGCAGACACTTGGCATTTATAGCAAGACAACATCAGGATTCCATTATAACTTTTTATTCCTTTCTTCTCCAATTTTCTCCCATCTTAAAAACAGTTCACCAATTTTTCCTTCTAGAGAGGTATCGTTCCACAGGCACTAGGATCCCCCACAGAAATGGCTATACTGTACATGAGAGCCGAGACAGAAAGAACCACCATGCTTTTTGGCTGCAGCAAGCATCACAGCCAAGCCCAATCTGATCTTCTCCCTCAGGCATCTGTGTCACTAAATTTCAGGAGTAGGAATCCTGTCTGATTTTCTCTTCCCATTACAATTATCATAAGAATCCTTGCATTTGATATAGTGCCTTATCACATCATTGAGACGTTTCAAAGAACTTCACAGAATATATTGTAAAGTGAATGGACTGTATTTTGTGGGTGAAACAAAAATATTATAAGGAAAATTAATTTATAAAAATTAGCATAATCCTTGCATTTGATGTAGTACCTTATCACATCTTCGAGACTTCTCAAAGCCCTTCACAGAATATACCATAAAGTGAATTGACTATATTTTGTGGGTGAAACACGGCAGCCAATTGTGCACAGCAGTGTCCCACAAACAGACATGGATTGAGTGACCCAATTATTATTATTAAATTATTTTAAAGGGATTATTACCCCCAGAAAAGCGATCTGCCAATCGACTAACAACTGGATTCCAATTTACTGCTAGGTAAAGGTGTGTGGAGTAAGGAAACTTGCTCAACATTTCACCCCGCCCAGGAACCAAATCTGGGTCCTCTCACTTGCGAGGTGAGTGCTCTAACCACTAAGCTACAGGACTCGCTCTGTTTAGCAATCAACTTATATCACTGATACCTCCGTATCACTTCAATTTGGTGACGCGACTTCGTATGGCTTACCAGATCCCAATAACTTAGTATGAACAGTCTCGTGAAAGATTATGACCGACGGCCCCAGCGTAGATAAAGGAACATCCAATCCACATCGGGCAGTGGTAGCTTTCAACTCTTTAGTGAAATGTTTAAGGTAAGCTTCAGATGCATCGCCAAGAAACTTGAAGAGGTCATTGTGTAATCTGTCAGCACGAGTTCTGTAAATAATTGTATCTGATATAGCAAGCACTTTAAGTAGCAATCGTGTTCTTTGACTTAGGTTCACAGTAGCTCCTAACAAGCCCTCAGTGTCTATGACAACAACTTGATGAACTGGATCATAGGCTGCCCACACTCCAACCGTGCACGATTCCTGGGTCGGGCAGGTCTTGAAAACTTCACGACCGTAGAAGAAGGTGTGGTTGAGGGTATGAGACTTGCCATCACCCGTGTTACCAAATATAGAAACAACCTTGAGATTCTTATCTGGTTTGCAATCCAGGTTCCGGATGAATTCTTCTTCATCTTCTACCTGATGAACAAAACACAAGTGTTGCTCCATTAGAGAAAGGACAGTATCAAGGTGCAGCTAATGGAACATAAGCAAAGGACATCTCCAACTCTGATAAAAGAACATCCTATGACTAAACAAGATCAAAATATTTGAACAATCAAGACGTTTTACAAAAAGTACTCTTACCTGTACAAAAATATATGCGCCACAGATCCAGTCTAGCCCATATAGTTTTGGAGTGCTTAAATACACAAAGCTATGCTGGAAGCAACATTAGACTGGTAAATAGTACAAAGTTTCCTGGCTTCCTTCATATCAGATGAATACCATGAGCCATGTTGATCCCAGAATCAAAGTTACAATAATAATCCTTGCATTTGATTCAGCGCCTGATCACATCGTTGAGACATCTCAAAGAGCTTCACAGAATATATTGTTAATAGGATTGACTGTGTATTTTCTGGGTGTAACACAGTAGCCGATTGGACTGAGTGACCTAAATTGTTTTTGGAGGGATTATCACCCCCCGGAAAACAATCCACCAATTGAAAATTGCAGCCACTAACTGCAGGGAGTTTTATTTACAATCAACTGCTTTTAACACAATTTTAATTAAATTTTAATCACAGGCAAATCTGTAAAATGAAGTAGTTTACACGTAACAGCTACTAGCAACAACTGATAGAACAGATTATGTCTGGCCAATTCCACTTCTTTTTTTGAGGTCTCATTTTCTGAGCTCTGTGTTCTCCAACTCAAAAAACAATATTCGCATCTGCATAGTAATCCAAGTGTTACATTTCATAAATGTAAATACTGTAATTATAGTTGATCCCTCATTGTCTTTTATTGCATGGGATGGTTAATGTTGCTTACAAAGTCCAGGGGGAACCTTTTCTGCTTTGGTTCCTCATTGACTCAATTGGTAAAGTCACTGATGGGAATAAGACAGAGCCATACCTGCAATACGCAATTCTGTTGGTTGATCTGTGCACTTGCCTATTTCACGGATCACTGCTACTTTAAAAATGGTCTTTTTGTATCAACCTTGATAACACTCCGTTAACTCTGTCTGGTGTTAGAATTCATTTAAAAAAAACCTGAGTCTATTTTAACAAAAAAATTAACCATTTTTCCCGACTTATTTAAAGTATAAATTCTTGATTTTTTTTGTCATTCAGCGTTGGTATGAGTCATTTCTGCATTTTGATGCATTTCTGCATTTTGATCCAGTCCAGTGCGACAATGCAGAGACATGACCTTCAGTACTTAATTTTCACAGGTCATGTGCTTAACACAGGGCTACACTGTGTAGTGTAAGTACAAAAACAAATTAATGTCGCAATACAGATCAGTCAAGTGATCTGTATACTTAAACAGTGGACTGGAGCCTGGAAGGTGTTTTATAAATTTGGGAAAGGAGTGGGGTGGGGGGGGGGGGGGTGAGAAGATAATGAATATTTTCATTATTTTACATTGGAACAAGGGCAGAGAATTAATTAAAACACTTAGCCAGGCTCCGAATTAATCAGCTCTCGAGGCTTTGATTCCAAGGAGTAGAGGGGCTAAAGCAGAAAAACAAATGTGTACTAGAATATTAATAGCCACCATTAGATGGGTCAAAAGCAAGCAGTAGCCAATCGAGGTAAAAAGAACAATGCACTACTGCCCTTGATTTGTTATGTACAATCTGGCAATGCAGCTGTTTATAACACAACAATGTCCCCCCGTTGTCTCAGCCAGTCAGTTCACTCCTTCACAATAATCTGAAACTCCATAAACAGCTTCACACAAGCTTCTGGATGTACAGTTGTGGGAACTGCACGGTGCATACATCCAATTATTCTCAAAATGAATGTTGCAGAAGTATTATCGAAATACCATGACCTGTCAAACCAGATAAGAACTACACTATGTTTCTGCTCTGGTCACAAGTTCAGTTTGATTGAGAAGGCCTTGTGGTCCATTTAATCTCCTGAAACACTCGATTTCAAGAATACGATAACCATCAAGACACACAGTTACCAATTCACACAGATGTCATCCAGTACCCTATGAAAGTGCTTCAGGAGATTTAAAGGAGAAAAACAAGTTGCTAACATCTCCATAACTGAGGTGTAATTGGAGTTTGGTTACTCATTTTAATAACATTGGTCAAAAATCTCTGAAAAATTATCGAAGAAGCTCATAAGTTGGTTGTCACAGTTGTGTCCAATATTTCAGTCCAAGTATTGAAGTCCAAAGAATAAATTTCATTATTTGTTACCTTAAGTTTTAAAATAAGGCTTGACTAACACCCAGTAGCTGCAAAGTGCTATCAACAGTGACTGAAGAGTACTAAGAGCACTCAGTGCATTGGGACACCTTCCTGACGTGCTATAAAAATGCAATTTGTTATTGTTGTAAGCAGCCTTTTTATTTGTACCAAAAAACAATTTCAAACAGTCCAATTTCTTAATATTCTATATTGCCAATTCATTAATGTTAGCTTCACCCACAGATACAGTCAACACACTTTACAATATATTCTGTGAAGCACTTTGAGACGTTTCAACAACAAGATAAGGTGCAATATCAAATGCAAGGATTGTTATTATAATTATAGGAATGAACAGAGGAATCATATGCAGGTATATCCATGTACTGAACACAGAATCATAGAAATTTATGGCACAGAAAAAGGCCATTCTGCCTATCATTTCTGTGCAACTCCCTAAGAGCTCAGTCCCACTTACCTGCCATTTCCCCATACCCCATTAACTGGCCCTTTTTAAGGTATCAGTAACCTGGGTTTCAACAGTATTTTAACTATGGCATGGGTTATAACCAGTGAACACTCTTCGGGTTGTGATGTCTGCTATGTGTCATTCAAGTGCAAATATTGAAAGGAAGCCAGATGTTTCCTACACAGAGAATTGTACATACCTACCAGATCAAGGAGTATTGGTAAACAGTTGGGAACAGATTACTTGCCTCATCTCTCAGCTAGAGAATAGACAATATCATCTGGCCATGAGAATAAAGAACAAAGAGCACAATAACAAAACCGACATTAAACAGAAATAGAAGTTTAGTGTCAGTTACATGTTAATATCAAGCCAAGCACACCACAGTTCATAGCATTTTTACAGTCAGTTGTCAAGTTAATATACTACAGGTCAAAGCTGGTTAGTATTGATTTGCTCCACAATATTATCAGCTTTGGATGACTTGAATCGGTGAAACAAATATGTTAATAAAGTTCTCACACTAAGCAAACTTTACTCCATTACTTTAAAATTTCTTCCAGTTGATAATGAAAACAGATTAAACTGGTACTCTAGAAGAATCTATAAAGCTTTGCTTTTAAGCTCCATTTTAAAAATGGAAAATCGGTGTTGTGGAAGGGAAAAAACGAGAAAGAGGAAGAAATCTTAAGAAACAAATACCAAACACCATATGCAATTTCTGAAGGACTTCTGGGCTTTGTGGCTCAGGGGAAAGAAACTTCCGGTTCTACACCTGCAAATGTGTGCAGCATAAGTTCATTGGTCAGATGTTTCCCTGCTATTAAAATCACAGTATTTGGGTTTGGTAGATAAATAGACAGCAATAATTCATCTACAGTACAACATGTTCCATTCGATTTAGTCCTCAGCAAAGACCCATAAAGAAACAATGCAACCATAAGTGATGAATAAATATTTTGCAAAACAACACCTTGCATTTATTTAGCACCCTTCAAAGCAGGATAAAGACATGGAGCGCTTCCAAATAATAATCCTTGCATTTGATACAGCACTTTATGACATCTTTGAGATGTCTAAAAGCGCTTCACAGAATATACTGTAAAATATAGTGACTGTATATTTTGTGGGCGAAATGCAGCAGGCAATTGCCCACAGCTGTGTTCCACAAGCAATCATGGATTGAGTGTACAAATTATTATTATTGGGACGTCCTCCCGACGTGAAAGGCACTATATAAATGTAATCTTGCTGTTGTTATTAAAAGGGATTGTTACCTTCGGAGAAGGATACGCCAGTTGACTAACAACCGGGTTTCTACTTACTGCCAGGTAAACAATGGCATGTGGAGTCAGGAAATTTGCCTAATATTTCACCCCGCCCAGGAATCAAACCCTGGTCAACTTGTTTACGAGGTGAGTGCTCTAACCAATAAGCTACAGGACTTTACTAAGTGTTTGAACTGCAGATCAAAGCACTAAGAAATGACCAGGGTTCAAAAACGATCAAAACTGATCACCTGACCACTTCTACCCCAAATAAAAAGGAATCCGCCTTCTGATATGAACGTACACTAAGCAATTTTCACAAGTCCAAAAATGAATGTGTAAATCTAGAGATTTAGACAAAGGGGAGGGAGGGGTAGGAAGAGTCGAAAGGCTTGTCCTCAGGTGGCAATTAAAGATAGATGAAGAGGGAGTTTCCGAGGTTAAGGTAATCAATGGTGACACAGAGAGAGGTGGAGATGTGCAGCCTATATTAGCAGGAAACAGGGTGGGCAGAGGAGTGGCATAAATAAGAAGCTCTTAGTGCATTAAGGGATTTATATGCAGGAGTGAGAACATTGAAGTCAATCTGTTCAGAAACTGTGAGCCACTGGAGCCAGGCAGGGATTGGGGTAATGGGCATGCAGTTTGTTGCAAGTGAAGATACAGGTAGTGGAGTTTTGTAATAATAATCCCTCCAAAACCCCAAAAAAAAATGGTCATTTCAATCTACGACTGTTTGTGGGACATTGCTGTGCGCAATTGGCTGCCGCGTTCGCCCACAAATATACAGTCAATTCACTTTACAATGTGTTCTGTGAAGCACTTTGGGACGTCCTCCCGACGTGAAAAGCGCTATATCAAATGCAAGGATTATTATTATTTGTACTCGCCAGTGGTGATGTCGTGGCTAGGGAACCTGTGAACTCAGATGAATACTCAATTGACTGGAGACTTAATGTTTACATGGTATTGTTTTGGTTATTTACACCCCGCAGGTAGCAGGAATTGTCGGTTATTCCATTTTTACCTGGAGTGTCCTCCCGATGTGAAAGATGCTGTACAAAAGTAATTTTGATGTTGTTGTTAGGAATGTTAATTCCCTCAGTTAAAAAGGATATCGTTGGTGTCTGAACGGGGCCTAATTTGCGTGGAAACTCATTGGTTGCAAGAATATGCTTTTTTTGTGAGTGTGAGAGTACTGGAACAAAGGGATAAAACACTAGGTATTTGAGCAGGTCGTATCAGTTGCACCTTTAAGGGACTTCTAACATGAAGTTGGTCAGCTCGTACACCCAAACCCCAAGTGCCTTTATGTATTATGACACCAACTTAATTTAAGGCTTTGGGGTGTCGTCAAATGGCTTGTGGCACTAATATTTTAAATTGATTTTGAGTTGTGTGTATTTTAATTTGTTGATATAAATCGGATACTCGTTCGGTCTCCCGACTCAAAAAGCCCCAACTCTAATTATTGGCGCATTGGGTATAAAATACCAAGCTCCATGACACTGAACCTTGTGGTTGGTTGAAGTGTATTTGAGAAGTCAAGTCGGGTGATGACAAAAGAGTGGAATTTGGTGTGAGATGGGGGGGGTGGAGGTGAAGGAAAGCTTTTCTTGGTGAGGGGCCAAATGTAGGACAGCTGAGGATCAAATTGGACACTCAGGTTGTGTTCTGGTTCAGTAAGTTTAAGAGGTGGGCTGAAGAGTTTAAGGAGGTCAGAACCAGAGGTGAGGACACACTGGCAGTAGCTCAGGAGGTTGGCTTCCATCTTGTCCGCGTTAAGCTGCAGAAGGTTGGTGCTCATCTAAGCCTTGACGTCTGCCAGGGAGACAGAACATCTGGGTCGACGGATCACTTAAGTATATATGGCTACACCTTGGATTACTGTCATTTCAGTAACCACAACTTTCCTTCTCCCAAAAACATACCCATATTATGCTCCAAAATAAGTTGACATCTTCCTTTCACGGATTATTCTGTGCTTAAATTTAAGTTTCAAATCATACTCTTGTCGTCAAGCCAAATTTCATTTGTCTGCCTGAGATACACAATGTTGTACATATCAACTATCCATTAAAACCTAAACAACAAAATTAGATTTGTATAGCACCTTTCACGTCGGGAGGTCGTCACAAGGCACTGGAAGTCAAAAACGTCTAAGCTCAAAAAATGACTATGACTTTCACCAAAATGGAAGTGATCACAGTACTCTGAACAACAACTCTTCATTCTCTGTACTATAGACCAAACTTTGCATCTTCTAGTCTCAAATATCTAAATTGACTAAATATTAATTGAGAAGTTCAAAGCATTATGAAATTCTAAGTAGTGTCATTGTCCTTTTATTATACATGAAATGCCAACTCTTATGAGGGTACAGATCCATAATCACTTCTTACCCTTGGTAAGTTAAGAGCTTCAAGAGCATGAAGGATACTATATAAATGCAAGTTAATATTGAGCGAGTTGAACCATGTTCCTGGAAAATCAAATGCTAGAATGGGAAGGTACATTGCTACCCACTTACCACAAATGTATTGTTATTAAGGAAATGATACCGGCTTCTGCTTCCAGCAACCACTTACTGTTTATTTGGCTTTTCAGGAAACCATCAAAAAACAGAATAGCCTTGCTTTACAAAAGCCAAATACTCCTGCAGAATGAAATTAAAGCAGCTATAAGCAACAACAACAAGACACTGTATTTATATAGCGCTTTTCATATCAGGAGGACATCCCAAGTCAGACACATTGGACACAAGCGAAACTGCTCACACCATCAAGGGTTTAGATAAACTCCAGGGGAGAGCTGTGCTCCAAGGGCAGATAAGGGCCTAATACTTTGCTATAAAGAATTATAGTGCGTAATCCTAGACCAATCCCATACACCACCTAGCAGCTGTCTCAATCGCGGCATTGATGTAAGGTCATTACCCTATCCTATGGGTAGAAAAATACATCTGAGGATGACACAATTATTTTAACCTCCATTCTTAAGTTGTATGAGGTGCAATTTCACAGATGCTGGTCACCCTCTAATACTTATACAGGGTGAGCAAAAAGTTATTTTTCAACTACCCTATTATCTAAAAAAAATCATAATTTCTTTAAGACTTTTAGACATTGTAATGGTATCACAACTTTTTGATCACCCTGTATAACAAAACTTATATTTGATACAGTTCCTTATCACATCGTCGACATGTCTCAAAGTGCTTCACAGGAAAGTACTGTAAAGTGGATTGACTGTATTTTGTGGGTGCAATATGTTGCTTAAATTACCGTTGTTCATATGTGACCATGGCATGGAAGGTCACAGCTATTTGACCCAATCTAAGCACTATTATGACTTTCCCCACAAGGTGCTCCCACCAACTCAGCTCAGAAATCTATTCTGAGACTTTCCCAGTTGTTCAGTAACTCACTGAATAAATCTGCTGAGTCACATGTAAGTTTTCAATGAGAGTTTTGAAAACGATGTGCTGAAATGACCAATAGACTCATGAGTGGAATTTATGATCCAAATGCTTAGAAGCTTATTCTCAAAACACCGTGCTTGTTTTTGTATCCTAGAGTTAGGAAATTCAGAGAGACATTATTGCAACAAGATTACTGTGTGTGACCTACATGATAAGTTCACAACATACAGAAACACCTTATGAGATAGCAGTCTCACCCATGATCTCAATAAACTAGAAGCATTACAAATGTATTTTAATTATATTCAGCATTGGAGACTTACTGGGTACATAAAGCAATCTTTAACTAGGAGGTGAAGGTTAGCTACCTTGGTCGCCAAGACTGACACAAAAATACAACGACTACAACTGAGCAAAAACTTTTATTTTTATAGTTGGTGATTGAGAAACTCTGTCCTAGAAGCTATACTGAATAACGGACCCCCAACTTCCATTGCCAGGTTTCATCATAACTCGCAGGAAAGGCCCAGTAATAACTTCACTTGTGTTGACAGCAGCAAATGTTGTTTTTGTCCTGCCAATAGGCGTTATAGAAACTCCAAGCGTGACGGCCATGATGCCCAAAAACTCACTCTTTGCCTCATCTTAGATCGCACCCGAACACTTTACTCTTCGAGCTTGCCCTCGATCGCCTTTCCCCTCTCGGCGGCAAGCTCCACCACTGTTAAGGCCTCTGAGATGCTGCCCTGAGCGTACTGAGCGCAAGTTGCTGGTGTTGCGGTCAACGGCATTCACACTGCATTAAAAAGTGCGACAATTATAGCGAATGTCAGGTCGCGGCCCAGACGTAGCCTAGGATCAGGTTAACTAGACGATCACCTGACATATACTGCATGACCATTTCACAATATGTCGAGATGATAATAATAATAATAATAATAATAATAATCCTTGCAGTTGACAAAGCGCCTCATCAAGTCATTGAAACGTCTCAAAGCTCTTCACAGAATATACTGTTCAGGGGGAATTGCCTATATATTGTGTGAGCCTTGTGAAACATCACTACCTCCCCCCCATATATACACATCACAATATATATGTGTGTGTACATGTATAAATCCCGCATTTACCTGGATCTCCTCGTTCTCGTCCACCAGCAGGAAGCTCCTGACGCTTTGGGTGAGCCTCTTGTTCCTGAGGCTGACCTGCTCGGCCTCCCGCTGCTCGGGATCCTCCAGGCCGTTGGCCCGGGGCTGCGGGTAGCCGGTGACCGGGTGCTTGCGCTTGTTGGAGTGGTTCCTGCGCTGACACTCGGCGCACAGGTTGAGTTTGCAGCTCTCGCAGCGGACCGCTGCCCTCTGTCTGCTGTGGCTGTTGGCCTGAAGCCCGGCGGCGGCGGCGGCGGCGGCTGTGGCGGCGGCAGTGGCGGTGGCGGCGGGGCCCGCTCGGTTGCACTGGTCGCAGTACGGGACGTGGCCGGGCTGGATGCGGCTCCTCTCGTGCTCCGTGAAGCGCGGCTGCCGGTGCAGCTCCTCCTCGCAGCGGGCGCACTGCAGGCTCCCGCACTCGTCGCACTCGAAGGCCGCCTCCGAGCCGCTGCACGCGTAGTTCTCCTGGCAGCTCAGGGCCGGGGCCGGGGCCGAGGCCGCCGCCGTCACGGCCGCCCCGGCCCCCGCCCCAGCCCGAGACGACGCGCCGCCGCCCCCGCCGCTCTTATTACCCAAGACCGCGGTCGGCCCCGGGCCTGCCGCCGCTTTCTCAGACGGGCTCTGGCCGCTCATGCCTCCAGCCGGCCGCTTGCTGCTCGCATACGAGGCGGGAAAAGGTCGAGCGAAGGGGGGGGGGGGGGGGAAGAAGAGGAAACGCGACGGAGTCGAGTCGCCGTCGCGGTAAAATAACAAAGGGCGCTCCTTTGTAAATTGAGGCCGAGGCTGCGGTTCGGGCCGAGAGAGCGACGGTTTATTGTCTCTGAAACGGGAGGGAGAGGAGGTAAAACGGCGTCTGTACAACTGGAAGCCCAGACAGGGCTGTGTCTGGGCAGAGCTGAGCGGTGGTGCTGCTGCTGCTTCTTCTTCTTCTCCGCCTCCTCCTGTCGTTGTTGTTGTTGTTGTTCTGGGCTCCACTCATCAGCTGATTCCGGGTCCGCCGGACGTCGTGTTGTCGTGAAGCTGCTGTGTGTGCGTGTGAGTGTTTTTTTTATATACACACACCCACGGAATGGACTGCGCACGCGCGGCGGCTGGAGCTTCTGGGAGTTGTAGTCTTTTTTTTTCGGAGGGCGTGTAAAGTGGGCACTGTTGTGAAAGGAGATGGGGGTGGGTGGGTGAGGGAGAGTGGCATTCTGGGAGTTGTAGTCCCCCCCATCCTTTCCCTCCTCACTTGTCCTTGTGGACAACAACGTCTGTCTGCACTGTACATAAGACCTGCCAATAGATGCTTTTTTTTAAAAAAATGCTCCTTATTGTAACCAGTTGTCTTTATTGACCAAATTAGCTCCAGCCCAACTGTATAATTGGCCCTTTTCTCTCTCTTTCTTGTCTCTTACACATTGAAAATCTCACTGGTAATATTTTCCAATATTGACAGTCTGCAGAGATTCCATAATAAGGTTAGTGGATTGAATAGACGCCCCGCTGACTCAAGCATTGATTTTCCAAATGTCACTGCTTAGGTTTCCGTCATCGTTTCTGTGTAAAATTCCGACCAATGCCCCCGGTTCACACACTCTTTTGTCGTAAGGCATCTTGTCTCCCAATGGTTGGAAACCTTTTCACCAAATGGAATGACCAAGGCATGGGATTGGGATCATGACTTGCGTTCTAAGATTTGATTTCCTTATATGTATATATACATATATTTTTTAAAAAACACTTAACATCATAAGACACAGGAGTAGAAAAATGGGCTTTTTTTTAAAAAAAACAAGTTTTATTGTCTGATCTTCGTTTTAGAAATGTGACAATCCTCAACATCCATAAATCAGAGGAGTGTCAACTCTAGGGTTCTAGTAAGTAGCAGAGAGAGAGAAGCAGAAACGTTTTAAAATCTTGAGGCAAAAATAAACCTTATGTATGATGTAGAGTCTTTCATGTCAGTAAGATGTCTCAAGGCATTTCACAGACTTTGAAGTGTAGTAACTATGTATTTTGTAGGTGATCATGGCGCACAACAATATTCTACAAACCGCCATGAAGTGAATGAACAATTTTGGCTAGGAGATTGTTGCCAGGGAACTGGAATAAATACCCATCTCTTTTTGAGTAGTGCCAAGGGATCTTCCAGTGCTCCGAAACACCACCCAGCTATATAAATGCAATTGTTGTTTTATCTTTAACATCTGCTTGAATAGGCAAACAGAATGTTGATTTAATGTTTTATCCAAAGCACAGAACCTCCAACATTTAAGCACATCCCCCAACATTGCATTGGAGTGTTGGTTTAGACTGTATATATTCAACCTCAACAAAGGAATAAAATTCCCAGTTTTTATACTGTTAGGTTCTGTGGGATTGCTTTACATAGAACCCCCATTAGGAAGGCTATTACCTTATTCTAATATAGAAGAATGTTCTGTTATTATTGCTCTTTCTCTTTGTGTGAATCTGTTCAGCAATTCTTTTCTGTAAAACAAGTAAATAGCCATAATTAATTCATCAGAGGATTGCTAAATGTCACTAATATCCCGCTGAAAAGTGCTCCACCTGGAATAAAACCATTAAAAAAAACTCTGAGGACATACAGAACAAACCCCCAACAGCATAACCACAACATCCTTCCCATCTTTTTCCCATCCTTCCCAAAACAGGCCATGTTTTGTTGGTTTAGTTGCCTGGTGATTTACACAGATTTCTTACCTTCCCATTTTGTCTTTAAATGGATTTTTCCAGATTTTTTCTTTCCTGCCTCCCTTCCTCCAAATCGTTTGAAATTTGCCAAATGAGTTAATCCATTCCAACCTTTGCGTCCATCCTTGGTTCACTTCAGTTTCAAAAACAATTCAGAAAATGCAATTTTTTTTGTTTTTTGTTAGTCAAGAGTCTGATGCATTCAGAAAACTCCTGTTGTCTCCAGTTCCAGCTGCTGTAGACAAAGAGAAACAGTTTATCAGTTTGCACCTTTTCCCCCAGAACACCATTTGCATTTGCATAAAGAATCAGATACGGATTGGCATTAAAGGAAGGCCTGAGACTACAATGTGTACATTCGGGTGGTTACTGGAATTGAGCCAGCTCAAACCTGGCAGGTAACAGTATGCCGGTAAGCAAGCACTGCCGTTTGTCCAAATGGGACCAGTCTACCTGTTAGAAAGTTGCCTTGCAGCATTATCAGAAGCCAAGTGTGGATAAAAATCCATCTCCAGCTTATGTCATTCACGATTCATTAATGAGCCAGACAGGCTTGTCAATCATCAGCAGTGCCCAGGAGTTCTGTGGACCTCCCAGGCTCAGGTATCAGGGCAGGTCACCAAGTCCATCCCAGAGACTTAACTCCAATTTCCCTTTGCCAACGCATCATCACAGAGCCAAGAAAATCCTTACTCCCCCACCCAAGATTATACACTGGAGAACTTTTGATGACCATGATAACATTTTGGTGTTTTTAGATTAAGGAACACGACATGGCTTCGAGATGTTACACTCGAGATGTTACATAATATTATTTCAGTTCTGAGAGTTTTTGGACGGTAGCAGATTTTCTTTTGGTTATCCGGGTGTTTGACAGACATAAAATCCCAACCCAAGCTACAGATGTATGCCATCTACACATGGTATTTTTATTTTTTTCTGGAATTGAGTGCATGTTCCCTCACTGCTTACCTAATTCTGGAAAGTATTAGGCACAGGTTAGCAAGAGCCAGTGTTTGGGAACTCATGAGTGGGGGAGCTGAACCAGCTAAAATCATACATCTTTCATCATGAACACTGTCTGCCAAGTATTTTATTGTTTTGTCCAGCTCTGACCTTGCTCTTAGGACTTTGGTTTATAGGGTTAGCGGGAGCCAAGTGGGTAGAATCCAATCCAATCCTTAGTGACTAGCCTGCTGTTGAAGCCCTGCCATTATATCAGGCTGGCTGATCTGTTATTAGCAGTTCCTTGGATTACTGCAGAGCAAACCTGGTTCAGCAACCAGACTTCCGAGACCACCACAGAGGGTCATCTTGATTTTAATATTCCATTGCTTTTTTTTTGGTCAGGCATCAGCCACGTCTGAGACGTGGGGAAACCCATCACCATGCTTAAGAGTATCCAAACCAAGCTGAGAATTCCATGCATCCAACAGATGGAAACTCCAGAGATAGATTATTGGAATGGAATGTGCATTATTTCCCTGGAGGGATGCATCCATATTCCATTACCAAGTATGTCACCTTGGAGGCAGCTCAACCTGATGGTGAGCCCATTTACCTCCCTCAAAGCAATGGGCTGGAAGTAATGTAAAGTGTTTTGGAGCTGCATAAGACCATGAACTAAAGTCTAGTGGGCCTGTACAAGTTTGCCTCTGACAAAACTGACCCTCATCTGCGCACCTTCTTAAGAATTCACTACCTCAACCATTCAGTTGAGATCAGAAAGGAACCTAAGACTTTGCGCCATCCTGATGCGTCTGGGAGTTCCCCAGAATGGTCAGCGTGAATACCTATGTGACAAGCTAATCCTATTTTAGAGGTTGAAATTGGGATTTGGGTCCTTTGTCAACATTGCACCTTATTCTGTCTTGAATCCTGACTCAAATAGATATTTTTCCAATAGATTAACCCTCCCCCGACTATCCTAGAAGAACAGTCAATAGTTGGTTATCAGACATCTGACAAGTGCAAAGTCAAACCCTCATTCGAAATTAAGTCTGTGGTGCATCATATAGTGTGTTTGTTTATATAAAGATGAGATGCATGTCCATTATGTATATGCATGCACCACATGTGAGTATGAAGCTGTGCATGCGCAGCATACATGTATGTTCAGTGAAAATATACATGCTGTGTACACGTGTGTATCTGTAAGGACATTATGGCATAATGCACAAAATTACAGATAAATAATATCTGTAACCAACCGTGAGTGACCAATTTTATTTGGGGGATTAGAGGACACAGAGAGAAACTCCCTTCTCCATATAGGTTGGGAGGCTTATATGTATACACTATGTTAGTATGTACATTATGTGGATACAATATATTTTAAATAGTGCCTTTCATGTTGGGAGGATATCTCAAAGTACTTTACACAGTTGGCTGGACACCCAAGCCAGAGGTTTGGGCAGGGGAAAAATGACCAAAAGCAGACAAAGAAGTAGGACTTCAGGTGGGCTTTAAAAGTGTTGAGGGAGTGGACAAGTCAGAGGATTCTCTGGGACGTCTTTTCGACGTGAACGTCGTTATACAAGTGTAATTTGTTGTTCTTCTCATCTTCTCTGGAATTCTAGAAAGCAGGGGCAGAATGGCTGAAAGCTCGCCCATTAATGGTAGGGCGAATTAGGTGGAAACATGAAACAGGCCATGTTCATAGAATCATAAAATTATACAGCACAGAAGGAGGCCATTCATCCCATTGTGTCTGCTGGCTTTTTGAAAAGAGCTATCCAAATCAATCCCACTCCCCCACTCTCTCCCCATAGCCCTGCAAACTTGTCCTCCCAAATAATGATTTACTTCTCTCTTAAAAGTTGTTATTGAATCGTCTTCCACAGTTTATTGAGTGGCTGAGTCGTGGAGGTAGAGTGGGGCAAGGCTGTGGAGGGATTTAAATGAGAGGACAAGGATCTTGAATTCAATCCGCTGGGGGGTGGGGAGCCAATAGAGCTAAGCAAGGATGGGGGTAATAGGCTCATGGGGCTTAATGCAGGAGAGGATAAAATAAGAGTTCCTGATAATCTGCAGCTTGTGTTGGAAGGAACTGAGGAGTCCAGAGAGCAGAGCATTGGAATAGTCAAGCCTAAACATAATTAGGGCGATGAGGGTCTTGCAGCCTAGAGAGAGAGGTAATGGCAGAAGCAAGCAATGTTGCCAAGGTGAAGGAAAACTGAGCAAGTGAGAGCCTGGATGTAGGGCTTGAAAGACAAATGGGAGTCAGACAGGACACAGAACACCAGCATTGTGAGGTGGTATGAGTATCTGTATACTCTGTAAGTATATTTGGGAATGTCACCTCCAATCCTCGCCAGGCTCCAATGGCTCTGAATAGATCGACTTCCTGATCCTCAACCTCACATATAAATGCCTTTACACACAAGCACCTCCCTACTTCTCTGATTTGCTCCTACCCCACTCCTATGCCTGCCTCCTTCACTCAGCTAACACAGGCCGGCTGTGCATCTCCCAACTCTTGAGCCACCAATGGTGGCCATAGCTTGAGAGAGTCCTAATCCAATGTCCTTTCTACCTGAATCCTGCCTACCGCCCTCTCTATCTATCTTTAAATCCCACCTGAAACCCTACCTCTTTGACTGCATTTATGGTCATCTCTCAGCATCTAACCTCACCACAACAGCAATTTGAAACATTATCCAACTAGAAGGGGGCTATAAATCCAAATTGTTGTATGTAAAGTATACTTATGTACATTTAGAATGGGTATGAGTGTGTATGCATATGTGTATACACAGTATGTCAATTACATGTATATATCTCACTGCATGTGCAGTAGATTTAGGTATACAGTATTATATTGTATGTAAATGTATGTATAGCATATTTATGTGTGTGTATGGGAGTGTATGTACAGTACACATGTATGTAGAGGAGTACTGTATAGGCATTATATATGGAGTGTATGGACAGTATATGCGTGAGTACAGTACATATATTATGGAGTCCTGTATCGTATTGGTTAGAGCACTCACCTCGTAAGTGAGAGAGCCCGGGTTCAATTCCCGGGCGGGGCAAAACCTAAGGCAAGTTTCCTTACTCCACACGCCTCCGTTTACCGAGCAGTGAGGCGGAACCCGGTTGCCAGTCGACTGGCGGATCGCTTTTCCGGGGGGAGGTTAATAACCCCTTCAACAAATAAAAGCCAACGATCCGGTCGCTCAATCCGGGACCGTTTGTGGGGACGCCGCTGCCCGCAATTGGCTGCCGCCTTCCGCCCGCAAAACCGGCGGCCCCTTCACCTTCACAGTCGCGCGCGGGCGCACACGTAACAGCCGATTCCCTTCGCGGTCTGTGCCGCGGAGCGCTTTGCCGCGTCCGGAAGGCGCGATAGGGCGCTATATCTGAATGCAAGGACGGTTCATGGCTGTACTGCACGTGGAGGGGTATGTGTACAGTGTGTGTGTGTGTGTGGGGGGGGAGGGGGGGTCCAGTAAACCTGGAGTTACGTCACGTTACGTTGCACATGGACGTGTCTCGTGAGGGCTGGACGTGGGGGCGTCGCTGGCGTGACGTGATGACGCTGATCACGTGCGCTTGTTTCGGGAGGGGGAGGGAGAGTTAGCGAGGAGCCGAGTCCAGCGCCACCACCGCCGCCGCCGCCTGACCGCAGCCACACGGCCCGCACCGCCCTGTCCCCGCACCGCCCCTCCCTCCCTCCTCCCTCCCCGAGCAAACCCCCCCCCACCACCACCACCGCGCCCGAGAGACGCTTTCCGCGCGTCTGTGCGAAACGATCAGCCCGTCTCGACGGTAAGTCGCGCCCAGAGAGCGCGGCCACGAGCCCGACTTTCGGTGTCAACCGGGGGGGTGGGTCATGAGTGAGAGGCCCTGGGCTTCGCGAGGCTGCGGAGTGGTGCCGTGAGGGTGAAGGTGGGGGCGGGGGTGGTGTTCTCTCCCCCCCCCCCCCCTCACGGCCAAGCCCGGCTTCCGCGTTAAAAGAAGCGGCGTTGGTCGGCCCGGCGGCTTGGGGTGGTGGGGGGGGGAAGCACAGGCTTCGGGCCCGCTCGCTTTGCTTCTCTCTTAGTGGCGGCGGAGAGGAGAGTGGGGGGAGGGGAGGGGAGGCCTGGGACGTTGGGCCTACCAACCTGGCCTAGGCCCCGGCCCCGGCCCCACGGAGACGTAGGAGCCCGATTTCCCTGCCCCTCAAACCACGACTCACCCCCCCCCCACCACTTCGCGTCTCCGAACGGCAGCGAGTTAGCGATGTCCGTGTGTTGACGCCGGGAGGGGACGGGGAGGGATCTTTTGAAAGGGAACGTGGGTTTGGAAGGAGCGATGGCTTTATTTTGCATCAAATCCTCGGGTCGATTCCAGCTTCGTGTGTGTGTGTGTTTTTTTTAAGGAATACATTTCTCTTCTTTCTCCCACACCAACTCCACCACCACCACCACCACCGCCTACACACACAGGCACTTCGCTTTTCAAGCTTTATTTTGCACACGTTTAATTATTCAAATAGTTTTAGTTCCTCATGTATTCATCTTGTTTTTTTTTCGCGTATGTCAGCGAGGGATTCTTAAGCTTTGTGTGTCTCAATACATGTGTATTTTTTTAAAAAAAAACTAAAATAATGTATGATGCCAATGTCTCAGTTGTTGCTTTGGAAGGGGGCTGTGGTATTTTTAGAGGGCTTGTGTTTTTTTTTCCCTAATGCTTTTAGAGGAAAGGCAGAGCAGCTGCACCATTTTGAAAAGCCTCAAAGGAGACTGACTGTGTGTTTGGATGGGTTTGTCTACCAAATTGAGACTGTTTTATTTTGGTTGGTGCATGGTGAATTGGGGTTATCTTTGGGACTGAAGGAGTCCCCAGCTTTCAAGTGACAATATATGTAATGTAAATAATGGTTTAAATTGCTTTCTGTTAAACAGTTGGTTTTCAAGATAACTGTACATTTTCATATTTAGAAAAAGTAGCCCCATAAAATCTAGTAGTCAGTATTAAGTAAAATACTTAAGCATTCATGAGGAGTTGAAAAAGGTGGTCCTTGTAACAAAATGGTGGCCATTGCAAAGAAGTGTCTGAACTGAGAAACAAAGATATGAGGGAGTGGTTATATTTCATCAGTTCAGAAAATATTAACTTGAGAACAAAGTCAATAATCTATGAATATCATCAGATCCTCACAATTAAATCACTGCCTTAACTATTCAGACATTCAGTTCCCTTCACTATAGTGTTTTAACCATGGTGTGGTTGTGGATAGGACAGTAGTGGAATTGTGACATGGGGGCATGGTAATAAAGCCTGAGGGGATATGGTGTTTTGATTATGCTGTACAGTGAAATGTATATTTTGTAGAATAAATAATATGTAGCGTGATTTAAAGCAGAAGCTCAACACCATTACAGGTAAATACTTGCACAATAGTATTCTAAAACCAGGCTTTAGTTTTAAAAGTATTTTGCTCACAGAGATTCTCCAAGGAATGCTAAACGTTCACCTGAGCTCGGCTAAATGCCAGGGATGTACACGCTGGGGTAGCGTTACCTTGGAGGTCCCCTTTAGTATGTAAAATGAGGGCATTCTTTCCCATTGTTCTTCACGTCACTGCTGAGTGTTGTGGAACATGGGGGGAAGGGGGTGGGCAGATGAGAGGAGATTTCTACCAAGGTGGGCCGGTTTGATGAGATAAAAAAATTACATTGTATCTTTTTCAAGTAATAGATATTGGGAGAGTTAGGAAAAGAGAGTCAGAACATTTCTTGTGTAATGCAGTACGTGTAATTCATTATCTCACATCATCAGTATTTTTCTTCAGGTCAAAATGCTCTGTTTGGGCATGCATTTGAAAGGACTGAATGAATAATGATACTGCTGGTTGACAGTTGCAGTCATTGTGAATGTAATCCTGGCCTGAATTTCCCGAGTCCACCATTATGTTTTCATGAAATCCTAGTAGAAAATGCACAGCGGCACAGACACCCAATCTGTGCACTGTTGCATTTTATATTGAAATCTTAATATTGGCTCACTTACAACCTTGGTTTAAATAAAGAAGTGTTGCCACGTTCATGAAATGGTGGAATGTTTTGGAAAATAGGAAAGCTATCGGCTTTAATCTACAAATCTATGATGAACATTGGCAAAATATAATCAAATTTGTTTTTAAACTGTGGTCCAACTTCCAAGAGGGTATTGTGTGTTTTGTGGATGATTATTATCTGAATTCAAACTCTGGCTTTAAACATTCCATTCTGGTCCAGCAGTCCAGGGAACCAAATTTATTCCATCCTTGAAAATCCACTATGTATAATACTTGGGCTGTCAATGCACTGCTTGGGGATTTCCAGCTGCTGTCTTATTCTGTCTATTTCAGATATTCCTGTTAACCAACAACATCCTACCTGAATGGAGAAAAGCAAACATACTCGCTCATTTAAACATTTGGAAATGGGGATTAAAGTCATTTAAAGAACTGCAGATTAGTGACCCATAGTTGTATCAAAACTGATTGAAGCCTTAGTGAGCCAGAAGCTGTTGAAACACCTCAGTCAGAAACATCTGCTATCTAGATCCATGTTGACCGAAGAAAATTACAATTTTGGTGCACTTAATCTCGTAGGCTAGAAATGGCATAGTGAAGTTGGAGGTAAAATCCACAAGAATTCTGGAGCCTCTGACTGTACAGTTTTCCAGGTATTGAGATAGTGAGCGAGATATAACCTTCAGAGTCCTCGTTATTCCTGATGATGTTTGTTATCGTGTTATTTCAGCATCTGTAGAGTGTTTTACTTGTATTGCCACTCTTGTTTTTCATTACTTAGTGATCCAAGCAATTTGGTCAAAAATAATGTTTTTTTTATATAAGCTATTCATTTCCCGTCTGAAGGAACATGCCCTTTGATTGTTATAACAGTGGGCTGACAAGTTTCAGGTCCAGGCATTACCCACCTGATCTATTCTTTTAAGATTTGAAAAAAAATCTGTGGGAAAGGCTGATTGAAGAGTAGGAATTTTATCGTTTGCTCATTTGCATACTCAATGTTCTGCAAAAGACGATATCAAATTTGTAATAGCAGTCCACTTGGACAGGCTTCAGCTATTGGCTGTATCTTGCTCAAGTGGACTTAAAGATGGCTTCTTCCATCTACAATATTGAAGGGTTGATCTGAGTTATCCGTTCTGTACAGTTTATGTCCAGAGCAGCAGCGTAAGAGGAAGAGCAACGTAAGCAAACTTTCGTGTTTACAGCAGTAACATGAGCTGTTGCAGCTGTACTCAAGATTCTGTGTCAATCCAGAAGTCATAACTTCACATGCCTCTGGAACTCGCATTCACAAGATGTTATTATCAGGAATGCTCACTCTTGTATGCAAAAATATAATTGCAGAGTAAAATTAATTGCTGGAGCACAAGGGAGATGAGGCAATTCTGACTTTTCAGTTGAGACCTCAGGACCCAGTACAATTATAATAATAATAATCCTTGCATTTGATATAGCGCTTTTCACGTCGGGAGGACGTCCCAATGCGTATCAAGTGTGCTGTCTTTACAGCAACCAATAGTGTACAATCTTTTGAGACATTATTATCTTTGCTTCCATCTATTACTCTCTTGTGCCTCAAATGCACAATACAAAAACTCACAGTTTAAACTATGTCAAAATATCACTCGAGCTTTACAGTTTAAACTATGTCAAAAGTATCACTTGAGCATTAAAAGCCATGGGGTTACATTCACCGCCAGGTATTTAAAAAAAACCTATACATTATCTTTAGCTATTAAGGAAAGAAACATCTTTTTGCCGTCTACATTTTCATTGCAGCCAATGCTATGCTGGCCAAGTATTTACTGGACATCACTTGACAGGAAAGAGGTGTGCTGTATTCTGCGACCGTCAAGTACTCTCAAGAATATAATTGGAGAGGTTGGCTAATGGTATGTTAGCATCAGATGGAATCATTTACGTTGATGAATATCTAAATTTTCAGGCATCGATGGAAATAAAATAGGTGTCATGTCTCAGCACTTGGAACAATCCATTATTTATATATATATATTTCTAAAATACTCCTGTATTTATATAATCGTATTTTTGGTGGCCACTGAAATGTAAAGTAACTGTTGATGGTAGGGATGTTGTGCTGAAATACTATATTGATCATCATCACATATATATGAAACTTGCAAGAACTGAACAGTTGTTTTGGAAGAAGGTAGCTGCAAAATGGAGGATTTGTTAGCTAAAGAAGATTGCCGTTTTTGACTGTCCTGACAATATTATATCATTCTGGCTAATTGGGTCCACATGAATACTGCAATTTGATGTTTGACTTTGGCTTGTTACTTCATGATAAAGGGTCAAGAATGCATTTCTCCTACTATGCACATTCTGAATGCTTCCTAAACTAGCATACTCAGGTATCTCTGTGACAGCTTAGTCTGGCAGCAGAGCCATCTGTTCTTGTTCTCATTGTCATTTGAAAGTTGGACCAAACTCTGTTGACTACCCTTTTGATGCCCCTTCTTCTAAATTCAGCTGATTCTGCACTTAGTTCAATATCGTGCTTAATTTAGAGATGGTACAGTGTTAACAGTCTGTGGATTTGCTGTTGAATAAAGCATTCAGGAGCCTTCAATTCCTGTAGCCTGGGATTGTTTTCCAATAGTTGAGATATCTACATTTTCCTCCATTCTTTGTGATGCATTTCGATAAGTCGTTTGACATGTAGGAGGTGTCGATTCTGTTATTAAATGTCCACACAGTGCACTTTTTAAGAGGGCTCAAATGGATAGCAAAAATGGGAGACCTGCCTTGACTCTTTACCACCCCCAACTCCCTAGCCCAGTGATGCTAAGGCGTGTTATAACATCATCAGCTAGAAATGACTGCTTCAGCACAGTCTAGGGATGAAAGCAGGGGTCATTTCTGATTTCTGTAGCTCAGTTTCATGATGGGCTGGGGGTTAATTATCAGCTGAGTTATCCAGGCAAACTTGTTTCAGTGCTTCTATGTTAAGTCGTTAATGCCATAAAATGTGAACTTATTGGCCAGCATCTTATCTTACAGGTTGGTGCTAAACCATGTCCTTCCCACCACACATGAATCGCCCACCTTTAGGGATACCTCCACTCCCACCAGGTATCCCTCCCCCACAGTTTGCAGGATTTCCTCCTTCAGTGCCGCCTGGTATGTAAACAAAACTTGTTCTATTTAAAAGCTTTAGAAAACTGTGTTTATTTTTTTTAGAAGTAATATGGTTATCAAAAGAATGCAAATGTACAATGAGATGTGTAGAAATCTAATTTTTTTTACTGATATTGATTTCAGGAGCACCTATGATTCCTGTACCCATGGGATTAATGGCACCTGCCACGACCGTAAGTATATTCAACACGTCATATTAAAGCTGAGCCCTAAAGGTTAAGAAAAGCTGAGGGTTAAATTGCATTTTTGAAGTTACTAAAATTGCAGTTCCTAAAGGTGAAAGCTTTTGGTCAAAATTTTAAAATGCATCTCAGTTTCAATTTAAATTGCAGTCAAGAGTTTTGGTAGGACTGACTTGACTGACACATCTGCAAATAATGCAGATTAAATACATGCCTAAGTAGAAGATGGCAGACCTCAAATGTACATAATGTGTTCTCTGAAGTGGAATTAATTTCTGGCACAAGAAAATCATTAATTGGCCAGTTTTCTTTCCTTTGCCTCTGAAGGCACAGACTTTTGTTGGTGTACAGTTCCACGTGCCCTGGCAGGCTTCCAGTACCTTCCTGAAGTATCTGTTGATGTTTGAGCCAAGAGCATGAGTGCTCACAACCAAATCCAATACTTTTCTGCCCAACCATTTACAGGAGAAAGAGGGAGTATCTGTTAGAATTGTGATGAGTCTTTCTCTTCCCCTCCAATCTAGGATCACCAAAGCCAGTTGTCGTGCCCTAGCTAATTTCAATGAATTTATTATAACCAGGAATTCAATCTGAAACACTTTGGTCTTTATGGCTTAAATATACAATCAATTCACTTTACAGTCTATTCTGTGAAGCACTTTGAGACGTCTAGAAGACGTGAAAAGCGCTTTTGCAAATGCAAGGATTATTATTATTATAATGTTATACCAGGCATTTTATTTGCCTAGTAGCCATGGAGAGGAAGCCCCAATTAAATTGCATTATTTTTCTAATTGTGATTGGCTTTTCATTTGATTGATCACATCCATTAACTGTTTGAAAAGTTACATGCATGTAAATAGGAACCGTGTGAGTGAGTCAGATATTTGTTTCTTTTTGGGAGGTGGGTTGAGTCACTGGTTAATATGAAACAGAGTCATGCAGGCAATGAAGACCCCAGGCTTGGCTTAGGCAGCAGCCGTAGACCTAAGCTAGATCAATGATCCTGAGCTAGGGATGGGTGATACTGTAATCACCCTGGGTTCCCAAATGTTGATTGATGGTAATATGGGGTGTTTTCAAAGTCTTGGCATGCAAATCGATTGACTTGGATCAGGTACCCAGATCCCATGGAACTGTTTGCTAGCATCAGTTTGTATCTTTGAGACAAGGAAAGAAAATTGAGATGAAAGGAGAAGCTTACCATTCAATCATTCTATTTAATCAGAATCACATTTTAACCCAGAAATGACCCAACGACTGTATAGTATGGCATTAGAAATATAAATGACTGAAAATTTAATTTCATAAGAGGATGCTGTTTAAAAATATAACCTTGAAAGTAAGCATGCATTTCCAACACTGATGTGCAACTATGTTATTGTGTTCACTCAGTTAAGGATGTTTGCTCCCAAATGAGTCACTGAATAAAATTCACAGTGTTGGTGCAACTAACATGAAATGGTTCCAAATACAGGGGGATTAGCTATCAGTATTTTCTGGTACTTTGATCAAATTAGAAGCCTATAAAGAACAAATCATAGATCAAAGAGCTAACTATAATATTAATAACTGGAAAGTAGAAAGTATTTCCCACAAGTAGAATTATCTTAAGTTTATCCATTGTTTCTCTAAAGGTATTGGTGTACTTACTATTGTTGTTGTCTCCCTCCACATTCTTCAGGTCTCCATGCTGTACACCATGAACCGTTGCCCAACAGAGGGCAAGCAGGTAACCTGTTCTAGGCCCCTGCCAATGGCAGTCTGTAATTGAACATTAGTATCAAAGCAATTTCTTCTCTGCCCTCTTCTTCCACCTCCCTATAGTGAAGCGCTTGTATTTTTATCTGTCTTGGCAGTGGTTTAGAATTCGGTGTGTAGTGAATGCCACGCACTGAACGTACCGTACCAAGTTTAAATCCATAGCAAAAACTGTTGGTAGATCCAGTGTGTATGCGTGTATGATTAAAACTTAAACAATCCCCTCGCAATTCCCCCTACCCATTTCTCCTAAAAGCACTGGTGCAAACCAGTGATATTAGAGCCCTCGTAGCTCGCCAAAGTGCCCACCTTCATCTTTGAGGTTTTCAGAATTTCTATTAATTTTGTCCTCATCAAGTGTTTGCATTTGCCAACAGGGAGTTCCTAAATAGTGATCGGGATCCTGAAACCTCTGGATATTTTCTGCTCTCTAGCCAAGGGTTGAGGCCAGTCGCATTCTCCCTATCACTAAGATTATCAGCTTTTTGCACAGACCTGAGATTTAATTCAGGAATTCCTGGTGCATAGAATGCACTGATGCTGAATGGAGATTTTCCAAGTGTTGGCATCAATTTGGGTTACAGAAAGTTACATTTTAATGGTACCACTGACATTAGAAATATGGTAGGACTATGTGGTTTGAAGGTAATTGCAGTTACAGATGGTCCTGCCATTGGCAAATTAAGGGTGATTTTACCAGTTGCTTTGTGGCAATTGGGAGTGAATATCCTTAACGTTACAAAACGCTCAAGTTTTCTTTTTTAAAAAAAAACTGCAAATGCTGTAATCTGAAATAAAAGCAAATACTAGAAATCCAAATGTTGGCAATCAGTATCTGAAAACAAAAGTCGGGTAACCTATCTTCCTCTCTGAGGTGTGGATTGATTTTAAGCTTTTCTGCTTTTAATTCTTTTGGAAGATATTTGTTTCTGGTGCCAAATAAATTACTGAAAACTAAACATGAATATTTGAATGCTTTCCCCTATCTCCTTAATGTCTGGTCCAACCCTCACCAAATTATGTTGTCAGAACTAATGGAAAACACTTTTTATCACCTGAAAATATTATATCATTATGCATCAATTGCTTTCTGTAATGTTGTAAAATCATTTATAAAAAGTAATTGTTAGATCAAAAGACTTAATAGAGTTGATTAATTTATTTTGAATAGTTCGCTTTAACCTCGACAGCTGCATAGACTCATTTGAATATAACAACACATTATATTTGTATAGCACCTTTCACGTCGGGAGGACGTCCCTAGGCACTGGAATGTTAGAGATTTGGACCTGAGCAGTGGGTTGGGATCGGGGGTGGTGGAGGGCATGGAGAGTAGGGAGTAGGAGGGTGGCAGAAGGTGCAGTCAAAGAGGAGGGTCTTGAAGGAGCAAGGCAAAGGGATTGTGGGATGGAGTTCCAAAGAGTGGGGGCAGAGAGGCTGAAGTCTTGACCGACGATGGTGTGGCAGGCTGGAGCCTGCTGAACGGAGGGAGCGGACAGGGAGATATGGGGTTAGCAGGTCATAGATGTAGGAAGGAGCAAGGCCGTGCAGGGCCTTGAAGGTGAGATCTAGGATGTTGAACTCTTCTGGGGGAATGTGGAGCCGGGCGAGGTTGGAAGTATTAGTGTCACGGAGTCTAATGCAGGAGAGGACACGAGCTGCAGAGTTCTGGATGATCTGCAGCTTGTGGAGGGAAGAGTTGGGAAGGCCGACAAGCAGGGAGTTGGCGTAGTCGAGCCTAGATGCAATAAATGCGTGGATGAGGGTTTTGGCGGCCTGAGAGGAGAGGCAGTGACGGAGCCAGGCGATGTTGCGGAGGTGGGGGAAGGCAAAGCAGGTCATGGCACGGATAACAATCAACTTAGTTGACATGCAGCATAAATTATATTTTGTGTGTATTATGCCGTACATTTTAGCAACATGTGGACTCTTACGAATAATAATTTGTAAAAGTACGAAGGAGCTATGTTTAATTTTTATTTTGTTTTTCATGAATGACGGATTAAAACATACCAGTGTTTTACACAGGTATTGCTACCAACATCTGTGCCTTTGGTTGGAAAACACATTGGAGCAAGAAAAGACCATGCTAGTCAAAGGATCCGGGAAAATGATGAAAACAGTGGCCCCACAACAACTGTTTTTGTGGGCAACATTTCCGAGAAAGCTTCTGATATGTTAATTAGGCAGTTGCTTGCGGTAAGTCTGTTGCACTAATGTAACTTGTAATTTGACAGACGATTGAATTCCTCCAAACAATTCTCTCCTGAAGGTTACATCTTCACAGATTCCTGGAGCCCTCTGGTATTGCATCTCATTTTCTAATCATTTGTCTTAGTGAAAGTTTACTATGGAGCATTACAGCCAAGCCTAATGCTTTCTCCTGCCAATGTCGAATTCACATTTTCAACAGGATCAATCATGTGTTCGTGATTAGTAGAGAAGAATTTCTGGCTGATTTTTCTTTTCCCCCTTTCCACCCATCATGTAAATGCTGATCATAGTGTTTTCAAATCGGCTATCGAGCCTGTGACTTCCCTGCGGCCTTTTGCTCAGTTCCTCTTCCTGTGGTGCTTTTATCTTTTTGAGGTATTGCGGGTGGTGAGTGGATCATTTCAAAAAGATAAGATTTAGGAAAAATTCAGTCAAGTTCATTTCCAGGGGGTTGTGTTCAGTTATTATGATCCTTTTGTTGTAGAAGTGCAGCTACAGACTCAGATTCGTAAAATGTTGCAGGGTAGAAATGGGCCATTTGCCTACCAAGTCTGCACTGGTAGTTTTCTCCAAAGGAGGTAACAACAAATTGTATTTGCATAGTGCCTTTCACGTTGGGGGGCAACTAGTCTAATCCTACTCTCCTGCTCACTCCTAATATCCTTTTAATATTTCTCCTTTTGAAGCATTTTATCAGTTTTTAAAAAAAACTTCCTTACAAAGAATGTGTTTTAACCTCTATTTTTGAGATTATCTTACATTTGTGCCCCCTTGTGAATTCATTTTGATCAAAGTTTTGGTTAATACAGAAGTGTTTGATTTTAAGGTGAAACGTTAATCAGGCTGTGTTAATGGTGACATTTTATTTTTCAATTACAGTACATTTTTTTTCAAATAAATGTTTGAGAACTTCTCCCTTCTAATTTTCTTTTGAAGATATTGACTACTGCTCAGTTTAGTTCCACAGATTCAGTATTGCGTACCCTTTTTTGTATTGGTGACTGCTTTTTTTTAACATAACAGACCCTGATTTGGGACACAGGGTCTATTTTGTTGTCCAACTGCTAAGATTACACTTCTCTTTCCATTATATTAAAGGTGAGGTTTTACTTGTTTTGTCCAGGCCCTTTTAAATTGTTGTGCAAAAACTTCCAAGTGAGAATATAGCGAAATTAAATGGGCTGCAAAAAACATCAGTATTGCCTGCCTAAGTGTCCATTCTTCACGTATGAGCCCAGGTAATTGTGTCACATCAAGACCAAGCATAATTATTTCTTTGCTTGTCAACTACATATGCACACTTTTTACCAGAAATCACTGGAGAGCAATCAGAAGGGAGGGGCAGAGTGTAGTTCTCTCTCTTCCCCTACCCCCATCTCTTGAATGGGTGCTAAAGCCCCTGCAGTGATTTTTTTTGTTGTCTTACAATAAAATTTACATTTATATAGTGCTTTTCACATAGGGAAGAAATCTCAACCTCAACTGCAGGTTGGGTACCTGAGATGGTGGTGGAGGCTGAAGAGGGTGGGGAGGGGAAAGATGACCATAGAGATACGTCTTGGCGAGATGGGTCCATATGATGAACTTCACCCTAAAAAGTAGATATAAGCTGAACACTTGGGGAGAATGGAATCCCTTGGTTGTAATCTTCATTTTGAGGTGTGCAAGGAAACATTTATTTTGTGTTGGGCATGTGCTGTGCATGTGCTTCAGAGGTGAAGTTTGCAGAAGATATTAGTGTGAACCGTCTCCTCTTGATTTTCAGAAATGTGGCTTAGTTTTAAGCTGGAAGAGAGTTCAAGGAGCTTCTGGAAAGTTGCAAGGTATGGAGAGCTTACACAGCCCATTGCTACATACATTACTAACCTCTGCTTGCGGTTACTCTGAGCGATTTACCAGATTTGGCTAATTGTAGATACTTTTCCTGCTGGTATTTATCCACACGTATGGTAATTCCATTCACAGCAGGTGCTTTTTTTTTAAAAAAAGCCTGCATTAGAGCATGTCCTTCCAAATTGGAGTCGATGCAAAGTTATCAAGTTGCTTCGTCAAGTTGAAATATCATGAGTATTCACATCAGTCACCAGCATTCAGGAGGCCTGGGAGCAGGTCTCCGACTTGTCCTCCAGGTCAGCAGATGTGCCCATTGATAGTAAGTGGGAATGGATCCAGCCATTCTTCATGTTAGAACATCAAGTTAGCGGGCCCTTTTGCCCACGGTCAATTCACAGTCAAGCACATTGCTTTTTCTGCTTTTCAGTTGCAAGTGATGCTGTACCTAAAAATAGTCTTATTTGTTTATACCCTAAATAATTCCTTTCAAAGCTGTCTAGACTAGTTGAATCTGCCAACAGCTGGACTAGTCGCAATGTACAGGGTATAAGGGACTTGCATGTTTGCTTATAACGCACTGGAAGTATTGTCAGGAGCGACATGGAAGCAGGCCTGTTTTTTTCATAACCATAATGTGAGATTGAATTTTATGGACACAAAACACCATCCGCATTATAGCAGGGTTGTATCTAGTATTGCGTAATGTAACTATTTTAAGGCCGCGTTTTAAAAAAAACAAATACTCTTTCTCCCTGAGCCACTCATGGTGACAGAAGAGCCAGCAATCTGTCTGTAGACCTTTGCCAAATCTATTCTTGAGTCGTGTGCCAAAGTCATGAAAGAAGCAGTTTGATGCTCTCTTCCTTTAACCCCCCACCCCAACATATGCATGCACACAAAAACACAGGCAGAGGACAGATATTAAGATTGTGCGCATTCTCCCATTGTGTCACAGTGGCTCATGATTTTCAGAAAGCGTTTGCTTGCATAAACCATATAAAATTAAGGTTTATAGAGTTGATGGCATATCTGTCATGGATGGGAAATTGGTTGGGAAATAGGCAGAGGTTTATTACATCTGTACCATTGCAAATAGTTGTACAATGTAGAGAAGGAAGATGTAGGATAGGTGCTGAAATCAGTCAATGCAAATGGCATTGCGGCATTTATGACAGGCCTGGAAAGTAAAAGTGCTTCTCTGGTTAGAGGGTGAGTCAGACCTCATTTGAAGTACTGTATTCAGTTTGCACCCAATATTAGGAAGGATTTAGCAGCCTTGGAGGGCGTCCAGCAGTAGTTCACTGGATTAATATCTGGGGTGATTGAGCTTACCTGTGGTGAGAGGTTTTGTAGACTCGGGTTAAATTCATCAACAACTGATTGCAGCTATATAGTGCCTGTACTGTAGGACAATGTTATGAAGCACTTTACAGGGTTGGAGTTGGATGCTGAGTATTGGAGCAGGGAGAGGTAACCATAAGCACCGTTGAAGAGGATTTTTTGCACAGGATTTAAAGACCAAGAGAGAGCGGGATGAGAGAGGTGGCGTTCCAAAGGGTGCGTAGTTCCTTGACCACCAATGGTTGGAGAGAGGAGATGCAGGATGTTTAGCATATTCAAGTTTGCCAAGGAGAATGGCTTAAGATTCCTTTGTTTTTGTTAGAGGAGGTTAAGGGGTGATATGATTGAGGTATTTGGAAAAACGAAATTAATTGATGGACACTTCTTCCCTTTGGTAGATGGATTAATTACAGGTGGGGGGGTGGGGTGGGGAACAGCCTTAAAATTAGAATCAAGACAGTTATTGTCTAGGTCAGGAAGAGTTTCTTCTTCACACATCAAGGTTGCGAAGATGTATAATGCTCTGCTCTCGAAAGCTGGAGATATGGAATCAATGGGGATGTTTAACAGAGAAAGAAACAGATACTTGGATAGCAGAGGTGCTAATGGGTTAATAATAATCCTTCAATTTCATATAGCACCTTTCACTTCAGGATGATATCTCAAAGTGCTTCACAGGATTTACTGTTGAGTGTAGGCCCTATGTATTTTGTCGACGAACAGAGTAGCCAGTTTGCACAGCAGTGTCGGGTACAATGTCGAGTAGATGAATAGTTTTATTTGAGGGATTGTTGGCTGGGACCCTGGGAGAAACTCCCTTCTCTTTGAATCGTACCATGGGATATTTAACGTCCACTTGAACAGGCAGACGTGAACTTGGTTTAACATCTTAGCCGAAAGGCAGTACCTCCAAATACGCGGTGCACCTCCAGCAGTGCACTCCAGTGTCAGTCTGGACAATGTGTTCTAAGTCCTGAAATGTGGCTTGAACCCACAACCTTCTGACTCAGGCAAGAGTACTACCAATTGAGCCAGGCTGACGCACAAAGGTGAAAGAAACGGTGTCGCATTGGGGTTAAAGATCTGCCAAGATCTAATAAACTGGTGGAACAGGCTGGGTAAGTAAATGGCCTCTTCTTGTTCCTGTTTTCCTATGTTCCTAACAACAACCGAGACATGCTATTTGCGATTTGATAGGAAAGTAATTCACTATGTGGGTGGCACATTTTCACACCAGGCCTTGGGGAGCGGTAAGTGTCCATGTATTTACATTGCCAGATTTTGCATATATACTTCAGCATGTACTTTGTTTCATAGTACCTTAGCGCAATTTATTCCCCCAAATCAGTTCCTTTACTACTATCAGAATGCAATATCTCACAAGGTCATAAAGGTACAGTTCCATGCGCAGCAGCGCTCCAATGCCTTGTCAATATACCCCTGTCCATGAGTGAAAGTGAATGGTTTTAGGCTATTTCCTGTCATTCAGTGGGATTCCTTTATAGTTTTCCACAGTCAGTTCCACCCATTGAACTGATCCAAGCTGCCCCTTTAGAAACAAGTTGAAACAAGGCTGGTCAAGATAGTATTTTGTTGAGAAATTGTAAACTTTTAGCCACCACAAGTTAAAATATTATCAGATACAGAATGCTTGTTTTTTTTGCAGCATTTGGCTTTTGTGAGTACAAAGAACCAGAATCTACACTGCGTGCACTGAGATTACTTCATGAGCTTCAAGTGGGAGACAAGAAGCTGCTTGTGAAAGTAGATGCAAAGACCAAAGCTCAGCTGGATGAATGGAAGGCCAAAAAGAAAGGCGTTAATGGAGTAAGTTCCGGTTCTATAAGCTCTGGACCTTTTATATTCCTTAAGGCTTGCAAAATTAAATACTTAAAAAAATGAAACGTACCTTACAATTCAAGACTTCATGGTCCCATGCATTAGCTTGAGTGAATATAAAGTTTGCATTCTGGTTCATTGTGGAAATATCTGTTGTGAAGAATGGTCATGGTGAGCAAAGCAAGGCTGCTGGCACCTGTCATTGCCTTCAGGAGAAGGGGGGACCTTAACATTGATCGGGAGTTGGTGGAAGAGCATATTTGTCCTTAAATGCCCTGCTTTGGAGAGCTGGGGCCATTACTCCTATCTGAACTGAGCCGACAAACAAATGTCAAAGGAATATAAATGGATTATTCATCGTCGGATGCTCACAGACCTCCCAGTCAGCTTTAAGAGCAGTGTCAACATCAACCTGAGATCAACTTGTCTTGCTTTGGGATTATTCTTAGTTTGGGAAGTTAAAGGGGGGGAAAAAAACAAAAAACAAGTTTGATATTTTTTAGAGAGGAGGTGGAGAGAAGAGCAGAGAGTGAGAAAAGTTAAGTAATGGAATATTGACCCACAACCGTTTAGCCTTGATGAGCATTATTGTAGATTTGTGATGGTAAATAATTTTGTATTTCTTAAGGACTCAAAATCAGAAGATTCAGCCGAGGATGTCGTAGATGAGGAAACCAAGAGACGAGACCAGATTGTGAAGGGAGCAATAGAAGGGTTGATTAGAGAATATTCAAGTGAATTAAATGCACCTTCTCAAGATCAAGATTCACATCCTAGGAAGAAGAAAAAGGAAAAGAAGGAGGAGGTATTGATTTGTATTGTATACTTGACGTGTTAATGATATATTGTGTATTTACTATGTATGCACATTAAGCACAAGCTATGCTGTTATTTTTTCCTAAATTTATATTGAATTGTTTTTCAATTCCAGCAAAATGGAGTATATTGCAGGGAAATAAAGCGCGACTTATTCTCACTAAAGTGCAGTAGGGGAAGTAAGTGCATTTGTAGTGTTTTGTGAGGGCAAGTGCTTAAGATTGTAAAATAGCGGCACTAGTGGGTGGAAACTTTGGTTGGGTTAAAGTCTTAACATTTTGAAAATGAAGATAAAACATTTTACTAAATGAATTTGTCCAGAGTTTATAGAAATGGATGAGAGAGCAACGTGCAGTACTCAAATGTCCATTGCAGAGAATTTAATCTTGAAACTTGCACACCTATGCCTCTGCAGTGTTTACAGCAACAGAGTGACGTGCAGGGTGGAACGAACATACGCATACTGAGACATATACTGATCTGGGGTGCATTGCTGTGATCAATCTTGACATGGAAATTGAGTTGATCTATCAAACCCTGTAGTGGCCAACTAACACCACCCTTGGCAAACTAGAGCTAAAATAAGGTGATAATTATTACAAGAAGGACATATAGGCTTTCCATAGTTGTCTCAGATCAGCAAGCTTATCCAGTAAAGAGCTAAACCGTATGGGCTGCACGTTCCAGATTTAAACCCTTTCCAAAGTCATCTTGGTTAGCTGATCTCAGCCAGGGTGGTGCTCACACCCCAGGTAAGAAAGAGAAAAAATTAATCCGGGTTCTCACTCCTAGTTTCAATTGTGTGTTTCCCCCTAATGATGTCTCTGGATGCTGGGTGAGGACACATTCTGGCTCGACAGCGGTGCCCTTTGAGAATGAATAACTTGCCAACACTTCTTGCCAACACACCGTGCTTCAGCTCCCCTCTCGACTCTTTACCCCCTCCTCGCCCCTTCCCTCCCCTCACCCTGACCATTTCCCCCCTGCTCGGGTCCTGATCCAACTGTACAGCGCCTTGGGACGTCCTCCCGACGTGAAAGGTGCTCTCTAAATGGAATCTTGTTGTTGTTATTGTCAAAGCTCACACAGGAACTAATGGTCACTCGTGCAAATTACAAGTGGTGCCTGATGCCATCAGAACCTTGCCCAAATAAAAAGGAAACGAAATTATGAAAGGGTAAAAGAGTGAAAATGGATAGAGTTGGAAGGTTGTTAAATGAACATTAAGTTCATATCTTGGCTGCACAGCTTAATACATTGCATCAAACATGCTGCCCAACTGTTTGTTGATGAACTTTTTTTCACTAACTGAACTGCAGCCTCGGCCTAGCCTTTTGAATCAGTCATTGAAATGACTTCCAGAGCCGCCATGACGTTCGGAATGACAATTCAGAAGTATCGATGTATTAGAACGAGCAAAACTCTTGCATGTATTCTTTATACAAAATAATGCCTGGGCTAATAAAAAATTAATTGCAAATGGTTTATTTAAATAACCCGTGTCTTTTGTTCCTCAGGATGACATAAGTGCAATGGAGATGGAAGAAGACAAACGAGATCTAATTTCTCGAGAAATTAGTAAATTCAGAGATACTCACAAGGTAGTACGAAAAACCCTTTTTACTTTCTGCATATAGGAGCACGAGCGAAAAATAACTACACACATTTCCATTTTTCTTAGAAAGCCAATATTTCATTAAAATGATTTGCTGTCATTAGCTTTATTTGTAAAATAACGAGGTATTCAACAAGTTGCCCTTTCGGCCTTTAATATATGGATGTTGCCTTAGGCCCATTATAAGTTAAAACAGGAAGGCACAATCAGATAAACTAATCATGCCCTATGTAGTTTCTCAGGAGCCGCATGCACTTATGTAAGTGGGGGAATATTTCATGTTTTGTTTAGCCATAGGAATTCAATATTAGTTTTAAAACCATTTTGAATACCCAGTTGTTAGAAAGCCAAGGGAATACTTATGCCTTTAATGCACCATTAATTTTACTTATGGGTTTAGAAACACAACGAGTATAGCACAAAAAAGTCTCATCATTTGAAATTTTATAGCTCAAAATTTGACAGGGGAGAATTGAAATAGAAATTTAGAGCCCTGTCCTAGAGCTTTTGTCTAAAGGAAAAGTAAGTGGTATTATGTGGTACTGTTGAAGTGTAGGCATATCTTTTATGTGAGATTATATGCTGAAGAAACCAGGGCAGGGGAAATCCAAACAGATACCATATAACATGCATGGAAGAATGTACATGCCCTTAAAGCTAATCTATTCATTGACCCCCACCATTATGATAGAGATCATATGGTGACTAAAGCAAGATGAACTCAGAACTTGTGAAAATGCATGGATAGGATGTAAGTATGAGCTTCAGTTTCTTTTTTATAAAATTCATGGATGCCCCCTTGGAGAAATATGCAAAGGTGCAGCTGGATGTTCTTTAAAGTCTGTGGTTCGTGAATATGAGCTAAAACTGCTTTGCAATTATGCGTAATCATTTTCCTTTGTTAAAAAACCCATTCTGTGCCCCCTTTGATAAATTTATTCTTTGTAAATGAGAACTGTTTCAATATTTTTAAATGTTGGATTTTTGTACGTGCACAGTCAACCTTTGCATGTTTTGCATATTTTTTATATTGTAATGTATTTGGCTGCAGTCTTTTAGACTGCTGCTGTCAGAAATTCAGTTTAACAGGGGGTGTCCATTTAGAGCACTGATGAGTCTGAAGATTATTTGAGGTAAGACCTAATGATCTTCTCTCCTCTTTCCTTTGCCATTGTTTTACATTTGTTCTGCCATGAAACCTGACTCGCTGTTTTAAATGTCTTCATTTAAATCCTTTCCTTCTAAAGACTTAAGTATTAACTTATCTTGAGAAGCTATATTAATGTTCCAGCATTAATGTTCTTTTGAAGGTCAGTTTAGATTGAATTAAAGAAAACCAAAGTTAAGGCTGTTTTCTAATAGTTTGAGTGAACATTTGTGTAGAATTAAATTGAAAAAGAATTCAAACAAAACATCAAAGTGTTAGGGAGCTACATCTTTTAAGATGATTTCCAACAAACTTCTATGCCTGCCTCTTAGTATTTCCTCGTATTTGTTGCGAGTTTGACTCAGTGACACGTACTGAGCTGAGGGGGATTGCAGGCTTTTGTAAGTATGTAAGAAGAACATGTTCACCTCTCACCAGAATCTTAGCATTTAGGAAAATGCAGAGGTAAGTTAATATAAACCTGATATTTTTACTATTTACTTGGATGTGGAGATAGCCTTTGGCTCATTTTGTAATTTTGATTTTGCCCTTATTAACACATTCCGCCAGGTTCAACTTCAGTTGGCACAATAAAAAAGTAACACATTCTAAAAAGTTTACAATGTTCAAAGCCTTTAATTTAAGTTACAGAAGAATTGAGGGTTTATTAAATATTTTAACCAGAAAATAAACTTCTCAGTCTAAAGTTTGATACATTTATTTGAACATACTTAAAAACATAATGTTGCATCCATTTCAGCATCAATTGTGGCTGTGACTCACTTATCCAGCAGTGTGATAGTCATTAAATATTTTTAATAAGTGTTTTCATATTGGCATGCTGGCTGGATAAAATGTATTGTAAAGGCTTCCTTTTCACTATTTGCTGATTTTGGGGTCATTGATGGCCGATCGACGACTAGAAACCCGAGGTAAGAACCTGTGTTTACAATTGTTCAAATAGTTTTGCATTGTCGCATATTGATTTTCAATATTTGAATGTTTAATTACCAACTAGGGATGATGTATTGTATGTAACTACTTTTAATTTGTAAAACTGCAGTGCTTATATATTATTTTAAAATGTGTTGGCACCTGCTTGTGCTGACAACTTGGTCGTTCTATTACTTGTGAACAATTTACTTGCTCTTCCCAGAGACATAGCTTATAGGCATTGTTAATCCAGTCTTGACGGTCCAAGTCCTAGCACACCCACCTGTAAGTCAAATCACTTCCAAGGACGGATTGTAGTCTATTGATGTTTCCATTTTCTTGTAGGAATTCTGGATGGTAAAGTTTATTAAAAATTTGAATGTTCTATCTACTTTAAATGAATATCTAAACTCTTGTATAATGTCTTACAGTTGGCAGTCTTATGTCAACTTATGCTTTTTTTGCACGATAAATATGGTCTTGTGATTAGTGCACTATTCTGTAAAGCATTGCTCTGAATGTTGGCTCTTTCTAATGAGTAAGAATTCTTGTTGATTATTTTTTTTAGAAACTCGAAGAAGAAAAAGGAAGGCGAGAAAAAGAGAGACAAGAAATTGAGAAAGAACGAAGAGACCGAGAGAAAGAACGCGAACGAGAAAGGGAAAGACGCGAACGAGAGAAGGAGCGTGAAAAAGAAAAGGAGCGTGAACGTGAGAGAGAGAGAGAACGAGAGCGTGAACGCGAGCGCGAACGTGATCGCGATCGTGAGAGAACAAAGGACAAAGAAAGGGAGAGGGAACGAGAGAGGGAACGAGATCGTGACAAAGAAAGAGAAAGAAGCCGAGACCGGAGTAAGGATCGTAGTAGATCGAGGTATGACCTGATAAATGAAGGGTAAGTACTTGGTGTTTGGTCGCCCAAAAGTTAATTTTTTTTAAAATCGGGGTGGGGAGGGGGGGGGGGGGCGGGGGAAGAAACCTATACATCAGTGTAAATGGATTCTAGTGTTATTTAGATATCAGTAATCTCTAATGGTACATAATAAAGAATAACTGGTTATACTTTACTGCAGTTCGGTTTTGGCAGGTGATTGTGCCGGTCACAATTTTGAGTAAATTCCTTTAATTGGTCTATTTCTTAGTACATTTGAAACATCTTATTGCGATTTCCTTGTTGTTTTTGGCCATTTCTATTTGCTCATGGCATTTGCTCCTGTGTCATATGCTATTTCTAGGTACCCTCTTAATAGTACTGGCTCAAGGGTGGGGCAGGAAGCTCTTGGTGCACCCAACAGTAGTGTCTGAGTGTGAAACCAATGGTATTCACTTTAGAGACATGCAAGGAGTTTTTTGGCATTGAGAAAACAGAATAGTAAACTGTTGGATGGTTTAAAATGCTGTAGGAAAGGTGATGTTTTCCTGATTGAAAGGTGTATCTAATCTTTACCCAATGGAACTTAATACTCATTTTTAATTTAATAATTTTAATGAGGATCTGAAATGGTTGTTTGAATTTTGGCAGGTATTAAAATTTCCCGATCCATCCCCTCAAAAAAAAAGTTGGATTGTTTTAATGTATCTAATATCCAAATTGTGAACTGATCAATCGTTGCTTTACTGAAACTTCCTAGAGAGAAGAGCCGAGAAAAAGATAAGAAGAGAGACAGGGAAGAAGATGAAGAAGAAATGTATGAGCGCCGGAAGCTAGAACGAAAGCTCCGTGAGAAGGAGAATGCTTACCAAGAGGTAAACGTTTTAATTTTAGTGGCAATTGTGGGGAGATATTTCACCCACAAAATGCAGTCACTACACTTTACAGTATTTCCTGTGAAGCACTTTGAGGCGTCTGAACAACGTGATAAGGCACTATATCAAATGCAAGGATTATTATTAGATATTTAAATTATTTCCTATGTATATTAAAAGAGAAATGAAGTTTGTAAGTCTTGTACGGCGGTGGGGGGCCTTAAAAAGATCTTACCATCCAGTAGCTAATACTATCTGACGAGGTATTATTATATTTTCATTGTGGGTGCTCTGGAGAAGTGTTGAGGCCCTTCTCTAGGAGAATAAGTGAGTTGCATAAACCTCGTGTATTTGTGCTGTTCTAAAAGCCAAACAAAATGTCTTTTAGATCAGGAGATTAGGGGTAAGGCTAAGGGATAATCTTACCTGCTGTCAGCCAATGACGTCTTGGTAGGTTGGGGCTTGCGAAGAGCTAGTTCGAGCTACAATCAGCAAATTGTGCAATGCAAACTGTTACCAGAGTTTCTTTCTGGTGTTGAATTTTTCATGAGGGGGGAGGGTAACCATTATCCTGTGATGAGAAGTATCTATTTTCCTGTGCTCTATTTACCAAACTAATTCCCATGTTTTTCTGATTGAACCATATTATTGCCCAAACTTTTTAGAAACAAATTCTGGCTATCTGCGAACTTTAATTTTAGTGTATTTTCGGCAACTATACTGACACATTTTTACAATACATTACACTATAATAATAATAATAATAATCCTTGCATTTGATATAGCGGTTTTCACGTCGGGAGGACGTCCCAAAGCGCTTCACAGAATATACTGTAAAGTGAATTGACTGTATATTTGTGGGTGAACGCGGCAGCCAATTGCGCACAGCAATGTCCCACAAACAGTCGTGGATTGAAAATGACCAATTTATTATTGTTTTTGGTTTTTTGGAGGGATTATTATTAGGCGTGTGGAGTAAGGAAACTTGCCCAAGGTTTCGCCCTGTGCCTGGAATTGAACTCAGGTCTCTCGCTTGCAAAGCGAGTGCTCTAACCACTGAGCTACAGGACTCCACTATGTGGGCTGCCACAGCTTAATTTCATGCTTAATTTGTTTTTTGTTTCTAGCGTCTTAAAAACTGGGAGATAAGGGAACGAAAGAAAGCAAGAGACTATGAAAAGGAAGCTGAAAGAGAGGAAGAAAGGAGACGAGAAATGGTATGTGTAATAACCAGAAATGTTTAAACTTGCGATATAAAGTTTTTGACGGTTAGCTTCTTAATGGTTACCCGCTTATCTCTTGTCAAATAACTTGGTTAACACATCTATGTCTATGCTGGTTTTGATCATCGTCCTTTTCTCCGCTGGCCTGAAAACAAAATCTTGTTGACCATATAAATACATTTTTAATTCATTTTAGTTCTATTTTTGACTTTTACTGGGGTGGGTGTAATTAGTGCTGGATACCAGTGGCTATATAATGTATGTGGTTGTAAGTTAATCAAGTGGGGTAAATAACCAGACTACAGCAAATATGAACTATTTCTCAATGATTAATATTCACAGGCAAAAGAGGCAAAAAGATTGAAAGAATTCTTGGAAGATTATGACGACGACCGAGATGATCCAAAATATTACAGGTGATTTTATTCTCTGCCAGGTCTGCATTGTCTGAATTTAAGTTTATAAATCGTGCTTAGCCTGTTTTTCCAGAAAAGAATCCGCAGGAGTTAGTTGTCTTAAAAAGGCATTTAATTCAATTGTTTTATGATTGAATTTCAGAGGGAGCGCTTTGCAAAAACGCTTGAGAGATCGTGAAAAGGAAATTGAAGCAGACGAACGAGATCGCAAGCGGGAGAAGGAAGAGCACGAGGAGATCCGACAGCGGTTGCTGGCTGAAGGACATCCTGACCCAGACGCAGAGCTACAGAGGGTAAATAGTGGTTGAACCCTAACTGCCTTTCCTGGGCAAAACTGACCTGGGTATTTGACAATGCCCATAGATTAGATTTTAATAAAATTCTCATTTGGACATAAATCTCAACATACTTGGACTCCTCCAGCACACTCATTTATTACAAGTACAGATGGAGAAGGCTCTTTCACTTATTTGATCTCATCTTTCCAAAATCCATTACTTCCTACCCATCTAAAAAGTACAATACCTAAACTATGATAGAACTAATACTATTGGTAAAACTTTATTCAGACTCCAGTTCACACTACGTTTACATAGTTCTGCAACCGAACTTGCCTCCATTGCAACTCACACCACTTTCCTGTATATCCTGTGAAGCTTTTTGAAATGTCTTGAAAACCTGATGAGGCGCTAATCAAGTGTATTATTAAGTTTAAGGATAGCATTTTTGTCAGTAACACATGGTCTTTGAATTGAACATTTACGAAATGCAGAGACATGGTACATAGTTGTTAGCTTTTTCAATTTGTACAATGAATATAGGACTGGAAGTTTGAAGTACAAAACTGATGTGCCTCAAATGAGATGACAAGAAATGTTTTGCCTGCAGAATAGCAACTGTGTGAAATGGACATCCAAGAAAAGCAGTAAATGTTGTCTGAATTAACTCCCTTAAATCAGAGAAGATAACATTGTTGATCAAGAATGGGATAACTAGAAGAAGCGATGTTCAATGCAAGTCCTTTTGCTTTTGGCAACTTGTAAATATCATTGCAGAAATGACTTCACCAACCAAGTAGCCTTGTTCCTTTCTTCACGTTTCTGCTAAACAGCTAGGCAGTGGTTAATAGAGATATAGGTTAGATATTTTATGATGTAGTTCAGGGTGGGGATTGGGATTTGGAAAAATATCTGGAGAATCTTCTCCAGGAGAGGTAGAGATTAGGTGGTGTGTGGAGAGAATTGGCTTAAAGATGAATAACCTTTTTTGCTCCACACATAATATTGTACACAGATGGAACAGGAGGCCGAAAGGCGACGGCAACAGCCTATCAAACAGGAGCCAGAATCTGAAGAGGATGAGGAGGAAGAGGAGAAGCCAGAAAAAGAAGAACGGCGAGAAGATGAAGAGGAAGAACCAGAACAAAAGCCCTGCCTTAAACCCACTTTGCGTCCTATTTGTTCAGTGCCCTCTGTTTCCTCAGCAAGTGGAAATGTGACACCTAATTCTCCAGCAGATGAGTCTCCTTGTGGCATTATCATTCCACATGAGAACTCTCCAGATCAACAGCAGCAAGAGGAGCAGCGTCCAAAAATAGGGCTAAGCCTCAAACTAGGTACGTGGTTTAAATATAGCTGCGGAGACTAACATATTAGTTACAACAGTGTTTCTATTAAACTAACTTCTCTATTAAAACAAAACCATAACAAAGTGTGTTTTCGTTTCGGGAATAGATATAAATCCAATGCAGACTGACAGGGTGAAAGCTACCTCTTTTTCTAGACAATTTAGATGAGCCCAGGTCCTGCCTATATTATCTATATTGGTACAATTTTTTCTCGAAGAAGAAGAATGTATGATGTACACTTTCCATTTAACACACTGGTGCATTTATGTACTCGGCTGTTTGCAGGCAAGCGACTATACTTGTCAAGAGGGCTTTGAGATATTTTGATGTTATGGGGAATATTAAATGCAGGTATTATTATTAACAATTTTACCTTTTTACTTTAGGTGGTTCTAGTAGTCCTGGTCAAACAAGTAATGGAAAAAGAAAGAAACTTCCAGTTGATAGTGTTTTTAATAAGTTTGATGATGAAGATAGTGATGAAAACCCTCGCAAGCGGAAACTTGTCCCGTTGGATTATTCTGAAGATGAAAAGGGTGCCTCACAGGGAAATGTAAATACTGAGGAAAAAAGAAAACACGTTAAAAACCTCATCGAGAAAATCCCAACCGCGAAGCCAGAACTCTTTGCATATCCTCTTGATTGGTCAATTGTGGACACAGTACGTATCTGCTTGTTTAAAGAGGTTTGGTACTAATAAATGTAGTTGTAGCAATGGGACATCAACCACCCCTTCCTAAAATTCAGCTTTAAACAGCAGTACCAAGTTCAAGCCATGTTACTTTACCACTGTTATCTTCTGAAACATTGATGGAACCAGTGATAATTTAGCTTTGCCTCTACATGTACTTGCTCTATTTAAATGCAATGCAAGGAGTTAGCATATTGGCGAATGTTTTTAAATGTTGTTTAGATCGTGCTATATAGATTAAGAGGAACTCAGTGGTTCCTAATTTTATAGTATTTATCTAGTTAATAGGTTACCTGTTTGCCACTTTGATCGAGGAATGACTTGCAGACCTCAAGAGGAGAGAAGGATTTTCTGTAGTTGTTGGGATCAAATATAATTAGTCCTATTTTAATTGGAAGTGAGGGAGAGGGTGAAGAAAGAGTACTCCCTTGTCACCACTATAAAACTCTTAAATGTGAGAGAATCAAATGGGGTTCGAGAACTCAATTTTAAATTTGCTCATAATTCAGTAAATTCAAGAGAAAGAGATTTTTGTATTAGAGCATTATTTTTGGAGAATAGAGTTCCTTAATTTGAAGTTCCCAAGAGATAAAGATGACTCTTTGATTGTGTGGTGTACTCTTGACAACTGTGTTTGTTCACAGAACTTGATGGACCGACGCATTCGACCTTGGATCAATAAAAAAATTATAGAATACATCGGTGAAGAAGAAGCCACACTAGTTGATTTTGTTTGTTCAAAGGTTAGTATATAAAATTAGTACATGCACATTTAGATGCTTCACCTAAGAGGGGTAGTCAGGGCTGTTACTAACCAAAGCAGGCCTTCATGTCGTAAATTGTTTTATGTGAAATTCTTCACACTGGTCCTGAACTCCAAATAGCAAGTTTCGCAAATTTAAATGCTAGGTAACCTCAGTTGAAGCATTTTGAGACTTGAAGACGTGATAAGGTGCTCTATCAAATGCAAGGATTATTATTATAAATACTTTGGATTTGGATAGGTTGCCTTACAGGTAGAGCCATATAAAAAGAGATTCAACCATTGGTTCCGGATAATATCATTTTGATGAACAAAAAGATTTTTTAAGTGAGAAAATGTTTTTTGCTAGAATAAATGTTGCATTCCCCTACACAGCAATATTTTTAAGAAGTTATTAAAGGTTATAGTGCTCCGTGCAACTCAGAGGTTCGTTAAATGACCTGAACTTCAGCAAGGAGTTGTGAGAATGACCTGGGTCAAACTTATCTTTCCATGAGCATCTTTGCCAGGTACTTCTGACACTTGTAAAAGCTCTCAGTAATAGAATGTTTCAAATAATTGTGCTACCAAATTATGGCATAGATACCTTCCTTTCTATTCAGTGGCACTATTGCATCTCAGACAAGCCCTCTACTAATTGATCACCGTGGGAAATGCCTGGCTTTGGTTGAGATTGAGAGTCTGCTATTTGTGTAGTTGTGAATATGAATATGAATCTGCGTCTTCCAATTCCTGGGCACAATGCCTAAGTAGTGCAGGTTGTGTTTTATCATGTTCTTCTCACCTCTTTACAGTTGTATTAAAATATTAAATGGCATTCCTTGTAACTCTTGACTAATTAATTTCCACAGGTCTTGGCGCACAGTTCACCACAGAGCATTTTAGATGATGTAGCCATGGTAAGTGCTTCATGTTTCTTGTTTTTCTGTTTCTCTGAGACATTCAACATCGTGGAACACTAAATGGGTATTCCTGATAGCTGAGATCTAAAGGGCCGAAGGGGTTTCTTCATCTTGTCAGAACTTTTCACAAAGCCTTTGTAGGTATTCTTCTAGTAATAAAGCACAGCACTCTGCACAAAGTACAGGGCAGCCCTGTTATAATGCACTTCATTAAGGTGCAAATTTGGTTATTGCTCCGTGGACCCCATTCGTTGCAAGAAGTCTGCTCACTTCTTGCACACTGGCAAGCATTTTATGCTCAAACAGCCTATTTTCAGGTCAATAAGTCACAGCCAAGGTTGCTTTTCACTTTGCTGCCTATGTGACCCAATGAGAAAGTCAGCCATTTGTTAAGTGTCCCTTCCTGTTGTGCGTAGCAAATGGGAAGTGATGTTGGCCATGATCCGTTGACCATTTTTGTTTTTCGTGCAGGAACCATGCTATATTGTTTGAAGTTTAATGCATCCAAAAACAATTGCATTTATATAGCACCTTTCATGTCGGCCTGGACAGTTGAGGATCTGCACCCGATCTGGGGGTTGATCTCGGGGGTGGGGTTGGGTGGGGACGACAGATGACCAAAGGCGAAATCATTATCTAATAGAATAAAGAGAGGTTTTAGCAAGTGATTGGATGTGGATCAATGCACAGATATTTATTTATTAAAAGGCTAATGTCAATCCATTGGCTGTTATTTGTCCACCTATTTAAATCAGTTGTAAATCAGTTTGGAACTTCTCCAGATAAGATCAATAGCAGAACAATAGATTCATACCTACCTGCAATTGGCAAATGGTACATTTTTGGGAGACTGCCTGGTGGTGATGCAAATGAGCACCAGTTTTGAGTACCATGGAATGCAAGGAAACCAGTTTGATTCCCCACACCATTGATATCAGGCCAACCATCCCCTCAGGGGATGAGATTTTACTTTGAACTTGGCTGTCAGTGGTCTGAGTTCACATTGCCTGAACTCCTGTCCTTTTACATCCATGAGTCACATGACCAGGAAGCTTCAGTAAGGAGAGAAAATCGGGATTTGAAAACAAATGTTATCAAAAGGATGGATTCATATTGATAGCGAGAAAGTAGTGAGACTTTTTCAAAAAATTAAAATGTTTAGTTCTAATCAAAAATGGAATGACTATATTTTTATTCCTCCAGGTACTGGATGAAGAAGCAGAAGTCTTCATAGTGAAGATGTGGAGGTTGCTAATATATGAAACGGAAGCTAAAAAGATAGGACTTGTTAAGTAGATTGTAATTCATGTTCATAGGAGTCTTGTTTTTTTGGAAACCTTTCCATTCTTTAAAGCTGTAACTTTCATCTGTCCTCCAAAGCACTTGTGAAGCTTGTATTTTTTACTGTAGAGATAATGTGAAGTCTTTTTTTCTTTCTTTCTTCCTCCCCCGTGGTTCATTGTCCGTTAAAGATGTACATTTAATGGAAATCTGCTTACATCAACCCTCTTCATTCACTGACTGAGATAAATGACTGGTTATTTTTTATAAATCGGAGGCTTCTGCTGTGTATTTTCATTACCAACACATTGATTTCTGTTCATAATTTGTCAGTGTTACATTTATAGAAGGTTGTGTTATTTTGATGCAAGATATTTGCACTTAATATCTGGGTAGTTCCTGTGATATGGAGGAGCAGGTTTAGGAATTAAGATGTTTATACATTTGTTTTGAAGCTAGTAATTTTGAGAGGAGATTCCTTAAACGGTGCAGAGATGTTTCACCCTCAAAGTTATGAAAATGTTTTAAATGTAGCATTTAAAATGTTTGCGTTTCCAACCAATGGCAGAATAGGGTTTAAATGTTTTTGAAATTAAACATACTTTTTAAAGAGACAGTATCACTTGGTTGCCAGCATAGGTTTACCTTAAAGCTTATTTTGAAATCAAATCTTCATAACATTGTTTTAAGTTTCCTGACTTTTTTATGATGGCCTAAATTGTTCTTGATGATGCTACAAAGACCAAATTATTGTTTTTCCTCAGTCTTGTACAGTTACTTTGGGTTGAAGGTGTTCATAAACTACATTGACCTTTGTTGCAAAGGGTGGACTATGATTTAAGATATGTTATGTAGGCTTGATTTGTGTTTGTTTGGGACTGCAACCTATGTAGCCCCATTAAAAGGAATACTATCTCTTTAATGGGTCTTGTTAATCTTCGGTCAGTGTGTCGGGAGGCTGTTTTCATCCAGGGTGGTTGAGGCTTTATTTTTAAAAAGCTCCAAATATGAAACATCAGAAGAAGCCATCTTTGCAGATCTGTGGCTGCAGAATCTGATGAGATTATTTATTACAGTACCTGAAGGAGTGAAGATGTGTTCTGGTAAGTGTAAAGTACATTTTGGTTTTTCCTTCCAGATTTTTAAAAAAAAATGTGAAACTGGAGGCTTTAAAATATTGCCAACACCAGCTCACAGTTATAAACAAAGACTAGTTATGATCGCTAGAAATAAAACTATTGTCTGCATATAGATAATTGCTAACATTTTCAATAAAGGAAATTAAGTTTTTAATTTTTACGCTAACAACGTTGAGTATTCCATACAAAAATTACTACTGTAATTTGTATAAGATACTATATCAGTAAATCTCTCATTCCTAGTCTACTCTGGGGCCATTAGATGGAGTTAAGATGAGGATGNAAAAAAAATGGAGGGCAGACCAACCAAGTTAATCTTCTGCCCTCCTGGCAGAACAGCTTTGGCAAAGGACTCAGAGGAGGTGATGACCTGCTTGCCCTCATGGACGGTTGAATAGCTGAATGTGTCTGTGATAAGTTTGCTGATCTCTGTTAGGGTGCGACAATTGGGTGGGGAGGGGGAAGAAAGGGAGAATAGGTTAAGCTTCCTGTTCCTGATCTCTGGCATCACTTCGCTGGAGGTGGATATCAGGTGAGGACAATAATGAAGGCTGCTAACATTCAGTCAAGACTCACACATGACTGATGGTCACTTGGGTGAAGTTCTAGAAGATGACCAATGCACATTCAACTGTACCCCAATAGAGAAGAAATAGGAATCGAAACTTCAAGAAAAGCGAATGATCGTGTGTTATTTTAACCCTTTTCCAACCAAAATAAACATGACAATGCATGTATGGTTCATAAAGTCAAATGTCAATCTGTATGCATTGGTATGAGGCAGCAGCATATTGCATGTTTTGCCACACACATGTTCAATGAGAAATGCCTAGTCACTGGCATTCCACTTTGAAATAATTAAAAATGTACTACTTTCGGGACCACTTTGCCTCTTTGCAGCCGTGCTTCAATGCACTGAGGGAGAGTCGTGTTCTTGGTTGCTGGTGCTGCCTCATGAGCTGATAAGAGGAGCTCTAGCGTTGGTCAATTCTTTTACTTCCCCTGAGATCAATGCTCGCTTACTGTGCATTTCTGGTAATCTGACAATTTAGCCAGTGTTTAGGGTTTATTCGAAATGTACAGAAAATGTGGGTAACATCTATTAAGGCATAATTGCCAATTGCCTTTTGTTTTTGCTTCCCCAGTGCTCTATGAGTTAGAAAATATGTATTGTAAACTGGTGAGTTACGGCATACTGAGTGGCAGGGTTTGTAATTCAGTTCTCCCTATGTTTATTCCGTATTTGAAACTTTTTTCAATGTACATTTTTCCATTAAATTAAACTTGTTACTGTAGTGATTTTTTAAATATATATAAACTTGATCAATGGCGATTGAACAGTGCTGTTGTTGGACAATGGACTTCATTTTGTGTTTGGCCAGTTTGCTTACGTCAGAGAGAACTGCAAAATGGTCAACAAGGAAACTGGCTGGGTGGAACAAAAAAATCAAATGATAATGGAACAAGCTTGGAAGGAGATGAGTCCTATACAAGCAGGATGATTCATGTTCCAAAGTTTCAGCAATGAAACTTTGCAGGCAGATTACACACGTGGTATTTCTACTCTGCAGTTTCCATAACAAACCAACGCAGTGGTACAGAGATGGGGAACAATAACACTGCGCAACAGTATACAGTATTTTGAACTTCAGACCATAGCAGCTTGTAGGAGAAACTGAAAACTGCAACGGCCCTTTTTACATTATTTTCTCTGAAGTGTTTAAATCACTCTTGGCCATTGCTGGCCAACCTTTATAATTAATTTTCTTGATTGAATATTTCTTGATTTATGGCTTAAGTGTGGTAGGAAACCTTTACATGGGACCACCTAACCTCTACAGTAATAGACTCTTCCCTCACCGTTAGTCTTTAAAAGGATGATGTCACACAACGCACTTGTATATAAAAATAATCTTGCATTGCATTTAATATTCCTTCAGGAGAGGGGTGGGAGAGAATTCATAGAAACTAGATTGGGATTCTTGTTTCAGCACAATGGCTTAGACTGTTAACTGCTAAAATATGTTTTGTAATCCGATCTGTTTCACACAACTAAATTCTGTAATTCAACTTCCAACACCCTAATTCTGGTTTGCATTCACACCTGAGCAACCCGGTTTGGAAAACAAATGGGAAAGGGAGCATTTCTACTTTAGGACAAAATAGACTTGAGAAAATACATTGTTTTCAATAGCTGCATCAGAGTGGAAGAATTAATTAGGGGGGTGCCTGAGGATTCATTGCTAGAGCTTTATTATCTTCAGTGTGCAAAAACTTAGAAGTGGGGACTGCAATGCTTACAATCAATAAAACGACCAGAACAAATACAAAGATCAAATCACATTTCAGAAAATGCAATTTTTGCATTTCAGAATTGCCATTGTTAACCCATTCGGCCATTGTGGAGCTCGGCCTATTTTAATAATAATAATAATAATAATCCTTGCATTTGATATAGCGCTTTTCACGTCGGGAGGACGTCCCAAAGCGCTTCACAGAACACACTGTAAAGTGAATTGACTGTATATTTGTGGGCGAACGCGGCAGCCAATTGCGCACAGCAATGTCCCACAAACAGTCGTAGATTGAAAAATGACCAATTTAATTATTGTTTTTGGTTTTTTGGAGGGATTATTATTAGGCTCTGTGTGGAGTAAGGAAACTTGCCCAAGGTTTCGCCCTCTGCCTGGAATTGAACTCAGGTCTCTCGCTTGCAAAGCTGAATTAATTTATACTTTGTGGGATACTACTCTCCATTCATGTAAATTGCATTTTATAATAGAAATTAGAATATATGTGCAGTATTTATAATCTTTATATTTAATACAGTGCCTTTCATGGCAGGACATCTCAAAGCACCTCATAGGATTTATTGTGAAGTGTAGTGACTAAATTCTGTGGGTGAACCTAGAAGCCAATTTGCACAGATATTGACCAAAAGCATGAGCGGAGATGTGAGGATTTTCAAAGGGGGGAAATGGTTGCAAGACAATTGGGTTTGAAAGAGACTTCCAGAACTCAGGCTTGTGGTAGCCGAAAGCCGTGTCACTGATAACTGCAGCAAGTGGGGAACAATTACCGAGTCGATCCAAATTAATCCCAATGGGAGTTGGAAATTGGGTCTGGAGCACATTGCATAATCAAGGTGGGGCAAGACCTCATTTGGTACTTGCAGCCCCCCCCAAAAAAAAATGCAAGTATGGATTAAATCCGGCTATTCCTCAAATGGGCCTGGCTCATTTGAGGTCTTGAGCGACGCGAGGCGAGGCAGTTTTTCTGCGCGCGCGCGCGTTCTCTTTCTGGTCAGCCACGCGGCGATCGCCTGCGGAAACCCCCGCCCGCCGGGGCTTCGGGAGTCCTCCAAAACCAAACCGAGAATTTCCTCTCGCCTCCCGTGGAAATCCCAGAGCGAGGATTGCTGGAGCGGGATGCCCTCTCCCTCCCCCCCCCTCTCCCCCGCCCCCGGGCGGACTCATTCCTGCTGATCTAATTCCGGAGAGTATTAGGCGCGGGTCGGGTTGGCAAGAGCCAAGGCGTGGGGGAGGGGAGTGGGGGGAGACCCTAGTGTGTGAGTTGGGGGTATCGCAACCTACTCCAGTGTGAGGGCTTTGGTTTGGAGGGTGAACAGTTCATCCCCCACTCAGCTCCTGTTAGGCCCGACAATGGGGGGGGGGGGCGAAGGGGAGGGGTTGGCAGCAGCAGCAGCAGCAGAGGCCGCCTGCGTCACGTGACCCCTCCTCGCTCCCGCTGGCGGAAGTGAGGGCGGCGGCCTTACTGCGTCACTTCCGACGGGCGGCCACCTCCACCCCTCCGACCCCCCTCCCCTCCCCCCACCCTCCACACACACACACACACACACATACAACGCGCACCGCACATTAGTGTGTCCGGACCCGACAAAAAGTGGCCGCGAAGTTTGTGAGGAGAGGGAGGGAAGGAGGGAGTGAGTGAGGGGGAGGGGGAGGGGATAAAGCCGAACAACGACGAGAAGCTCATTCGCTGAACTCCCGGGGAAGGCGGCGACGGCGGTGGTCTCGTCTCTCTCTGTGAGACCAGTGCCTCCCGACTCGGGGCTCAGGGTGAGTACCGCCACCATCAGCCCCCACCGGGGGCCCTGTTACCGTGGCAACCACCGCCGGCCGGTGTTCACCCCCAACCCCTCCCTCCTGTACACACACACACAAACACACACACACACAAGCCTTTTGTTCCGAGCTGCTCGAGGCCTGCGGGCGGAGGAGGACCAAGGGGGAGGGAGGGAGGGAATGAATGACCGACCGACCCACTCGCCCACACGGCGCATCTCACACCCGACCTGAGCCCCAATTCGACGCCCTTTTCCTCTGCTCTGCTCCGCAGCCGTCCCCCCCCCACCCACCACCAACCCCCTCACCCATCCACCCATTCCCCCCCTCACCCATCCCCCCCCTCACCCATCCACCCACACCCTCCCCCGAGACGTGCCCTGAGCTGATAAAACTGTCTCCGCTGGTCGCTCGCCCCGAATTCACGGGCAAACTCTCTCGCTCGACTGCATGAAGGCTCACCATCACCTTAACTTTAGTGAGGTTATGATTCCTGTTCCTTTCAGTGCTTCTCTCTCTCTCCCTCCCTCCCTCTCCCTCTCACGTACTGTTCCTTTATGGCTATTGCAGTGCTGCATTTGAAAAGGTTTTCAATGGGCGTGGGGTGAGGGAGGGATTGGGGAGAGAGAGAGATTGGGAATATTTTTTCTGAAGTTGTGTCTTTATTTCTGGAATTGAGCAAGAGGGAGAAACCTTGGGAGGTTTTTCCTTACTCCACACGCCTCATAACAATCCCTCAAAGAAGCAAAAAAACAATAATAAATTGGTCATTTTCAATCCACGACTGTTTGGGGGACGCTGCTGTGCGCCATCGGCTGCCGCGTTTCGCCCACAAATATACGGTCAATTCACTTTACAGTATATTCTGTGAAGCGCTTTGAGACGTCTTGAAGGCGTGAAAAGCGCTATATCAAATACAAGGATTATTATTATATTAACTAGCCAGCCTGTTTCTGGGACGTTTCTATCTATTTTTCCCAAAGAGTTTAAAGGGCAGGGTCCAGCAGCTCTGGAATTTCCTTGCCAAATGACATCAGCGGTTATCTGGAATGCTTTTGAGTGCTATTATTAGTAGGACAGGAGTTGGTCATGGTGATTAACTTATTAAGTACGTTAGGTTTGCCCACAAAACACACTTTACAATATATCCTGTGAAACGCTTTGGGATGTCCTGATGTGACAGATTCTGTACCAAATGCAAGGATCATTACAGTAAACCCCTGATAACTTGTCGCTTCAAGGGGAAAGGGTTTAGTGATGCATTATTCTCAGCGGTGAGTTAGGCATATGTATATAAAAATAAATAAATGCAGCTGGGATATTGATAGCACAATGATTTAACTGGTAATGACAAGTTAGTTGAGTTATTAGGAGTTGCTGTATTATTATTGGTGGTAGTTATAATGATGCTTTGCATTTAGTACACCAGTTGATCATGTTGCAGTGTCAAGTCGTTCATATAGTGAGTTATCTAGACAAAATTTGCAGGTAATTTGTACTAGCAATCCTGCAAACGGCGATGAGACAAATTACCTATTAATCTGTTTATTTAAGAATTTGGATGAGTAAGAAATATTGGCAAAGACACAGCAAGCACAACCCGTTCTGTGAAATAGTGTAATCGGTTTTCAATGTGCACCTGAGCCAGCAACAAGTATCTTGGTTTAAAGCATCATTTGAAGGATGGAGTTACAGTGGGTGGGTTAATGATTGCAGAATAAAAAAGTAGAGAATAACGTACCTTTATGCATAAAGTAAAACTGGTTGATATTAAGGTCCATACTTTGGTTTAGACAGTGTTCACACACTATGAACTTGATGACGTCCCATCATGTAAGATGTTGCAACAGATAAACCCCGCTATGGTTTGGGTCCATAAACTCAGACCTCGTGTCACATAATGGGTGTACTATAAAAATGTCTGCTGGTGCTGGTCAGCACTTCCAAATTGTCTGTTCTTCACTGACGCCACTGCTTCGGCTAGGAAGCTAGCAACTGCTTTTGAGTATTTCCAGCAGTTGCTTGGAGGTCGTCTGTGCCTACCTTCTATACGCAGATAGCTGTCTGTTCAGTGCCAGAAGTGTATTGCATTTCCAAGAGTAAATGGACCCATGCTATACTGAAGCGTGGTATAACAGTGTGGTCCTGGCTTGGTGATGTAGAGTGTGCATCCGTGGATGCTGATACTGCCAGTGCCAAGGGTGCGGAGGCACTGATGAGAACCAATCAGGAGAGCCTCGATCTTGCTGACTGACGTTCAACTGCAGAAAGTTGGCTCTTTCTACCGCATTATTGCAGAATAATGTGTTGCTGTTCTATTGTGCTGCATTGAGAAAAGATACAATGTGGGATTGCGTCTACTATTTCAGCAGATGGTGAGGTAGAGAGAGTTACCTCAAGCTGTCATTGTACACCTCAAAGCAGCTGGTACAGAGCAATAATAACTGAGGCCTGGCAAACATTTGACTGGATATTGTGTATGATTACAGAATAAGAAAGTAGAGAGCTAGTTGATATTGAACAATTCTTTGGTGTCAACAGTGCTCATACACTGACTTCCCAATATTATTTTCATGTAAGATATTGCAACCAGTTGACTGCATCCAGATGAAATATTTCTGCAATGTATTTGCAGCTCACAATAAAGTTGCTCTTTTTGGTTAGGAAAGCCTTTAACTATTTTTAAACTAAATGCATTTTCTTTTATTAAGCCTGTTTTTAAAATATTTGTTTTCTTCCAGTGAAAAGAAGGCACGCAATCCGCATTTGAAAAGGAAAAAGAATTGTTGGTGCGTGGGGTTTCCCAGATGTCTGGATTATCTGCACAGGCTGTGCCTGTGTTTCAGGGTGGGCAACTTGGAGAAAGTCCCTCTGAAATACATCAAAACAGCTTGGTGAGACTTCATTGTTATTATTCAAAGCTTTCTAATGAAATCTGTTGTTACAAAAGAAATTGTCATGGAATTCCCGGTAAATGTGGATTCAGCATTCCAATATTCAATAAGATTACAGTTATAGTTGTTGAACCTGTGCCCAAACAGTATATCCTTTCAATCGGTCCTTGGCCAAGATCATTGTTCATCTTTATCACATTACCCGTTTCCATCTCTATCTCAACCATACTGTGGCTGAAACCTTTTAACACATTTGTTACCTCCAGACTGGACTTCTCCAATACCCTCTTTGCCAGCCTCCCATTTAAACCATTCATAAGCTCCAGCTCATCATCCTTAGTTGCACTAAGTTTGGGATCACACCCATGACGCCAGACTCCACTAGCTCCCCATCCTCCAGCAGATTGATTTCCAAGATCTTCACTCTTGCTTACAAATCGTTATTTGCCTTTATCCTCTGGACCCACCTGTCTCAGGAAACAAGCTACTGAGACCACCACAGAGGCTTGTTCAATTCCGACATTCAACTTTAAGGAAACCCATTTCATCCCCCCCCACACACACACACACAAATAGAATTGGTCATTCTATCTGTCACAAATTAGCTACCTGCCAATGACACAATCACTACACTTCATAGAGAATCCTGAGAGATGTCCTCCAGATATGAAGGGTCTTACACCAAATGCAAGGGTTATTATTTTGCATTATTTCTGTCCACATCTGCTTTTTGAAAGCGATGAACACATTGGACCAATCTGAGTACAATATTTACAGTACTGCACTTTAATGCAACTATCAATTTACAAAAGTGTGGTTCCTATAGAATTGTCATGTCATGTTATTTCTTATCATTATCCATCTGTAGAAAATGTTTGAATATGTTCATAAGTATTGAGAAAGCACTATTTATGGTCAGCTTGGAGAAACTTAGTCAGTTCTCTGCTGTTTCCCCGCTGTGTTTCATATACCATTGTTGTTTCACAGTACTCGGTAAATTGCAGTAATATAATCTGAGTTTTGTTCAACGGTTGAATGTAAAGGAGAATGGTCACTCGCTAACAATGCAAGTTTTTCTTGGTGACTTTTTCCAGATTTTCTTTATATTTTCTATCTAGTATTTTATAAGTGTTTTTCTCTTATGTTTAGCTGTAGCCCCTCTCAGTGATCTACTGAGTAGGACAGGACTGTCTGTCCGTCCTTACAGGTGAAAGTGTTAGCCATGGTGCTTCTTTTCTGTCCAATCTTCAATTAGTTGTATAGCTACTACAAGTGATAAATTATTTAAAATGGGAGATGTTCAGATGAAGAAGGCCCATCAGCCTATTTTTATCTTGTACTTACCCAACCCGTTGTCTTGTTACAGCATCAAGCTGTTAAATGAATCCACTATACTGGTAATTCATTTCAGCTGTTAATTGTTTTTTGCAAAAAATACTTTGCGGTGTTTTGGTAAAATAGTTTGCTAAAATTGACAGTGACATAACATTTCTAGTATAAAAAAATGTACCCGTGAACTTGATGTGTATTTGGTATGTTAAATATTAGATAAGAAAGGGAAGTGCAGGAAGTTGAGCCTATTTTTGTTCTCCTTCCCCTCTCATTGCTTCCACTGATTAGTGCACTGTTGGAGCCCTGGCCCGGAACTTGCAACAGGTCAGAAATACTGCTCCACTGGTGGCTTGGTTGAGATGTGGCAATGTACCAGAGGTCAAATCTGGGACCTTTCCCTGAGGGGTGAGGACAGTTTTTATAGGAGCAAAATACTGCAGATGCTGGTAATCTGAAACAAAAACAGAGAGAGCTGGGAAAACTCAGCAGATCAGGCAGGATCTATGGAGAAAGGAATCAACAATTCGGGTCCACGAACCTTCCTCAGAACTCAAATCAGTTTTGACGGAAGGGTCGTGGACCCGAAATGTTGACTCACTTTCCTTTCTCCATAGATGCTGCCTGACCTGCTGAGTTTTCCCAGCTCTCTCTGTTTTTGTTACAGTGTTTACAGCGTTTTATTTCGTAAGTTTCCTCTATGATTACTTGCCTGTTTTGGTAGACTCTTGTCAAGAGATTAGGTGGATGGGGTGGGGCAAAATTAGGGACAGGGATTGGATTATAGCCTGTTCTTGTTCTTTATTTTATTTACGTTCAAAACATAAATATAAACTTTAAAAAATGTGAAGGATGTTTTTTAAAACATAAAAGAAAGCATAAATTACAATATGTTTGTCATGTTCCTCATACCTACCCTATTTTGCAAAGTTTTATTGTGCCCTGATATCAGCAATCCTGCTGACTCACTAAACAAACTGCTCAGTTGTACAAATCTTTTGCACCGTGTGTACGTTTCGGTGACAAACATCTGTTTCGTTTTGTAAATCAATTTGCTTTGATGTACAAAGAAAGCTCCCACAATTCTAATCAAAATTGTACGCAGGGCTGGTTTAAAATGGATAGTGCTGATGAAAATGAGGAGAATGTGCCTTTGCTGATTGTCAGAGAGGACGTTTCTGAAGAGGATGTTAGACATAATCAGGTGAGCAATCAGATGCAGTTGGAGGGGAAGCAGTGTCTTTTTCAATTGAGACAATTGCATTGCTGAAAGCTTACAAGAAATTAAATGTTGTTTAAAATTACACTAGCAAGGAAATAAAACTGACATTTATACAATGGATCAAATGCCGTCTTAATGTCATAGTTTTCTGTAGTTCTCAGGCCCAAATCCTGAAAAGCAGATGGTTAGTATTTGAAGAAAGCTTAGTTAAACCTAACATTCCCCCACCTGTCTTTCTCTGATGCTTATTAATCTGTTCATTGCCAGCATTTTATTTTTATTTCAGAATTCCAGGAATAACTTTTGTCAATTCTAGGGGATTCACTGTTTAGACCAGGATTACATTTTTGTGGTAGATTTTCATGTTTGGCATCAGGATGAATTTGATATCGTTGGGTATATAAATATGACTATTACTGATTAGATTTAATATAAAATCATTGAATCAGTTGTTTGGGGGTTAGGGTGGTACTGACCACTGTATATTGTTGGGAGTAGGTAAAAGGCAATGTTTTTGATAATGTGTTTAATCTGATTTTTTTAAAAATTGCCTTAATAGCTTTAGTGATCAATTGAAAGCATTTAAATTTTAACATCAGCAAGGCTCAACAGGTCCTCTGTTGTCGAAGGTTGTGGGTTCATGCTCTCTGGCGGGGCTTTGAGCTGAAGCCTGACATTCCAGTGCAGGGCTGGAGAAGCACTGTGTTTTCAGAGGTTCTGTCCTTCAAATGAGGGAATCTAAGGCTTCTTATGCTTATTCAGGTGAACATTAAAGATCCCCATGACACAATTTGAAAAGAGAAGGGACCTTCTCCCTGTGTTCTGGCCAACAATCCTCCAGACAAAATTGGTCATTCACTTTATGCTTGTGGGAAATTGGCTGCTGTGTTTGCCTTTGGTCACTGAACTTTATCAAATACTTTGAAGCTTTTCAGATGTTCCCAATGTTATATGTACTATATAAAATGCAAGGATTATTTTAATTGCTTTGCCATTTGGAAACTCCATTTGTTTCATCAAGGCCACATACGATGAAATCTAATGAGTGAAATTATTGACGATTCAGGCAATGCATTTTTTAAAATGTATTCTATTCTTGTGTATCTGCCAGTAAAATCTATATTTAAAACATCATGCATTAATTGAGTAACTGCAAATCGTAGGACACTGAAGGGGGGAGAAAGGTAATGTTTACATTTGTCTAGGTACTGAGATGAGTGTGAGGTATTCTGTAACCTGTGAACAGATGAGAATTTAAAGAGCGGTTTGTTGCAATTTGGGGGAGAGGGAGTTTTATCACTGTTGGCAGCTATAGTGGAATTGCAACTGTTTCTGCAAATGATCCTTGTCCCTGTTCAACAACAATAATAATAATCTTGCTTAATTTTGCTCTTCAATTTGCAGTAGTACGTAAGACTATCAAACGTATCTATTAGAAAGTACAATTCCCATCTTCCTCATTTACTTTATAATAAGTGTTTGAGCTGGCGGGGGTGGGAGGAAATCAGTTTTGATTCTCCCACGCCATGCAGTGTCACTTAAGTATTTCAGTAGAGGGGTTCAGAATAGGGGACACGAATAGGAACCCTCGACTATTCTACTCTTTCCCCCCGCCCACCCCTCTCCTCTTTTCCTCTATTTCTCTCCCCCTAGACCAGAAATGTGGTGCCCAACTATACTGTCCCATTTCCATACAAGCTGAAATCAGTTCACCCAGGATAGACCGAAAGAGATATGCGGTCTTCTCAATAATGCCCAGTTATGTGGGTTTGACATTAACAGAATATGTACCCATTCTGTAATATCTTCACATAAATTCTCTTGTAGTTTGTACTTGCCATTTTTGCTGGAGTTGGAAGTAGTTCAGGCGTGGACCTGAAGATTTTCAGATCTTTATATAAAAGTCCAACGTCTAGTTTCAGCAATTCACTTTGGGACTTAACTTAATTCTACCAGCTGTTAATATTTTTTAAGTTGTAAAACACACACATACACAAAGTTTCTTGTTTACACTCTACCAAGACTTTGGAACTTTACAGACTTTATTGGCTTATTTAACTGCATGCCATTACATGCTGCTGTAATATTTTACCTACTTTTATTTACTGATTCCCAAAGAATTCTATTCTACTTTGATAAACATTAAAGGAGAAGTTTCTGTTTTATACCTACCAGCATCTCAAATTGCTGCTTGGTGTCATTTGTTCGAAGATTCTGGGTGGCATTTACCTGGGTACAGACGTGGTACAATGGTACAGACATTTTGTTGCCCTGTGTTTTGACAGCGTGAGCTTTTGCTTCAGTGACCTCTTGATTTGGAATGGGGGGATTGTGAGCAGCTTTGTCCGATGAAACATACTAAAGGTCATTGAAAAGCCGCCAGAAAGTGTACAGATATCCTTGTTTAGGATTTTCTAAATTAATAAATACACTTCCCTAAAGGGCAATTGGGTTATTATACTGTAATGTTAGCACTGATCAAAAAAAACTTACGTTAGACATCATATAATACTCAAAAGTGCAGTGTATAACCAGTATATCCAGCCACTCAGCAATTTTTTACAAGTGCGAACATGTTTGATAGCTGCGGCTATTGTGGGCGTCAGTATAATAAGCACTTTTCTTCATGCTATAGTTGGTTCCTCAAAGAAGCAGGCAACATTTAAATCAAATCAACTCTTGTGAAAATGCTCTTTTTTTATTTGCATTTTTTAAAACAGTATTGAAACTGAAGATTTGTGCTTTCAAAATGGAAATCTCGGGATTCAGGTTCACAAGACGCAGTAGTTGCCGAAACAGGTAGACAAAGCCATGAAGGATGCAAATGCAATCCTCGGTCCTGAGAAACATAAGTCTTGAGTAGAAAAGTCGAGAAGCAAAATTTATACACTAAATTTAATTAAAAATGCTAAATTTATATTCAACTGTGAAGTTGGAATAGGTTGGAGCTTTTTCTGTAGAATTGAGACAATTGAGAGGAGACTTGATAAAGGTGTTTGATTATGGATTAAGAGGTGATCTACAAAAAGCATTTGCATACAAAATTCACAGTGACTACAGTTTACGGTATATTCCGTAAAAGGCGTTTTATCAAATGTAAGGATTGTTATTATTGAGTTATTTGAGAAGGTGGACAGTAATGGATTGTTTCCACCTGTTGGCGAGTTAAAAACTGAGGCCTTAAATATAGATAACTAGTCGCAAATCTAAATAGGAGTTTAGGAGGAATCTCTTTATGCAGAAGGTGGTGAGGATGTGGAACTCATTGATGGATGCTGTGATTGAAGCACAAATCATCAACGTATCTAAGAAGAAACTTGATGCATTCATGAGGGAGAAGGGAATAGAGTGGTAGAGGATTAGGAAGGATGTGGAGTATAAACTCCCAACACAGATAGTTGGGCTGAATGGACTGTGTAATAATCTATATAATTTACTTTCATGGCTCTCGCTGCAATATACATAATTTGTTGGCGAGTAAATGAATAGCCTTGTTGTATAATATTCTGTAACACTCCCGCAGGACATTGGTGGCTTTCATTCAGGACCCGACAGAGGGTGGCGTGTTTTTCAAATCTGAAATTCTGGGTATGGATTCAGGCCTGTGGTCTGGTATTTCATGTTAGAGGTTGTTCCTTGAATAAGAGCCTGTGCCCTCAGCAAAATCTTATTGTAGCACTAGCATAACCTGTCCTGTTTATGATAAGGGCTGAACCTCTTGACCGACTTACCCGTATACCCTAGCCATGTTTTTCATATATTTGGCCCATGGGCTGTGCAGTGAACAGAAAATCTAGGAGAGACTGAGTTATATGCATGACTGGAGAGGGTGTTGACAATTTCCTTTAAAACTCATGCAAATTTCTTCCCACAAGAAAACATTGGATTGGATGTTGTCCCTATTCATGAGAGTGAACTAATCAGTCTTCTATACAAAACAAGCTTATTGCAATTTCAGCATAAAATATGTTCTTGTTGAACACCATTTTCTACTTGTCTGACTTTTGACCCACACCCTCAGGATACAGCAGATTCCAGATCATGTTCATAAAGCTTTGATGGTAACATATGTGTAACCTTCAAAATAGCACAAAACATATCTCCATGATTAAAATCTCTGCTGATATCTTATGTACCCTCACTGTTTTTTCCCCATGCTATCTCACTAAGATCATTTGACATCTGTTCTAGTCTGTGGCGCATAATTTTAAAAAAAAATCTGTAGAGCCGCATAGTTGCATAAAATTACATAGAACTTCACACCATGGAAACAGACTGTTCGGCTCAATTTGTTTGTGCCAGTATATATACTCCATGAGCCATGTTTCCTCTTAAATATGTTGATTCCTTTTGCTTCAACCACAGGCAGGTCAACAAATTGGCAGGTGGTTTTGAGTACAGGTCCAGTCACCAATTGCCTGTGAAGCATTTTAGATGTTGCAGCGCTATAATTATCTTTAAGGCACCTTTCACATCGGGTGGACATCCCAAAGTCCTTCAAGTCATGTACAGTAAAGTACATTGACTTTTTTGTGGGTGAACAAGGCAGCTAATTGCACAGAGCAATGTCCCAAGGCATGAGCGACCAGTTTTATTTGAGGTATTGTTGGCCAAGACGGGGGAAGTCTCCTTTTTCGTTTTAGATAATGCAATACGGTCTTTAGCATCCACCTGAACAGGCAGACTGGACCTCAGTTTAATATCTTATTCATGTTAGAAATCTGTGTGGTGTTGACTGCGGTAACTGTGTTTCTAACATAAGGTAGGAGAAATGGGTTTTTAAGTGAGTCAGCCCTCTGTTCCTTATAACTTGATCACTGATTGATAAACAGTTGATGCATGAATGGTATTTTCATAGCTTAGACCAGCTATGGTCAAACCATAGAGCCAGTTATGATGTGTCGATGTGACTCACAGCCGCTTCAGCTTCTCAAGACGATTACGGCAAAACTCTTCAGTATTCGGATCTACATAAATCTTTTCTCCAATCATTTTCATCAAAGGAAAATACAGATTTCTCTTGACAAACAAATCTTTGGCAGCAGAACTGGGTTACGAGGTTACGCAATCATTTTCACCAAACTTTCAGAAATTGGTTGAGAAAATCATATTTGCTTGTGATTGAGTTTGGCTGCTAGTCACTGTTGCTTTTTAAAAAAAGTTATCAATAAATATTTTTTGGAGGAAGTTCTGTGACTTTCATTTTTCACTGTTATTCACTGTTATCTGCACTATTATTTACAAGTGACACGTGCGGCTCAGTATCAATCTGGGTTTGACAGCACTGACTTAAACCTTGCGTAGAGAAACTGGTGTGGCCAACAGATGAAATGGAAGGGACATTGCTCAACCCAATCTGATGCAAAAGGTATCTGCTGAGCAAAAGCACACTTTTCAGGTATGGGAACAAGATGGATTTGCATTTATACAAATACAGTTTGGTTCTCCTGCTCCCCCTACCTTTTTGTAACTTTGAAAAAAAATTCTTCAACCTTATTATAATAATAATAATAATAATCCTTGCATTTGATATAGCGCTTTTCACGTCGGGAGGACGTCCCAAAGCGCTTCACAGAACACACTGTAAAGTGAATTGACTGTATATTTGTGGGTGAACGCGGCAGCCAATTGCGCACAGCAATGTCCCACAAACAGTCGTAGATTGAAAATGACCAATTTAATTATTGTTTTTTTTTTGGAGGGATTATTATTAGGCGTGTGGAGTAAGGAAACTTGCCCAAGGTTTCGCCCTGTGCCTGGAATTGAACTCAGGTCTCTCACTTGCAAAGCGAGTGCTCTAACCACTGAGCTACAGGACTCCATATCATGGTATAGGTCCCCTTCATTGTTCCTGAGACCGAGAGCTGAGCTGCTCCTAAATCTATGCTCATTTAGGATATGTTGTACCTGGTCAGTGGGACATATTTGGTTCTAAATGCTCATAATGGCCTGGTGACGATTGTTTTATTGCTCCATTTGTGGCATTGTTGAATTTGTTTCTTGTTACTCCTGGCACTACTCTAAGCTATGCAGTTTTAGCTGGTTAAACTCGAGCAGTAACCCATCAAGCACACTGGAGTTCCCCTAAGTATTGGTTCTAGACAATCTGCGCTTAATACTTGCTGGAATTGGGTAAGCAGTGTATATCTCGCCGGGAGAGAATATGCATTCCATTCAATACATGAAAATATCCATGTGTAGACAGTGTACATATGTGGAAACTCTGTCTGGTTTGGATATTGTAATGGTTTTCTCCATGTGTCAGGCATTTGGCTGACTCCGGTGGTGGGGGTTTGGGAATTTCCCCATGACATTCACTGATAATGTGCCAGAATGATGTTTTGCATGCTCAGTGGAGGTTTCTAAACCTGAAATAATGGATGCATTGTAGATAATGGCTACACACCACTTGAGTGTGCAAATTAGGACTTGAATTGAGCTGTGAACTCTATGCTGCTTCCAGTCACTGCTTCACTGAACTTGTTAATAATAATAATCCTTGCAGTTGATATAGCACCTTATCAAGTCGTTGAGACGTCTCAAAATATCACTTCATAGAATATACTGTGAAGTGAATTGACTGTATATTTTGTGAGTGAAACGTGGTAGCCAATTGCACACAGCAGTGTCTCACAAACAATCATGGATTGAATGACCAAATAATATTTTTTTTTGAATGAATTATTATCCCCAGAAAGCAATCTGACAATCAACTTAACAACCGGTTCCTACTTGTTGCTAGGTAAACAAAGGCGTGTGGAATAAGAAAGCTTGCCTAGGTAGGGCGTGGTGAGACCATGAAGGTTTTAAACGTGAAAATACATATCAAATTCAATTATTATTTGATCTCAAAAACAGACTTATTTAACTGAAGTTCATTTCCAGGATTGATTTTAAGAATGGTCCTGTATGGGATTTTGGATAATGGTGAAGGAGGAACGGAGAGAAGAATGAGTGGAACTGCTGGGAAGCTAATGTTGATCTGCATTAATTTGAACAGTTGTTGAGTCGAATTGTCTTTTAAATAAGTTTGTATTGTTAATAGTAGCCACGTGGGAGAACTCTTGGCCCCAGTGACTGGTATGCCCCTCCAACTCCTGCTAGAACCAGGATATCTGGTCCTTGATCAACAGTGCTTGAGGACCTGCTTGATTTGGGCACCGGACTACGTCAAAGAATTGATGGTAACTGCTGATGAAAACAAGTGAAATTGAATTGGAGGAGGATTAACCTGGTCAATCACCAGTTCATCCGGCAATCCTTTTTCAGGGGGATTTGTTTTAAGTAATTTGCTTAACTTTGAGTAGGCAATGTATCATTTTATACAATTTGAACAAGCCTTTGTATTTCATGGCTTTTAAATCTCTTTTTGAAATGTTAGAACGATGTCAACAGAATAGCAGCTGATGATGGTGTCCCAGTGAGCAACGGTCAGTCCGAGAACAATACAAGACCGATCCGAGAACAGACCGATGATGGGGACGAGGAAGAGCTAACTCTTAAATATGGGGCCAAACATGTTATCATGCTCTTCGTGCCTGTCACCTTGTGCATGGTGGTGGTTGTGGCAACCATCAAATCGGTTACTTTTTATACACAGAATGATGGCCAATTGTAAGTATATTCTCCCATCTGTTTAGAATCACACCGCTATTAAGTGCTCAGTGACACTACTGGTATGAAGTTTGCTATATAAATGCAAGGTGTTGGTGTAATTTGCTTTCCTTACTTACATTCACCCCATTAGTTTGGATTTATTAAGGTGCTAGAATGAAAAGCTTCTGTGTGAGCAAGGAATCGACTGATCTCTCTCCTCTTTTTCGCTTCCCCCGCCTCCCCTTTATAGTGTGTATTAGACGACTAATGTCTATTAGATTTTTGTCGTTACTGCTTTCCCCCTCCTCAAAGGAGACTTTCCACTACAGACTTGATGGGCTGAATGGGCATTTTCTGTGTTGTATCAAGTTAGAACACGAGTAAGATCATAAAACCTTTGTTAAATTGAAAAAAAAATAGTTGTTAGTTGAGGATTAGCCTTCGATTAGTACAATTTGAACCTCCCCGCGCACTTGTGTCATCAATTCAGTTCTTGGTTGCCTGGTTCAGTGCTGAGACGAGCTGCCAAGCTGACTGGGGGGGAAAACTGGCAATTTACGACAGCAGCTCCTGGAATAGAGTGCAGGCTATAAAGGGGCAATAAGAAATGAGAGCTAAAATACTCCCAATTACAAAAATGTAGTCAACAGCGCAATAGTTTCCTTGTTCCATTGTCTGTGGCTTTAACCTTCGCCGTAGAATAGATCGTGTCTGGACACCTCCAGCATTTTGCATTCTAAACTGTGCCACATGGTGGCGCCGTTGTAACTCTCCTGCATCCTGAACCGGCGGCGGCTGCTGCGGCAGATGTAAAATTTTCACGAGAGACGATTTAATGCCTTTAAAATGCAAAGCAAGCAGAGCTGCGTGGTTTTAATAAAGTGAAGCTCAAGGCAGCAAAACGGAATGGTGCCGTTCAAGGAAAGGATATGAAATAGTAGTTTACGGTAGGGATTTTAACTTGTATGTTTGTAAACCTATCAGGGGTATCATTTACCAAAACGTGGACTTATGCGCTGGATAGAAATCTGGACCTGTATATCCCGGTAGATTTTATGTGTTGCCATCCTTCACTCTCCCTTGAGTTGTTGTATTTATTCATTTCCATCCTACACAGGTTTTTCCTCACTTTATTTTTTTTTAAAAATGAGTTTGAGATTGTTCCCCCACTCTTTCTGGCTTCCCATCACAGAATACTATCAACAAAGGTGTTGCTTTTAACTTTTGACTTTGCAACCTGTCCTAATCCCAGAATGCCTCCTACCTTCGAGTATTTATGTGCATTTTTATATTGACTGGTTTTGAAATATTGTTTTATTTATTATAATTAAGTTACTATTAGTTGCTGGTTTATGTAATCTAACCTCTAACCTTGTTTCTTTCTATTCCTTCCCAATTTTGGTGGCGTTGGTTTTAATTCTGTTTGGGAAATAAATGATTAAAAAATTCTCAGTACCTTAGGCAGTTCCATCGTACCTACCTTTCTTTATTACTCTTCGAGACATCATCACCAGATATGAGATCTGTTCCCAGTGTAACCCAGAGTTTCTCCACCTCTACCTCAATTCTGACTGTCTGACTGCCTGTAGCACATCAAGTGCTGAAGAAGCCTTTATCTTCCTTCGGCTGAATGTCAAAGCAGAAGTCATCTTGTTTGGTTCTTGCCAGCACCTTCTTGTCTGTGGCTCCACCTCCCGGGACTGCTAATTGACCCTATGCATAATCTTGACATTCCACTTCAAACCCCTACATTAGGTCCTTTGCCAAATTTATTTTTTATTTTTGCAGCATTGCCTGCTTGTGTTTCTATCTCATCCCCTTAGTAGGTAAAACCCTTATCCATGTCTTTGGCATCGCCATGTTAGTTATCTCCTCAGGTATACTCTCTGCAAGCTCCAACTCATCAAAAACTCTGCAGACCATTTCCTCTCTCATTCATGTTACCCCTAATCTTGCTAGGCTTTACTGCTTTCCAGTATCTGAGCAGATTAAATTTTAATATCCTTATTTTAACCTTTAAATCCATTTGCAATCTGAATTCTCTTCCCCCACCTATGCCATCTCCATCTTCTAAACTCCAATTTTTCCAAGCCCTTGTCCTCAGCTCTTCTGATTGATCTACTGCTTATTATTTGTTGTTCTTTGTTTCTTCCATCCCACCATTGGTGGCTGAACCTTACGCCATTATGGCACCCTCCCCTTGGAACATTATTTCCAAATCTTTTTTGACCTGCTCCTTCGCTCCCCGGCTTTAACACCTCTCTTTTTAAAAAATAAAACAAAAATCTGACCATTCCCCTGTTCATCACGCTTACATTCTCCTTTATTGGTGCTCCGTATCCTGAGGCACTTTAGGATGTTCTTCCTATGTCGAATATTGTGCTTAATACCTTTCCTGTTGCATATATTTGGGGCGAAATCTTGGAGGCGGTTTAGTTACCAAATGATTAATTAGTAAACTGTTTGACTTACTTGTTGAGGAACATGTTTTATAATGTTATTTGTGTATTTTGCGTTCAGGTTGTACACTCCATTTACAGAGGACACGGATACCGTTGGTCAGCGAGCTGTGAACTCCATTCTCAATGCCATGATCATGATCAGCGTGATTATAGTAATGACTCTACTGCTTGTACTTCTGTACAAGTACAGGTGCTACAAGGTAGGTTCTGCTGCCACCTCCTGCACTGGAAATCCAAGCTCCAGAAGTTTGGTAAACTTGTAATAAGCTTGTTGTTTGTCTCCCCCTTTCCCGATTGTGATGACTTTGAACTATGGTTTCATGTAGGTCTGGTTAGATATTTCCAGTATCTTAGGTTGTGTGAGCTCAGCCATAAATTTGACCTGACTTTCTGATAGTTTAAGGAGGGAGAGAGGGGGTTAAACACGCCTTTTTTACCAAGCAGTAAGTAGGAACCCGTTCGTTAGTCGATTGGCGGATCGCTTTTTGGGGGTAATAAACCCTCCAAATGAAAAAAAAATTAATAATAATAATTTGATCACTCAATCCACGACTGCTTGTACGACACTACTGTGCACAATTGGCTGCTGTGTTTCACCCACAAAATATACAGTCAATTCACTTTACAGTATATTCTGTGAAGCGCTTAGCATCTCAAGGAGGCTAAAGTGCTATATCAAATGCAAGGATTATTATTATTATTTGAACTGAATCCAATATGCCCCAAAATGAAAAGTCACGTCAGTTTACAGTGTACCCTTTGAAGCACTTTGAGACGTCTAGACAACATGATAAGCTGCTACATGATATTCAAGGATTATTATTATTTGTATTGTTAAACCTTCACACAATTGCATTTTAAAGATGCGAATTGCTGGCAATCTGGAGTAGAAATCCTGGCAATATTTTCTCTCCTTGTCCGCAGCCCTGGGGTACTCAGCCTAGGCTAATTTAATATATTCAGTGGGCCAAACCCTTATATATGTCTTATTGGTGTTTATACAGGTAATTCATGGATGGCTTATAATCTCTTCACTCCTGTTGCTTTTCTTCTTCTCCTTCATCTATTTAGGGTAAGTTCTGCCTTTTGAAATTGTGGCTCTTCAGTGTGAAAATAAGCACTGTGTACATTTACTGCAAAATATGAAAGCTATTGTACAATAAAAATTGATTATCATGGTGCTTAGGGTCCAGTTTCCATGGTATCACTGAGCCAGTTGCTAGGATCTTGACTTGAGAACCAGAGTTTCAGTCTTGACCCGCCTTACTCCTTACTACGGTACTATGCTTTCCGGGGTGTAATAATCACCCTCCCCCCCAAAAAACGGTCATGAATCCACGACTGTTTGTGGGACATTGCTGTGCGCAGTTAGCTGCTGCATTTCGCCCACAAAGTACACAGTCAATCCACTTGACAATATATTCTGCAAAGCACTTTGAGACGTTTCAACAGCGTGATAAAGGGCTATATCAAATGCAAAGATTACGGTTGACTGGTATTTTCCCTCCGGCGATTCCAGTGGTGAAAGTTTAACCAGTATTGACTTGGTTATCCCCAAATTCAGAACTGAGCTGAGATTATCTAAAGGATGGTATTAATGACTAGAATGGGAAAAGAAAATGAATTACTTTTAGCAATTTCCAATCGTAAATGTCTTTCTTGTTTCTTGAACAGGGAGGTCTTTAAGACGTATAACGTTGCTATGGATTACTTCACGCTAGCATTAGTGATCTGGAACTTTGGTATAGTTGGAATGATCTGTATCCATTGGAAGGGCCCACTTCGGCTGCAACAGGCCTATCTGATCATGATCAGTGCTTTAATGGCGCTTGTCTTCATCAAATACCTCCCGGAGTGGACTGCGTGGCTGATCCTGGCTGTGATTTCAGTATATGGTAAGATTGAGGGTGAATAATGATTACATTTCGTATTTGACATCTGATTAGAAGCCAGTTTGTATCACAGAGTACAAACAGTGCTTTTTAGTAGTGCTTTGGGGTTGATGTTCATGCCTGGAAGGAACAATGTCTCGAAACAGCTGACCTATAGATTCAAATGCCAGAAGATACAACTGTGAACTAGAACTAACTATTTGTAATTGTCTCTTTAAAAAGGTTTCAGATATTAATGTTTCTTCACACTTATAAAGTCTGCCTTGAGATTTAAATCATTTGGAGTTAGTTCCTGGTTTGGACCCTGGTTCAATATTCAAGGACACTATGGCATTGATTATTATATGTGTTTTGTTTTAAGACTGTGGCCCTTTTTCTTTTTTTAAAAAAAAGCTAAAGTAACTTCCTGGATTCTTATCTCTGGGCTATGGAGCGACGCCAAATGGGATTGAAAGAAAGACTTTACTTGAATCTCTGCCAGCGGTTTGCTAAACTGGATGGCTGATGGGCGTCGACAGCAGCTCCTGAACTGATCTTTTATTTCCCTACCCCTTCCCTTCTTGCTTCCCCCATCCCCAAACCCAACTCAGAAAATACATGACGAAATTCTCCTGCCTGTTGTACATTGGTATCTTAATCATCTGTCATAGTAGGAGAAGATGGTTGATATGCAGGACATTTTAGAAATAGTGTAAGGGTCTGCGTGTATTTACCTATTTAACCATGTATAGGGTATAGGTATGGAAAGAGATATGGGCTGAAATTTTGTTACTGAAATCTAAATAATTTTGGCTGCAGAAGAGCAATTTATCTAAACGTGCGAGAATCTCTGTCTCCTTTTTCTGATTTGTTGACTGGCTGAAAGGAACTGCAGTGCCAGTTATTTTTTTTAAAAAACTCCCCAGCTGAAGTGATGGATATAATTTACTGTACTTCTGTTACTCATTTGTTCTCCCAGAACATAACACTGTGCACAATTCTTTCTTTGCGAAAGTTTCCAGTACTTTTTTTTTCCAGAGCAGGATATTTCAGTATCTCAAAAATGCAGCCGTGAGCTTATGTCTACTGACAACCTAACTAAAGTGTGCATGTTTTCATAGGAGCTTGTTTCAAAATCAAGTGCAGTGTTGTCTGACTGGAATGAAGGCAGGCATGTTTAACAGTGAAATATGGCAGTATTTATAATAATAATCCTTGCATTTGATAGCGCTTTTCACGTCGGGAGGACGTCCCAAAGCGCTTCACAGAACACACTGTAAAGTGAATTGACTGTATATTTGTGGGCGAACGCGGCAGCCAATTGCGCACAGCAATGTCCCACAAACAGTCGTAGATTGAAAATGACCAATTTAATTATTGTTTTTTGGTTTTTGGAGGGATTATTATTAGGCTCTGTGTGGAGTAAGGAAACTTGCCCAAGGTCTCGCCCTGTGCCTGGAATTGAACTTAGGTCTCTCACTTGCAAAGCGAGTGCTCTAACCACTGAGCTACAGGACTCCACAAATGGCAAAATAGCTTGTATACTGCAGGCTGCATTATCTGGCTCATGAACAAACAGGATGGATTGTTTTTCACAGCCTTATTTTTCCGCACACAAGAACATAACTTTTTTTTAATAACTTTTGCAAACTGCTTAGCTGTGGTTAGGTAGTAACACTAATCTTTCTATTTGAGCTAAATGTAACCTAAGTGTTGTCTCCCGATCACAGGTTAAGAAGACTAACTTTGCTGTAATCGATGGTTTCTTCAGAAGGATCAATCAGTGAAGTTTATTCATTTCTTTAAATCTTGGGGATTGTTCCCATTCGCATATTGTCACATTTAGGTTATAGCACTGCAGATTGTTGCTATTTCAAGCAATTTGATATACACAGGTCACCTACCATTCCACAAGGCTTTGGAAGGAATTCTGAATCTGGGTGTCTGGTGGGTGCGGGTGTGTGGGCAAAATAGGGAGAAGAGTGGCAAATCCTAATGTCGCAATTTCTTTCCTCTTTGAACGCGTTTCCCCACCTAGAAGTCTATTTCAGCCATGAAATTAAAGGAATTCACTATTTGTTTGACATAATGTTGAGAACAATGTAATTATCTGTAATGTTTAATAACCCACATAGTTATGCCAAAGTGGGTGGACAGATTCACATCCTTCAATGTTTTCAAAGTATTGAAGCCTTTTCCCTGTAATTATTAGCCTCATTTAAAATGTGAACGAAAAGCAACTTCTGTTTAATTTATGGGATAATATTCAACAACAACAACAACAAGATTCCATTTATAGAGCGCCTTTCACGTCAGGAGGACGTCCCAAGGCGCTGCACAGTTGGGTCATGACCCGAGCAGGGGGGAAATGGTCAGGGTGAGGGGAGGGAAGGGAGGGAGAGAGGAGGGGAAATGGTCAGGGTGAGGGGAGGGAAGGGAGGGAGCGAGGAGGAGGAAGAGAGTCGAGAGGGGAGCTGAAGGCTCGGTCAAAGAGAAAGGTTTTGAGACCGGCCTTGAAGGAGGAAAGGGAGGAAGCAAGGCGAAGGCACTGGGGGATGGAGTTCCAGAGCCTCGGGGCTGAGAGGCTGAAGGCCCGACCACCGATAGTAGGGCGGTTGGGGCGGGGGACGTGGAGCAGACCGGAGCCAGAGGAACGGAGGGTACGGGCAGGTAGGTAGGGGGATAGTAGGTTGGAGAGGTAGGAGGGAGCAAGGCCGTGAATGGCCTTGTAGGTGAGGATGAGGATCTTGAAATCAATCCTCTGGGGGATGGGGAGCCAGTGGAGGCGAGCGAGGGTGGGAGTGATGTGGTCCCGAAGCCTGGTGCGGGACAGTACACGAGCTGCAGAGTTCTGAATGACCTGCAGCTTGTGGAGGGAGGTGGCGGGAAGGCCGGCGAGGAGAGAGTTCCCATAGTCCAGCCTTGAGGTGACAAAGGCGTGAACCAGGGTTTCAGCAGCGTGAGGGGTGAGGTAGTGCCGTAATCTGGCGATATTCCGGAGGTGATGGAAGGCGGTGCCAGTTGTGGTTCAAGACAGATATTCCCAAATCTTTCATCACCACCCATTATTGTTACTAATATTATTATTGTTGGGAAAATGGTGGTGTAATTCCCAAAGGATTCATCTTTCTCTTTCAATCAAAACAAAAAAAAAATAATAAATTGGTCATTTTCAGTCTACGACTGTTTGCGGGACATTGCTGTGCGCAATTGGCTGCCGCGTTCGCCCACAAATATACAGTCAATTCACTTTACAGTATATTCTGTGAAGCACTTTGGGACGTCTAGAAGACGTGAAAAGCGCTATATCAAATGCAAGGATTATTATTATAAAATGCAAAGGTCTGCTTGAAGGTAATTACCTGCAGCAGACATAGTGATCCTTCCCCAGATCACTTTTTCCCAGGGTCGAGTGCTGGATAGCTGTCTATTTTTACATGTTCAGATATTTTGCTGGTAGATCAAAAGAAAAAAATGACTTTGTTATTTTATCCCATTGAAACATCTGCAAGTGCAGCAATTAGCTGCTGCATTTGGCTGTTTTAGGACCTTGCTGGTCCGAGGACCAGCCATGAGGTGAATGACCAATTAATCTGCAGAATTATTCACCAGAATACCAGGAGAAACTATTCTCATTTAAAATAGTGTTAGGATGATCTTGAATGTGCACTTGAAAAGAGGTAAATGGGACTTTGCTTTAAGGTCTCAAGTTTAAGGCCACCCCCGATATAGTGTGTATAGTGTGGGGGGTGTATTTATGCATATATATTGCAGCCAAGATGATGATGTGGAACGGAAAAAGTGTTTTTCCAATTTATGAGGTCTCCACAATATACTCGGTGACGGCCTCTGATTTTTTTTTGTCTCCTCAAGCGGAGAGGTTATCTTGCTCATGCTAACAGCCGTTATTCTGATGTGGTGTGGTTAAAATCAGGAACTCGCTGAGTTGGAAATTCCAAAAGTAAAGCGTCTGAGCATGCACTGCGAGCATGTACTAGAGTTCCAGCCTTCACTTTGCCTTTGTTTTTGTGTTTGTAATACAAGGAGGACCTGCATTGTTTTTTGTAGGGATAACTACCAGCCATGTTAGGAATGCGATGGGACATCTCTAAGTGTCCTGACACTGACTTCATGTCTGGGTTTACAGTGAATATATTTTGCATTAAAATTAATGCAGTCTGCAATGAGCCTTTAAGGAAATGGTAAGATCAGGGCTGTCTTATAATTTAAAAAGTTGGCATCAGCATAAAGTAGTGCCACCAATCTAGCATTGCTCTTCACTGTAAAGGTAACATTAATCCTCCTTTTCATTGTCTGCGATATTATATTCCTTCCTGTTTTGCCCATTCCGTTCAATAGCGCAACGTTTGTTGCCTTAGGTTAATTAAGTCTTTATTCAACTCCTCCCAAGTCGAGTTTAAAAAGGTTTTCAGCGTGGGAATTAGTACATCAGTCAGGTGGGTTATATGTATCATTTGATTACTATCTTTAATAAAATCTGTTCAAAGGCTAAGCAGGCAGTGTTCACGCTTGGTGATTAGTGATACTTGGAAACACATTTATTATCTTACCTTCAGTATAGTGAAGTTAAGGAGAAAGTAGGTTCTAAGGAGTATTTTCTGTTCAAAGCACACCGTTGGGAAAGGGAATAAATATACAACATAAGGTATTTTACCCATGGAGGCAGATAGTGTGGGTATTTTCAGATTGAGTTTGAGGGTATAAACAATGAGGAGTAAGCAATGGATGTTCCTGTTTACTTAAGTAGGGGCTGGAGCTTGGGAAACCATCTGGAATTTGGAAATTACAAAACAAAGCTCCTGACAGAATGGCTGTGTTCTGCTTTTTTCCCCTGATCACCAAGCTTCTACTAACTCATTTTGCTGAACCTGCCTGAGTTACCGTCTCAGTTTATCTGAATAGATTTAAAGAGCGATCGTATCAGCCTGTGGAATTTCAACTTACCACAGTTCGAGGAAATTGTTAACTGACTCTTTACAGGAATTGGTTGTATCTGTTCTTTTTGTTAGTAAATGTTGCAAGTTTAGAGTAACTGGAAAATACATTTGTGTATAGTTCATTTTTTTTGGTTCAGTTGCTAAATTCAACAAGTATGTTAAATATTTTGCATTAGCCTACAAAATCACTGTCCCAATAATTTATGGTGAATCCAGTAAAGTACTTTGGGAAGTATTAACAACTTGCATTTATATATAGCTCCCTTCACATAGGTAACATCTCTGAGCGCTTTACAAGGACAGAGTCAGACACTGAGCAGGGAAGGGGGGACGGAGAAGGGAGAGGTGGTGATAGGTGTCTTCAAAGAGAGGTTTTAAACATGTATTTAAAGACTGATCGAGAAGAGGGCAAGACAGAGGAGTTTAGGGTGGGGGGTCCAAAAGTTAAAGGGGTAGAATCTGAAGCCTTGGCAACCAGTGGTGAGGCAGAGAGGGTGGGGCACGTATAAGGATTATGAATAAATATTTACTGAGGGTTTTTTGAAAATTTTTCATTTTGTGCAGCCTGGTTGCCTCTGAAGTGACCTACCTGAAAAGTTGATAGACATCTCCTTGTTTATAGGTTTCCTTTCTCCACCAGTGGATTAGCCACATTGAATTTGAAATTTATTAGCAAAGATTACTGATGCATGTGGTGTGAATAATTTTGTTCTGTTTGCTTCCTTTCTCCATTTTCTTGGCACTGATTTTCCACTAATTGCCTATGGTGCCATTGCTGGTTTGCTATAAGTGCCATTGCTAATTTGCCTGAGGCATTTTTTTTCTTGATGGCAATTCAATTCCCGTTTCCTCTACAGCCTGAGGTTTGAGTGAGAAAACCAAAGTTGCTCCCAATAATCTACCTTCTAATCACAATACTCCTCATCCAAACTCTGCCACTTCAGCCCATCGAGAGAGGAGTGAATTTGCAAAAATATAAATGAGTCTATTAGCTGGGACCATGGAATAGTGAATTTGGGTGGCAAGGCCTCTGTCCTCTGACTCAGAGTTTTGCTGTCCACATCACAACTGTGGTCTGCCATTTGAGAACCTCTTGCCAAGACACGGATTGTTGGGCTGTGCAACCATGAAGATATCAGTTCAGTTCAATATTGCCCTCGCCAATCACACACACACACACACACACACACACACATATACACACACTTTATAGCAGGCGCCACTGAATAACAACCAGGAGCAGGAGTTTAATTTGCTGCAAAGAAAGAGAAAAGGCATCTCACATCAGAATTACATTCCCAACCCATTCCATATGGCATTTAATCTCATTGCGGTAATCTAGTTCTGGATTTACAAGGTTGTTAACTGGATATTTCACAGTTCTGAAGAACTGTAATTCATGCTCATGGAAACTGAGAATATATGTTGACTTTGTAAATATTATTCTTGTTTAAGAGTAGTTTAAGTGTTTACAATGGAATTTTCCAGCTCTGTATCTTTCAGTGAAGTACACAGGATTCAATGTGTTGAACTGGTCATATATATTTTTCAGATCTGGTTGCTGTGCTGTGTCCGAAAGGTCCCTTGCGCATTCTGGTTGAAACTGCTCAAGAGAGAAATGAACCAATATTTCCAGCTCTAATCTATTCTTGTAAGTCAGATTATTTCTTGTTGGCTTTAAGTTCTTAACCAAGTAAGACATTGACCTGATTGTTTAATGTTTATTTTTCTTTTTGCCTTGTACAGCGACGATGGTGTGGTTGGTTGGAATGGCAGATCAAGAAGCCAGAGCAAGTTCACCAGCAGACGAGCATCTGAGTGAGTTCACAGATCGGTCCTAGTGTAACATTTCTAAGTGAAGAAAACAAGCCAGAATTCAGTACTGTGGGGCTTGTTGGGGATGTAGCCACACAAATTACAAGCACTCTCATAAAACATTTATATTGTTGAATTCTCTCCTGGAGTAATCTCTCCGGGTTTCAGCCTTTTGACACTGCTTTCTGGAGTTGGATAGGGAGGAGCACTTTGATTTTTTTTCCTTTTTTATTGCATTTTCGAATCAAAATTAAAGGGAAGCCCTGGATTTGTCTTTCAGGAACACAGTGCTGAAAGCTCTAATGTTCTTAAACAGATTATCCCTCAATAACTGGTTTCCTTGGTGGGGGTGGGGGGTAGGGTGGGCACTGAAGGAACGTGAAAGAGAAATACCCAGAGAAATTGATTTTGAAGCCAAGTATAAATGTGAAAGGAAAAGAACGTCAGCCTCGCATGTCAATTAAGTGAGCATAGTGGTCTCTTTAGAGACCTGGGGACTGGTGCCTGGGATAAATGCACATTCTTTATGCTTGTTCTTATGCTACAGCTTCCCTTTAAGGGCCTGTGCATCCCACTCAGTATTCTTGATGGTACAGCACAGAAATGAGGATCTTTGACCTTCCAATCTGTCTGGTGTTTATACTCCACACAAGTATAGTTAGTATTTAGAAAGGAAATGGCAACTGTTGAAGTTAATTATTGGAAAAAGTTGAGGTTCCTCTAGGACTTTGTCTTGACAGTCTGTCAGATAGTGGAGTCGAGGGTAGAGGCAGAAAGGTAGAGTTGGGTGTTGACAATTTACATATGGAAGATCAGATAAGAATCTGCTCCTGATCGCTATCTAGTGATCCCTCTGGATAGAGAGGATTACTGGATTTTAACTCCCACTCCCCCTTTCCTCATGAAAAATGCATGGACATTGGATAGTCCTGTAGCTCAGTGGTTAGAGCACTCGCTTTGCAAGCGAGAGACCTGAGTTCAACTCCAGGCAGGGCGAAACCTTGGGCAAGTTTCCTTACTCCACACGCCTAATAATAATCCCTCCAAAACCAAAAACAATAATAAAATTGGTCATTTTCAATCCACGACTGTTTGTGGGACATTGTTGTGCGCAATTGGCTGCCGCGTTCGCCCACAAATATACAGTCAATTCACTTTACAGTGTGTTCTGTGAAGCGCTTTGGGACATCCTCCCGACGTGAAAAACGCTATATCAAATGCAAGGATTATTATTAATGCTACTTTTTGGATGGCAACAAACGGGGTGTTTGTTGGTGTATTGTGAGGTTTGCTTAATTTTGTGCATGGACAGAAGCTGATTCGCAGTTTGTTTCTTTCCTGTTTTGTACAATACCAAGTGCATTATTGCTAACAGTCAACCTCTGGTACAAACGATAGCCCTCTACATGAATAAATTGGCTGTTTTTTTCACCAGCTTCTGCAAACATTAGTCTTAACAACACCTGTGTTGATGAGACTGCTGAGGGACCCACTAATGCAGGCGAGACCAATACCGATGATGGTGGATTTGATACAAGGTGGAGGTGTAACAGAGATGAAACATTGGGCAACGTTGAGTCCACTCCAGAGAGTCGAGCGGTTGTTCAGGCCATGCCAAGCCCTCCAACGTTAGATGACGATCCAGAGGAGAGTAAGTAATGCCACAGCTGCAACAGTGGGGCTGATGTGTTGATAGGTGCTGTTGGCACACGTCTATGTTTTAAGTGCAAAAAGCTGCTATAACCAGCATAAACCAAAAGCCTATTATGCCTAGATTGATATAGTTTGATATAGGGAAGTAGAATCTGTAAAGTGTGTGTTGCTTCACTAAGATTTTATATTTGATGTGAATCGGGAGGTTTTTGATGCACACTAATAACATGAGTCACTGAAATCTGATAGTGCTTCAAATCTTTAATCTATGTGAAAAGGACATTATATGTGCAAGTTGTGGATTTGTAACGTTTGTTTGTTTGCTGTTGCCAGATTATTTTACAGAGAAGTTAATCTCTATTACAATGATAACTACCGTACTTTAAAAATGTTTCAGTACATTTTTAGCAACTATTTAACATGTGTTTAAAATATTTCACGTTTTATACAATTACAATGGCTGATGATAAGAGAATTACATACAGGAAAGAAACAGGCCATTCAGTGCAACATGCCAGTGTTCACTCCTCATAATCATTATTCCCTTTGCCTTGTATTGCATTGTTTCCTCTTAAATATGTTGATGCTTTTTGCTTCAACCATAGCTTCCAGCAGGGAGTTCCACATTCTCACAACCCTCTGCATAAAGAAATTTCTTCTAAACTCTTTTGGATCTGCTACAGTTTATCTTATATTTGTGCCCCTTGTTTTGGACTTGCCAAACCTTTCATAATCTTTAAATGCTCTTATCGGGGTTCCCTGTCAATCGTCACATTTCCAGAGAGAAAATATACCATTCTTCCTTGATAAAGATAAATCTCTATTACAGTGTGGTGATTTTACACATAGGAATGTTGAACGAAACCAAGTGCACTATGAAGCAACACCTATTCGCTCTCCTTCCTCTTTCTCGGTGCCCCCAACCCAGAATAGTAACATTGCATCTTACAATTGAGAGCTGATGAGGAGAAACTGAAGCTGAATGTCTTGAATCTTGCCTTTGCCCCCACCCCGCCTTTGCCCCCACCCCACAACCCATCCAAGACCTTATTTCTCTACAGTATACGTAGATGGAGACAATAGCCGTCTGTACCTAGCCTTCAGCTGTGCAACACCCAGAAGGAGCTGGTATTTGAGCGTGCCTGCTCAAGTTAAAGACCAATTTTTAAAATTTTATACAAGTTTTTTGCTGGTTCTGAATTTATTGGTGGAGTCCTGTAGCTTGGTGGTTACAGCACTCGCTTTGCAAGCGAGAGACCTGAGTTCAATTCCAAGCAGGGCAAAACCTTGGGCAAGTTTCCTTACTCCACACGTCTAATAATAATCCCTCCAAAACCAAAAACAATAATAAATTGGTCATTTTCAATCCACAAAATCCATGTTTCTGGGACATTGCTGTGCGCAATTGGCTGCCGCGTTCGCCCACAAATATACAGTCAATTCACTTTACAGTGTGTTCTGTGAATCGCTTTGGGACGTCCTCCCGACGTGAAAAGCGCTACATCAAAATGCAAGGATTATTATTATTATTTATTGAACAAAACTGAAATTATGGTTTGAATCTTCTGAAATGAGATTGTACACACTCTGATCAGATCTTTATAATTTCCCAAATGTAATGCACTTGTGTTAAAAGTAGAGACATCTCTCTAGACAAGTTCAGACATCTCCAATATATTTTACTGAGATGACTTTACACTGAGAAGCATATTTTCGAAGCCGAGAGTACAATTGCATTCAGGTTATTTCATCAGATTCCGTTTGGCTTTTATTTCAGGGGGTGTGAAGCTTGGTTTAGGGGACTTCATATTCTACAGTGTTCTTGTTGGAAAGGCATCAGCAGCAGCAAGTGGAGATTGGAATACAACTCTAGCCTGCTTTGTTGCCATATTAATTGTAAGTATATTCATGGACTTTGTTTAACTCGGGTTTAAAAAATCTATACATATGACGATAATTTTATCAAGTATAGTTGCCAACCTATTTTAGTGTTTATAAAATGTAATTTGTTTCATTGCTGCTTTGATCCTGATTCTTTCCTAAAAGTACAAATATTCTGATAAATACTAGCATTTAGAGTACAAAACCGATGTGCGTTCTAATTTAATTTGGCGACTTATTATGGAATTGTAGGAACAGGAGTGGGTTCTTCAAAGCATTAAATCTGTTCTGCTGTTTTATTGGATCATGTTGAAACTGATGAAGGTGACTTCCCAATAGTATTCCAGTTCAGACTCTTGGTCTCTAAGCCTTGGTTCTTGCCAACCTGTGCCTAATACTCTCCAGAATTAGGCAAGCAATATGTCCCTCCAAGGAGAGAGTGTGCATTCCATTCCAACAATCTATAATAATAATAATAACTCTCTAACGTCAAGCTTCCTGAGGCATTTCACAAGCACTGCTTTCATTCATGTGTTTTGCTTGCCCCCCGATGGAGGACAGCACTGGTTTTGGTCGAAGAGTAAAAGACCCAGCACTGATTTTTGTCATCCTAATGTTGATATTTCTTCTTTCTACTCCAGGGTTTGTGCCTTACTCTACTGCTACTTGCCATCTTTAAGAAGGCTTTACCAGCACTTCCAATATCCATTACATTTGGGCTAGTTTTCTATTTTGCTACAGATAACTTGGTACGTCCATTTATGGACCAGCTTGCTTTTCATCAGTTTTATATATAGTATTTTTTTTGTAGGGAGTATTTCAAAAATGTACTGTAATTATATTGTAATCCTGAGAACTGGAAAAGGGACTTTCATAACTGATCAAGAATATAACCATATCAGAAGTGGAGACAATAAAGCAATGTTGAACCTGTGTGGACTATAATTGTTACCTGCTTAATTCATTGGATTTCTGATCAAATTATACCTGACGTACTTCAGAAGCAATGTACAGTGCGGGAGAAATCTGTTTCTGTGGAACGTGAACCCTGCTGTTTCTGTGGGACTTGAACCCTGTAAGCAATTTGAAGACCTCAATCCATCTGTGCTGAAGTTTGATGCAGGGTTGGTTGGTGCGGGATGGCGATGGGAACATTTTAATTATTTGAAAGCAGGAAATGAAAAATAAGTTAACAAAATACTTTTTTTAAGATGCACTGTTTACTGCATAAATCATTTTTGAATATTTTCCAGAACCATTTTCCCTGAGGTGATCTTTCTCAAGTCATTAGATGTGTGACTTCTTGGGCAGATGCATGATGAACTTTTTGCTTTTGTCTTGAATCCAGGTTTTCTGAATAATAGCTAAACTAATACAAATGTGTTTTTTTTCTCCCCATTTTACCCCAGTGAAATACCAATCATGCCATGCATTTCCTGAAATGTATTTGGAAAATAATGTACATGAATGTATTGCAACTTTTTTTAAAACCTAGTTAGGTTCAGAATGAAATTAAATTGAATTATGGTCGTTGACTAGCAGCAATTAAAATTTAGTGATCCATCAATCTTCGACTGTAGCCTTTATCTGTCAACACTGAAGGGTTTCTTTTTTGGGGCTTGGGGCATGGGGTGTGACAACAGATTGAAAAGTACATCATTAAATGTTCTATAGCGAGGTGACTGTACATTTATGCAAAGTACAATATCAAATTTGACATTTGTGGAGTCCTGTAGCTCAGTGGTTAGAGCACTCGCTTTGCAAGTGAGAGACCTGAGTTCAATTCCAGGCAGAGCGAAACCTTGGGCAAGTTTCCTTACTCCACACAGAGCCTAATAATAATCCCTCCAAAAATCAAAAACAATAATTAAATTGGTCATTTTCAATCTACGACTGTTTGTGGGACATTGCTGTGCGCAATTGGCTGCCGCGTTCGCCCACAAATGTACAGTCAATTCACTTTACACTGTGTTCTGTGAAGCGCTTTGGGACGTCCTCCCGACGTGAAAAGCGCTATATCAAATGCAAGGATTATTATTATTATTATTATTATTGATCCATTAGTCTACTACAATTAGCACTTGTTTATGACTCTTTTCTCTCACTTTTTTCCATCCTAGTTTCATTGTGCCACTCCCATTAGATGTGTTTACACCACTAAAATGTACAATCTTGTATTTGTCAAATTAATGTCACCCAATGGTACAGAAATGAGAAACTCCTGATCAAATTGTAAGTATGGTTCAACTACATTATGTTTGATGTACTTCAAATATCTCTGCTGCTTTAATAGGACTGGCTGTCTTGGTATCGAGGTCACATTGTGAAGCTGGCAGTGAAGACTAGGCAAGGTAGAGAAGTCTAATATTTGAGGTGAGCATCTTAACCTAATTGCTGATTTGGAATTGTTTTTTTTTGGTCAGCTGGGTGTCTGACACATGCAGAAACCCACCACCTTGCTTAAGAGTTTCCAAACCAAACCGAGCTCCGTGCATCTCACCTATGCATGGAGATTTATTGGAATGGAATGCACATTCTTCCTGGAGGGACATATCCTGAAAGGGAAGAATTGAATTAAGCAAGTGACAAATGAAGCTATGTAAAGGCAACCAAGTTGTCCCTTTCTGTGAATTGGTCAGAAGATAATTGGTGAACTGAAAATGAAAGGTACGAGGTAAGGTATGTACCAGAGGCAATGTAGAATTGATTCTTGAGACTACCTTCATCCTTGAGTTTTGCATTAAACTATCATTGTGATCTCTTCGTCTTCAACTTTAGAACCAAGTCTTAGGTCTTTCAGTCCATTGCTCAGCTACGCATTGAGTGCAATGAAATTTGTGAACATCGCCTTAGAGTATGTTCGATTGTGCTTTTTTAAATTCTGTGTGGAAAATCTACAGTGGATGAGAATACAATGCCTAGGCTTATATAAAATTATCTTTGTATACCCGATACTAGATGACTGAAAAGCAACACTTTAGTGTGAGGCAAGAACCTATAACCTTTTGACTCCGAGGTGAGCGCGCTACTGTACCAAATGAACTAAACTGACTGAATAAAATCCTGGTTAGGTCACTACATGGTGAGTAATTGCTGTGCAATGTTTATTTTGTAAGTCTTAAGATGTTGACACTCACTTGTGCAAATTAAAGCCTTATCAGACTATTTTGAAATATTGCGATGCAAGATAAAAATGTAAAGCAGTAAAGAAGGTTTTGGTTTAAAAAGGGGCAGGATTGGCCAAAGCAGGTAAAGGTATCACATTTAACCTTATTGATTGTGGCTGGTAGAAGAATATTTCAAGGGCTTTTTCAGGGGACATTCATTGTAGAGCATGAATTGTGGAGTCCTGTAGCCCAGTGGTTAGAGCGCTTGCTTTGCAAGTGAGAGACCTGGGTTCGATTCCCAGCAGGGTGAAACCTTGGGTAAGTTTCCTTACTCCACACACCTGATGATAATCCCTCAAAAAAAAATAAAAAATTGGTCATTTCAATTCACGACTGTTTGTGGGGCACTGCTGTGCGCAATTGACTGCCGCATTTCACCCACAAATATAGTCAATTCACTTTACAGTCTATTCTGTGAAGCACTTTGAGATGTCTAGAAGAGGTGAAAAGAGTTACATCAAATGCAAAGATTATTATAAATGTTACAGCAACAGGTTTACATTTGTTTAGCAGTGCACGTGTTACTACGTGTCCAGTCGGTTGGAGCTATTTATTGTCCAGACATTTTGATAATCTCACAAACCTTATTTTTACAATATAGTCTTGAGTGATACCTCACTCACTCCAGCCAGGCTATTCAGTTAAGCATTATGTGCAACATGTAGGTACTTTCTTGTTTTCTCCCTTGGAGATGAAAAGGACAGTCTGGATCTTTACTGTAAAGAAAACTATTATACCAAAAATAAAGTAACAAGTTGGATTACGTAACATTCTGAGTTTAGAATCCTCAACCTTCTAAACTTGACAACATACAAGCCACGTTTATGGAGCCCGTTCTCATAATTCAACCCTTTAAGACCTGGTATTTTTCTGGTGAATCTGCGCTGCACGCACTCCAGGGCCAACATATCCTTCCTGAGGTGCGGTGCCCAGAACTGTACGCAGTACTCCAGATGGGATCTGACCAAGGCTCTGTATAACTGAAACATCATTTCCTCTCCTTTGTATTCAAGCCTCTTTGAGATAAAAGGCCAGCATTCCTTCAGCCTTTTTGATGACCATTAGTTTTGTATAAAAACACTGCAAAAGCAAATTGGCTGAACAGTGAGTTGCTTCATTACGGAGATGCCCCAAAAATGAGAATCTAATGTACTCAAATGTCCTGTTGTTTTCATCAACCCAATGCTTTAAACTGGTAACTCGCTCATCTTCTAAGGCTGTATATGTTGGCTGCTCATCAGGTTCCATTGAAAATGCTTGTGCAATGTTCAACAAGATAAGCCAAATCCAGTTACATACTTGAGAAATGTTGCTCATCCGCTGAAGTTTTCTTAAAAGGCGTGTTAATGACTCAACAATTATATTTAATACTGTTAAAAGAAACTTAGATTAACATCAGTGGATGGAAACCAGATCAGACATGATGGACCCATGGCATGCAGTAACCACTTTAAACAATTCCACTCAAGCACTTGGAGACGCTAACTTGCTTGAGGGGTGCTACACAAATGCAAGTTGTGTTGTGGCCTCACGTATGAAGAATCACCACCAGAGGCTACTGGCTCTTGTAGATCGGTGCCCCTGCTTGGCTCGGCACATGAAGGGGTGGTAAACTAAAGAGGGGTATAAAAACAAAATTACCCTTTTTAAACCTCGATAAATACAGAGGCTTAGTCACAGTGCTGGAGTGTCTGGCTTCCTCTTATGTTTGGGAAAGGATGATTGTGTGAATGTGAAAATTTAACGGGTGGAGAACCAAGTACTGTACAGATTAATACTGTAGAAATCTCTGGGATTAGATTTGGGGACATCGGCTCAGATGGTTGGCAAAAGATTTAGGGGAGAGGTTGGAAAGAATGTCATCACTCAGGTTAGGGTATAGGATTTGTTACCAAAATGGCTATTCATGTTCACATTTAACAGAAGCATTCAAAAAAGAACTGGATAACCACCCGAGCAGTAGAAACATTAAACTGTAAAGGGAAAGTTTTATTATTAATTTTTAAAAAAGACAAATAAAAATGGCACAGACACAATGGAATGAATGGACACTTTCTCTGCTGAAAATTTCTGTTCCCAATAACAAATTACATTTGTAGAGTACCTTTCATGTTGGGAGGACGGCCCAAGGCGCTGGACAGTCAAGGATGTGCACCTGAGCTGGGGTTTGGGATCGTGGAGGGTGGGGTTGGAAGGGTGACCAAAGTGTGTTTACAATTAAAGTTTACAATTTTCACCCTTTCAATTGGTGTAAGGAAATACTTTTCATTCTTAAATCAATGCCCAGGCCAAAAACTAAATACATTTTACTGGAATCATTGGCTTGGGTTTTTTATTTTATAAAGTACAGCCAAAATCAGAGTCCGCCTTAGAATTCACGATGCTGTAAAATTGCAGTAAAGTCCGTTTTCTTCTGCAACTTAGATTCAGGGAGTTCCTGAGATTAGCATAAACACGTGTGCTATCTTGTGAGTGAAGAAACAAGACAAGATGGCACAGATAAATTCTCAACAATGCAAACAGCATCAATCCTGTAATCTTTTTACGTTTTATTGGGATTGACTAAGCATACTTTCAAACAGGCATGTAAACACTAGTATTAGTATATCGTCTCAAAGAAGCTATGGAATGAAGAGAAGCCTTCAGGTCAAGTTATTTTTAAGAAGAAGTGAAAATGCAGCAGAAATTGAGAAGGCTGGCAGTAAGACTGCAATAATAATAAGCCTTGCGTTTGATCTAGTGCCTTATTACGTCTTTGAGATGTCTCAAAGCTTCACATAATACACCGCAAAGTGAATTGACTATATTTTGTGGGTGAAACGTGGCAGCCAATTGAGTACAGCAGCGACACAAAAAATCATGGATTGAAGTGACCAAATTATTATTTTGTAATTAATTACTTTTTGAAGGGTTTATTACTCCTGGAAAAGCGATCCTCTAGACGACTAATAGCCGGGTCCTCCTTACTGCTATGTAAAAACAGGCGTGTGGAGTAAAGAAACTTGAGTGTGGAATAAAAAAAAGTTTCACCTTGCCCAGCAATTGAACCCAGGGCCTCTTGCAAGGCAAGTGCTCTAACCATTACTCTACAGGAATCCACAATTTGATCGTTCATTTGATCCGAGTATTTGATCATTGCCCTGATGAAGCCCAAACATCAACTTGTCTCAATAATTGTCTGCAACAACCAAACAGTTACATCAGTAAACAGGTTAAAAACAAATCTATAATTAATAAGAAGGCCATAACCTTTTAATGCTGAAAATTAGGACATTTTTGTTTATCAAGGAGAAGGGAGTTTCCCTCATCTGGTGTCCTAGCCAACAATTCTTCCCCCCAATAAAATTGATCACCCATTCCATGACTGTTTGGTGGACATTTCTGTGCGCAACTAGCTGCCGCGTTTCACTCACAAAATACACAGTCACTCCATTTTACAGTTCATCTTGTGAAGCGCTTTGAGATTTCTCAGCGATATAAGGCGCTAAATCAAATACAAGGATTATTATAAATGGCACAGTGATTCACCTATTGGCAGGATGTGGATCTACACCTTTGATTCCCTTACAGTGCCCTCCAAATCTCTATAATGTGCTGTCAGGGTCAAATGCCATATGCAATCTGAGCAATCCCACCTGTGAGGGGGGTGGGGGAGAGAAGAATGGAAAACCTAACAAGCTAGCTCATCTGCTGCATCTGAGCAGAGGTGCTTCTAAATTCTGGCAGAAAAGGTAAAGAAGGATTTAGTTGTGTGACATATTTCTTTCACTTGCAACCAGAAAGCTGTGCTCACAAAGATAAGGATCAAATACAAGGCAAAGTCATACAAGGATTATTATAAGGCAAAGTTATCAGGCAAACAAATTGGATTGATGCTTGTAAGTATTATTAAAAGGAGGGGGAAAGAGTGAGCAAAAGAATGAAATTAGACCAGGTGCTTCATATGGAGAAAAGATGGGGTGAACGGCCTGTTTAAATGCGATTATATGCTGATATACTCAGAATTGTATATTATATTCTGATACACGTATTGATGGTTTTGTAATGGATTTCCAGTAAAGTCATATTTGGAGAGATATTAATCAGTGAGACTGTGTGTAGATTTTAAAATTAATGGTGCTTTTGGTAGTTATTTGCAGCATGTTCCTTCTTGAAAAAAATGCCCTGCCCTCCTATATAAATTTTAAATTAAATTTTTTTGCTGTCTTCTGGCACAGCTCTTTATACTGGGCGTTGTCTGTCTAAACCCATTCCTGTTCTCAAACTACGCCCCATCTCCAACCTCCCTTTCCAAGGTTCTGGAACGAGTCGTTGCTTCCTAGCTTCCCTCCGTCCTCTCCCGCCACTCTCTTCACGAACCCCTCCAATCGGGTTTCCATGCCACCCACAGCACAGAAACAACTCTGGTCAAAGTGACCATCTGCAACCAGGGCTCCCTCTGTCTCCTTAACCTCTCTGCTGTCTTCGATACCGTTGACCACTCTATCTTCATCCACCACCTCTCCTTCTCACCTCAACTTACATGGTTCAGTCCTTGACTGGTTCAGATCATACCTCTCACGCCATCTCCACTTCATCTCCACAAATGGTTTCTCTTCTAGCTCCCACGCCATCTTATGTGGCGTTCCTCAGGGCTCTGCCCTTGGTCCCCTCCTCTTCAATGACTATATACTCCCTCTTGGTGACATCATCTGCAGACATGGGATCAACTTCCATATGTATGTGGATGACACCCAACTCTACCTCTGTGCCTCCACCCTTGACTCCAGGAGACTGCTGTCCTGACAGAATGTCTGTCAGACATCAAGTCTTGGATGAGATCTAACTTTCCTCAGTTGAACGTCAACAAGGACAAGACCCTCCCGATTGGCTCCCGTCCACACCTTGGGCGCTGACAGCATCACCATCCAAAGATGCACACTCCACCTTACTAAGCCAGCCTGGAACCTTGGCGTCTTGTTTGACCCTCAACTATCCTTTCTAGCCCACACATATTCCATGACCCGCTCTGCCTTCTCTCATCTCCGCAACATCGCCCGGTTCCACCATTGTCTCACACCGCAGGCCGCCGAAACCCTCATACACGCATTCATAATATCTAGGCTTGAGTCTGCAAACTCGCTGCTTGTCGGCCTCCCCAACTCCTCCCTCCATAGGCTGCAGATCATCCAGAACTCTGCTGCCCATCATCCAGAACCCTGCTGCCCATGACCTCTCCCTCACCAGGCCCTATCACCCCAGTTCAAGATCCTAGTCCTCACCTTCAAAGCCCTCCATGACCTCGCTCCCCCCTACCTCTGTGACCTCCTAACCCCCTATCAACCTGTCTGCTCCCTCCCTGTCTGCTCCCTCCCTCCAATCAGCAGGCTCCGACCTACTTCGCATCCTCACCCGCCCCACCATTGGCGGGTGGGCCTTCATCCACTCTGCCCCCACCTTCTGGAACTCCATCCCCCAGTCCCTCTGCCTCGCCCCCTCCCTTGCCTCCTTCAAGACCCATCTCAAGACCCTCCTCTTTGACCGTGCCTTCAATCACCTTTTGTATCATGTTGTCGAGATGGCTCATAGCTCGTCACACGATGTTAAGTGCATTGATCGTGTATTTTGTCAGTGGATATGGCAGCCAATTTGCGGGCAGCCGCGCCCCACAACTTCCCATTGAAACCAGTGAACAGTTTCGCTCCTAATTTGACCTGTGATCAGATTCTGCGGACATGACGCAGTTTGTGGCTGCGTTTGTGACTGTCACCTCCTTCCAATTCTCCATTCGAAAGTTAAGTGTCATCGCCTCAATGTTTTGCAGTGCAGTGTTCCTTTTTTTTTTGAAAAGAAATAAGATACGAAATAAAAAATACGACAATAATCCTTGCATTCAATAAAGCGCGTCGTCACGGGACCTCAAAGCGCTTAGCGGGATTTTACTTGGAGGTGTAGTGACCGTGTACTTGTCGGTGAACAGTACAGCGGATCGGGAGCGACCCGAAGATTTAGTCGGGTGGAAAGAGAAGGTTAAGCACAAAGTGAGGAGGAGGAGGAGGAGGTGGAGGAGAAGGCACCTCCTGCTCTGTGGACTGTTGTCTCAGTGGCCTCCAACGTGCGCACTCCACCACATCACAAGCCCAAGTGAGGCCACTTCCGGAGTGGAGAGTAGCCTTCAGCTGTGACCCCATCACACTGGATGGATGGGAATACTTCTTCCGCGCCTACAAAAAAAAAAGGAGTCCCTACTTTCCAAAAAAAAAACCCCGCACAAAAGTCACTCGTGTGTGTGTGTGTGTGTGGTGGTGGTGGTGGTTGGAAAGTGGGGTTGAGGGAGTGACCGAATAACTCGGATGTGTTTTGTTTTGGTGGAGAGGAGAGGGTGTCGGTGTCGGGGTGGGGGTGGGTTGGTGAAGAGGCCAATCCCCGAGGTGGAAGGAGCGAGAGGCGGTGATGGGGTTGGGAGTTGGGCACCGGGTTGCGCGGGACGTGGGCAGATTGCGCACAGTGCGAGTTGGCTCCAGGGCTCAGCGGCGGCGATGAAGCTCGCGGTCCTGTCCTCGCTCGTCCTGCAGCTGCTCCTGTTAGTTCTACCCTCTTCCTCTGTGAGTAAATACATACATATATATATATATATGTATATGTATCTATATAAATAATAGCTATATACGCGCACACACTTTTTCAGCTTTTTTTTTAAAGACAAAAAGAAAATTAAGCGCGAAGTCCCGTCATACAAATCCTTTTTTTTTGTGTGTGTGTGTGTGTGTGACTTGGAGTGCGTTTCGTGCGATAGGTATTGGAGGCTTTTTTTTAAATTTAAAAAGCCATTTTTTTTCGCGAAAAGTATTGTCTTACGTTATATTAAACACTCTCTGTCACTCTCTCTCTCACACCCACACACACACACACATGTACAGCACTATGTGCAGCCTGACCAAAAAGTCGTGATAACTACCCTGTTATCTAATTATTTCTATATATATATATATATATACACACACATATATATATATATATATCATTTAAGATTTATTAGACATTGTAATGGTGTCACGACTTTTTGGTGGCGCTGTACTTGTACTCCCTCAGTGGTAGTTTAGCGACACAAAGCCGCTGTCCCACCTCACAGTGATCAATGCCCAATGTTAACATTGCGAGGGTTATTTTTATTTATTATTCGTATTCTTATTATTTATCATGCTATTAAAACCCGTATCAGGTGTGAGAGGCGATCTTACTTGCACTGTTACTCACTCGTCGGAAACTTAACGTTTTCCACTTGGACCCGTCCCGTCCCGTCCGTCCGCCCCCCCCCCCCCCCCCCAAAAAAAAAAATGATTTAAAATCACATCGGGGGTCCCCGAGTTCTTCACCCAGTCAGGGCGCCGCTCTTGAGTCCCGTTTGCGCCTTCGCATCGTCGTGTCGTGTGCTGTTCTGTCTTGGTGCTGGTGGTGGTTGTGTACAGGTGAGTTACCCATAACGACGGCGAGACTGACACTCAACGAGCAAGTCTACCCCTGAAGAGTGGAACCTCATTCTCCCCCCTCCCCCCCCCACCACCTACCCCAAGAGTTCCAGAGTTTCGGGGCGTAGTGGCAGAAAAAGTGCGGCCACTGATGGTGGAACGAAGGCCACGACGGACAAGCAGGAGGCCGGAGCTGGTTGAGCGGAGGCGGGGGGGGTGGGGTAGTGGGTTGGGGAGCGAGGAGGTTGGAGAGGTTGGGCGGCGCAAGGGCATAAAAAGATTTGAAGACGTGTAAGTGTAAACTGTTAAATTGCGTGCTCGTAGATAACCTCTGAATCCTGCGACTGTGCACCGACCGACACATTTTGAAGAGCTGAGCTTTGAGCAAACTATAAGGGAGCGAGCCCAGAGTGACGTCAGCTAACTGGCATGACGCTACAGCGTGTGTGAATGGCACCACCATGCCAACTATGCTGTCTATACCCTTTCCTCCCCCCCCCCCCTCCCCCACATTGTTAATTGCTGCCAAGATTACAGCAACACTCCAGCAAAATGTAGCGTTAGAACTCTGTTTAAAGTGTTCCTACCCCTGAGGCCAGAGTACTGTGTGCTGTGAGTACACCTGTCTGGCTAATTGCCAGGGGAAATTTTCCCCCCCTACTCCCTGCCCCCTCCCAGCTCGTCCAGCCAGAATTTTTTCCAAGCAGTGTGTGTGTGTGTGTGTGTGCGCGCGTTCCGTTCCCCGGTAAGGCATCAACTGTGAAATTGACTATAAGCAGTTGAAGTAGTTCAGTTTTTAACAACCCAGAGAGTGCACCAATTGAACATCAGAAAAGACGAATTGAACTTTTCCAAACCGCATTAGTGAAGAGCGGAATACATGAAGTTCCTGTTTGTTTACCAGATGAAGGGTTTAATGCATATGGCTCCAATTTGAGTGTAGTTTGATTTTTGTTCAAAAGTTTTATGCTAAATAGATTCTTACAAAATGTTGGTCAGACGGTTAGCAATGTATCAAACTTTGCTTCAATATGAACAGGATCATGATTGAGATTAATCTTTCATGTTCGTTGCCATGTATGATTGTCAAACTAGATGTGCACTGGTTGTTATTACATTTGCAAACAGAGTTAGTATTTGAGATACTTTAAGCATTCGTATTAACATATTGAACAGCGCACACTCTGTTTTTGGCTCATTGTTCCCATTCTTGTTTGCACCACCCTGATCGTGTTACGTGCCTTTGAAACTGAAAATATTTTGCTGCTATTTATGGTTTATTAGGATCCTGGCCTTGCAGTTTTTGTAAGCTACACTGATCACTGACTCTTTTGTCAAGGAATTCTCTTTGGCTTCTGTGAAGACATCTCACTTTTGTCCGCAATCATTTGCTGCTGTCAGTTAATTAGAACTGACCAATTTTAAAGGGGACTCATCCGTAAACTTCATGTGAATGCAAAGTGCACATCAGGTTCATATAACAACAACAAATTACATTTGTATAGCGCCTTTCACGTTGGGGCTGGCCAGTCAGGGATTTGGACCCGAGCTAGGGGTTGGGAACAGGAGGGGTGGTGGGTAGGGGTAGGAGGGCGACTTAGAGGAGGGTCTTGAGGTAGGCCTTGAAGAAGGCGAGGGAGGGGTGAAGCAAAGGGACTGTGGGATGGAGTGCCAAGGGTGGGGGCAAAAAGGCTGAAGGCCTGACTGCGGATGGTGGCCGGGCTGAGTTGGGACTTGGAGCAGGCAAAAGCCCACTGAGTGGATGGAGCGGACAGGTCTAATATGGAGTGAGCAGGGGACAGAGGTAGGAGAAAAAAATGGTGTGAAAATGCATAATTTTTCTCAAAAGCACAATACGTACATTGCATCCCATTAGTTGGCAAGTTGTCTTGCCTCCTATTTTCATCTTTCCTGAAGTCATGTAGTCATGATAGGGAACAGTAAGCAGACACTCTATGGCATTTCATGTTTAAGGTTAGATGGTGAGTGTATAGAGTGCATTTGCAACTCCAATTTTCTCCCTGCCCCCCACAGCTTCTCTTAAAGACATTGACTGTCCCCCCTTCCACCTCCGCAAAGGCACCTTATTCAAGTGGCCAATAGTTGCGTGTGATCGTCAGTGGGTGTTAAACCAATCCTGACGCTGTTCTTGTCTGATATCCGCACAAGTGCACTTTACATCAAACTCTGCTGTTTGATCGGAATTTCTACATTTAAGCTGTTCAAGACCTCAGTGAGTCAGTTGTTGGGGCATCGTAGGTGAATCTGACATCTGTGCACGTGGACTTTGCAGGAGGGGGTCACTGAACATTAGCCTGTAGTGGAACAATGACTGACTTTCGTTTGTACCAACTTACACAGCACAGAATTAATTATAACAAATTACATTTGTATAGCTCCTTTCGCATCAGGAGGACATCCCAAGGTGCTGAACAGTCAGGGATTTGGACCCGAGCTAGGGGTTGGGATCAGGAGGGGTGAAGGGTAGGGGTAGGAGGGTGAATTTGAGGAGAATCTTGAGGTTGGCCTTGAAGAAGGCAAGGGAGGGGTGAAGCAAAGGGACTGTGGGATGGAGTTCCAAAGGATGGGGGCAGAAAGGCTGAAGGCCTGATTACCAATGGTGGGCGGACTGGGTTAGGACTTGAAGCAGGCAGGAGCCCACTGAGCGGAGGGAGTCCAATGTGAACTCTATTGCTCAGTTCACATTGGAGGGACTGTATTTTTGATGAACTGAGCCAATGGGGGTGTGTTTGGAGCTGAGAGAGGTGAAACTCCTCCAGATCCCAACCCCCAGCTAATCCCTGACAGTCCAGCACCTTGGGACATCCTCCTGATGTGAATGGCGCTCTACAAATGTAATTTGCTGTTGCTGTTATTTTGTACAATGAAAAAAGCAAAATGTTCTTTTATTATCGTTTTAAAATCGCATTTGCTAGATCTTCTATTGAGAGTGATTTATTTGGTCCAACATAACCTGGGGTTCATAAGTGGGTTTGTTCCTCCCCTCCCTCCTCTGTAAGGGAATCATTTCAGCATATCTAATGGTCATCAGGATCTTTTTAGAGAACATTTGTGTTTAATTTTTATTTCTGTTAAGTATTTGCTATTGGAATAGAATCCTTCAAGTCTCTTGAAAAGGACAGAAACTTGAAAAAGATGATGAATATTAAAGAGCGTGTGGAGACTGGGATGAGACTCTGTGAGTCATGTGAAGGAAAAATACCAGCTCAGACTTGATGGGGCTAAATGCAATAGCCCGTTAGTGCTCTGAAACATCTTATGATCCACTTACAAATATCTTAGCAAGCTAAAGGAAGCAAACAAATCCAGCTAACCCCACCACTGTTAGGTAGAGGTAATCTGTACTGGCATTGTGTTGCAATGCAATCCCACCACTGCCACTCAGTTCCAAGGAGACCTTGTTCACTTTCCCCGATCCCCTCTCCCAGCTCCCCCAAGAAGGTCACCAACATAATAATGATAATACGACATTTGATGTAGCGTCATTGAGATGTCTCAAAGCGCTTCACCGAATATATTGTTAAGTGGAATGACTGTATTTTGTGGGCGAAATAAGATTACTGGAATGAGTGCAGAAATCCTGGCAATTTTCAGCCAGTCAAAGCAGTGTGTCCCTGATGGCTCCACCACACCCTGAAGCACTCGGATGCTTAAAGTCTCTGATGTGGTGACCCGTTAGCAGTGAGGAACTCATCAAAAGGAGGAATGTAACTGAGAACTGTTCCTAAAGGCCCATAATGGCATCCTGTGTTTGCTAATTACACACCGCAGGACAAGAGCACAGTTGATTGAAAAACTGCTTTTAATATACTGTAGTTATATTTTTTTTAAAAGCTTTTTTTAAAAAAAAATCAGAGCTCAGTTTAGTAATTTATCAATTACACAGTGAGGTGCATTCAGTTCTAGAGAATGCTTTTCCTTTTTTTAAAAAAAAGCCTGACATTTAGTATATCATTTTTTATATCAGGAGGCTGTCGTGAAACGCATCACAGTAATTTTCTGTAAAGTTTAGTGGTGGTGTATTTTGTTGTCAAACGCAGCAGACAATGTATACACAGCAATGTTCTGTAAACAGCCATGAAGTGAACGACTAACTCTATTTGGGGTATTATTGG